CAAAAAAAAAAAACAATCATTAAAATGACCTCATGCAATATTAGCCCCTTGTTTGGCCTAAACAAAAAACAAACTGTTCACAAGGAAACTGCCACTAAACAGTAAATGACACATTAAATAATCAGACATGGGTCCCTGATTAGCTAACGTTTTTAAACCAGTGGCATTTTCACTACTTCACATCAAATCACATACTTTTGGAGGAGGGCATTCTTGAATCTCTCTGCATTCAGTTCCACACGCAGCTGATCAGCATTCATTCTGGAAGCTGTTAGCAAAACAGGGTGCCTGATGAGGTCAGAGGTCGATGGCCTTCGTGTAGGGTCAGGATGGATCATAAGCTGTGAGAAGAAATAAATTTAGTTAACTGAAACAAGGAGAAAATAAATAAATAAATAAATAAATAAATAAATAAATAAATACAACTCAGGATAGCCTGATATTCTAGAACAAAACAATATCCACTGTTTTAATCAGTAGTGACTAATTTTACCTTCAGCAAGCTTAAAAAGTCCTGAGAAAGCACTTGTGGGATATGGGGCAGTGTCCCCTGTCGAATTTGGTGCCATTTCTCCCCATTGCTAGGCAGAGGCTCAGCTCCAGAGGAACTGACAACAGTCAGAGCCAGAGCAAATATGTCCGCCTTTGTCAAGTTAGTATAGTCCTGCAATGGAGAACAACTAAGTCATTATACTGGACAAAACTAGTGTTAATAATCGTAGAAGTTCAAATATCATTAGCATTTTACCTCCTGAAGAACTTCATTAGCCAAGTATCTGCTGTCACCCTCCTCAACTTGGGGATTGGTCACCCTGGTCACATGGCCTAGGTCACCTGAGGAAAAGAGGTTGTCAGTTTCTTTGAAAGGTAACAGAACTGTTTATCTTACAGGAAGTATGGACTCAGTGCCCTTACCTATTTTGTAAACCACACTAGTACTTGGCCCATCTTCATCATCTTCAAACTCCTCAACATTCACTGTAGGTTTCCGTGAAATGAATATGTTGCCTAAAATACACAAAATAAACCTGTGAAATACCTTATAGAGTTTGATATATGTAAAGTTTTGTACTTCTATTTTTCCAGAAACCCCACATGAAAAATTGTATTAATCCTGATAAAAGTACCCTTCAAGAAAGACTCACTTGGCTTAATGTCCATGTGCACAAGTGCCATGGAGTGGATGTACTTGAGCCCACGAGAGACCTGCAGTAGTAGATCCTTCAGCTCCAACTCAGACAGAAAGTGCATGCGTCTGTAGTTCTCAGTGATCACATCCGACAATGTGCCGCCGTTGCAGTACTCGTTCTGGATCAGCATGTGGTCATCCTCAGCCCAGGCAGAATAATACCTCACCACATGAGGGTGCTGCCCCAGAACAGCATGTGCATAGACCTCTCGAAGTGCATTTTGCCTGTTATGGTAGAAATCCAAAGTTACTCAATGAAACACATGATACGTAAACTTTGTTTGTACTAGAAGGTGCCCATAAACAAGCTTTAGTTAAGGGATCACAAGCAGTGGTAATGAATTATAACTCACTCATCCACAGATCCTGCCAAAGGCTTCTTGGAGCGCTTGATGGCATAGATGCATCCATCTAATCTTTTAACACATTTGAAGACGGCACCAAACTGTCCTGAACCAATCTTCTCCAGCTCATGGAATTCTGACGCATACCTGGACATCATGTTACTCTCCATCATTGTAAGTCTCTGTAGAAATTAAATCAAAATTAGATTCAAAACATTTCATTTTTATTGCCTTAAGTGTTTCAGTGTCTCATGTCTGCTTCTATACATGTATGGGGCATAATATCATAAAAAAAAAAAATAATAAAAGTCCAAAGTAACAAAGTCTAAAATGCAAAATGGTTACCTTTGATGGTGGAACAATCTCATCCTCAATCTCAGCATCACTTGCTTCCATGTCCTCTCCACAAGAGCTGTGAATGAAAGATTTCAAAGAGAGGTGTTATATTTCACTGCAAACACTGGAGGGCAGCACAGAGGCCAGAATAAGCACGTGGCCTGCTTTAGGAGCAAACACGAGGGTTTGGTTCCTTGCCAACTTGATGTAGGAGTAGCATCTGTAGTAAACGGATTTAACGAACAGTAGCGCAACCTGTGCGTTACATGATACCTAAAACCAAACCATACAGGAGTATAACTAGACTAAAAGGTTATAAGTCCAAAAGTACTAAGTTCACAACTTCTCAAAGAATGACCAAAAACAAAATACACAAATTAACTCCTGAGTAATAGAGCTTACTCATTCCAGTGTGAGCGTTTCCTGTTGTTCCTTTGTTGCGTTGATGACTGGACGACGACTGAGTCAGGGGTGAAGGGGTTAATGTTGACTAAAGGTGTTTGGTTTCGCCTTCCTTCGAGACTGGCCTTGCCTTTGGAATCCACATTCTTGAAAAGGGCTACTCGTCTGCTCGTAGAAGCCGATGTCCTCGCTCTCGACAGTAAACTCTGTAAAGAATTATCCCAGAGCTGTAAATTATGATCGCACAGTGTGGACAACACATCCTTAATCTAAAATTAGCGTTAGTGTTTCTTGAAATTCGTCAGAAACTATCGCGTTAATGTTTTGGTTTCAGAAGCAAATACGTTATTCCCTTAGGCACTGCACGGATTTAAGCCCAAACACTCAGAAACTCTCAGTCTCTGCTGAATCAATAGCATGATTCATTAGAGCTCCAACACATTACGTAACTGTACAGTTAGAGGACTAACTGGGTCACTGGGCTGTAAAGGCTCCCACCTGGAGAAAAAAAAAAACTAGGCATAACTTTATCTACGTATGGTGTTAGGAAAACACGGACAGAATGAACAAATCTTATCACAAGACGTATTATAAAACAGTCATATAGCAGAGTTAATAAATAAAGAATGCTTTCAAGTTACTATAAAACTGCCCCGTTTTAGTTTAAAAAAAAACAAAAAAAAAAAAACAAACAAAAAAAAAAACACACAACAGACAGTAAACTGCGACAATTCAAAAATAAGACAAATTAATGTTTGTGTATTCAGAGTTCTGCAGCCTTATAAACCAAAATATCATGGTTACCAACCTTTGGGGTGTGTGGCGTATCAAACAGACGGAGCTTTCTGAAAGTTTTATGGGGCGGTGTATCAGGACAGTCCGGAATGGGGGAGCTCGATCCCTCCAGATCATCGTGAATATACGTCCTCTCCGGCGAACTGTCGTAAGTCCGGGGGCTTTTTCTTGGCGATGGAGAGTTTTTCACGCAGAAAGTCGGTTTGAGATGAGACGGAGAACCAAAGCCTTCTTCATCCCAAGACTCCGCATCGTCGTCCTCCCTGGGTCGGCTCAGGGGGCTGCTGTTCAGTTCCTCTTGTCTCTTGTCCGTGCTGCTTCGGTGGAGAACCGGAGAGTCCAACTCCGTAAAACCCGACTCAGCCCCGGTGCTGCTGTTGGCCTCCTCGACACTGTCCTCTTCCCCGTCGCTGTTAGAAAACTGCAACTTCTGGCGAATGGGCCGAAGGTTTGAAGAAAACTCGGCATGTCGCCGACAGCCGAAACTCATTTTGTTGGCAAAATCTCTCGACCTTTTCTGAGTCTTTCAAAAAAATGCGATAAAACGCAAACGGCGAAAAAACTGTGTTACGTTAACTGTGGTAACACACCAGCCAAGAAGGCTGGCAAGTCAGGCACCAAAATGGGAGCAAAACATGTCTGGCAAGCGGTAATTAGCTAACTTTAGCTAATAGGTTTACTGGCTGAAGTGTGAATAGCCGATGTGGCTTGCTGACTCGTAAATAGCTGTTAGCGCGCTAGCCACTCGGCTAGCTACAAAAGTTACTTCCAAAGTCCACAACAATACGAACCCCGTCTCTTCAGCTGTTGACTATCGACAGCGTTGTCCTCGGACACCTCCAACATACACACGACTGGATTAAACTAGCCCTTACCGACTAGTAGACTGCCTTTTCACCACAAAGCAGAAAAGTGGCTAAGTTAGAAAAAAAATGGCTTCTTCGCTGCGTCTCCCAAAACCTAACTACCGTAGTCAGTCCTCTAACGGAGCAAAATCAAATATCCATGAAAACCAAGCCAACGTATCTCGACGAAGAAAGAAAAACTAAGTAATACTCGTTAAAGTATTGGAAATTATGCGGATTAAGACAATTTTGTTTACAAAAGTAGTTTGAATGGGGCGCTACTCCTCCCACCTACAGACAGCGTGCTCAGAACCTTCCCGCGACCGTTGGTCAAATGACTCCGGCTCGACCAATCAGCGGAGAGCTCTCAGTTTGAAAGATGGGCGGTTCTGCGAGGTGACGTCACCGCTGGTCGTTCTCCATCTTGCCGAAAGTCTCCGCTCTACACTGGCGCGAAGGCGCGGCTTTCATCTGCTAATCTGATCTCTCTCGCTTGATCAGAGAACACTGCTTTATCATGGTAATTTAAGGTTTTTCTGGACCTCCACTTCGACATTAATCCACTTAAAGACAGGTTATGGTAAAATGTGTATCCCACATATACGATGAATTAGATGAAGGACGGAGAGCATTTCTGTGTTCAGTCTTAAATAGTAGCTTCGAAGACCTCAGTCTGACTAGTCACTAAGACTGAGTTCATTTTAACATTTAACAGTCGTCCGTTAGCATATTGTTTTCTTTTGTACTTACAAGGGAGGTTTCGCTGGTATATTAGACCTATTCAGATCCTGTATGTATTTGGCCGTTGTAGGCCGTCCAAATTAGCCACATGGTTGTGTTTCTATGTGTAAAACTCCGCCCATGAAACGAAAAGAAGCCCAATCCACTGGGTACATGCAACAACACAGGTTACACTTTACAAGCATTAGAACACGTCCTGTAATTAATCTGCTGGGTTTGTGGCTGGAGTGCTTTCCCTCAATACTGGCAGACACTTAAGATTAGATGGTTTAAATATATTTTAGGCCAAATAAATTACTTGAAGTCAGGAACCCTAGGCTATATAGGAGTTAAATATCACTCAAACTATACTGTTTGGACCATTCATTTATTAAGATCCTAAAAAGTCATGTATTCAATAGAAGAATCAAATAAATATTTACAGCAGAAAACTCCAGTTTCAAAACATAGCTATGTACATAAATCCACATAAAAATATCTTCAGTCCTCTTGAAACAGAGCAATCATAATGCTGGCATAGCAAACATTTCTTTTTTGATACTTGATTCTCTCCGTTGCTCACTGTAAACACCCACACGCACACACACTCGTTCAAGCTGATGGTACTATATTAAAGGTCATGCTTTAATCATCCAGGCCTGGCGACTCTCCTTGCTGTATTCTTGATGCAATTCTGATTGCCTCTTCTAGCGAGGGTTGGTCGCTGAGCTGCAAAGAACAAAAGCCCAAGGTTGTTATATTTTGCTGTACACACAGCACAATGCTTTTTTTTTTTTAAGTTGAATGTAATGTTTTGTTATAAATTTTGCCCAGTTGTACAATGTTGCCATCTACTCAATTGTAAAGGTACATGGAGTAGAAAGGATAGTTTGATTTGGGATTTCCCCACATTGCCCCAGTCTTTACTGACTGCAAAAATCCTACCACTCTGTGATCATAAAAACATCACCTAAACGATGGATCACATTTTTGTGACCAGAATTATTAGTAATTGTGCCACTTATTTCAAATACAATACACCTAGATGTTATTGTTACATTTGTATTTTAATCAGGTTTAAATGTACTCAGCAATAGGGGTTGGCCATATGACAATATTTATTGTTATCATGATTGTACTTCACAGTATCCTTTTCTGACAGAACAGAGTAAAAGAGTACAGTGGAGGATGGAATATGGAATAAAATCATTGTATTCATACTATTTTTTTTAAGTTGTTACAACTCTTCAAACTTAAGAAAAACAAAATATTGTGATACTTTTTGTGAATAATACCACTGTTACATTGTGCCATATCGTCTGTCTCTACTCAGCAGCCTGTAATTTTGAAACATACCTCTGTTTTCCCTAATTATATTTTTATGCAATTTTATGTATAAGTATTTCACATTGGAACAGAGAAGGTCATATTCCATGTGATTTTTCTCCCTTGTATTGCTTGTATTAAAAATAAATCTGTATGAATACACTTTTTGTGTTTACCAGTTTCAACATATTTACCTTAATGACTTACATTTTTATGCCATACAATCGCTACTTGAGAATTACTAAAACTACTTCATCTTAATGTCAGTCTGGAGGTAAGGCTCTCTAATCAGATGTAATTGACAGTTTGGTGTTAAGACCATCAATGTCTGGATGATTAAGCTGCTAATGACTCAATTAGAACTCCATCAGCAAAGAGAAGTGACACAATCAGTAATTCAAACAAGAAATTAATCAGCACTGAGAAATTATGTTGTTAATTCTTCTTGCATAAAGAATAGGTTTAAAATCCATTGCGGCTTTTATTCACTTTAGTTGGAAGACTAATTGATATAAGAGTAATACAGCACAGACACCTCTTGTTTAGCTCCAAGTTGGTTGTAGAAGCCCTGTAAACTGACAGGCTTTTTAATTTCTTTAGTTTGATTAAATATTTAATAGGATGTATATTTTATAAATAACTAACACTGTGGGAACTCCAACTGAGACTATTACACAACAGCTTGCCACAATATTTCAGTTAAACATCCTACACCCTTAAGCCATAAAACACCAGTCTCTTTACCACCTAAAACAAAGGATTTCAGTCTTTAGCATACAGAGAGATATGTGCAATCCATCAGCCCCACCTCAACAAGGATTTGTGTTTTATAGCACTTGTAGAAGATTACTTGAAATCTTGTTGGATACACTTGTATTTGAACTCACTGAACCCCCTCTGTGTGCATGTCAAAGATACCTGCACGGCTATGTGTGTGCCGTTGGAGGTAGCCAGCAGAGTAACTGGGTGTGGGCTGGTGGATACCACAGGGTGCTGCTGCTGCTCCTGCACCAACTCCCCTTCCTCAGTCTGAAACATGGACAGATCCGGCGTCACAATGGCCACCTACAAAGCAAACGAGAAGTCAGTGACGTAAACAAGCACAAAGCCCCAACAGTACACATCATTTTTAAGCTGACGGCTCAGCTAAGCTGAACTAAAGCAAACACAGATGGAGACTTGAGAGCCAGTCCACAAGGACACGAACAAGCAGTTGTGTGCAAAAGTTTGGGCACCCCGGTCAAATTCCATGTTTTCTTGACTTTAAGTGAAAAGTACACCTCCCCTATAGAGAACACATTGTTATCATGATAAATTTTATTATCGAAATAAACAATATGCTTCTCTGAGCATACTGTGTCTATCGTCAGTACTTTTTAAGAGCTCACTGTACCCAGAGTTTTTGATAGCTGTTTTAACATGTGGTGCTACTAGTGCATTGTGTCTGTGTCTCAAAATATTGCAATACATATAGTGTATTGTAAAAAGTCTTTAAATATTGTGATGATATTTTTGCCATATTGCCCACCCCTACTTCTGCACATTTGCATGCATAATTACTATTTATTTATTGAATTTAACCTACCAAAAGGTTGCATTTTAACAACTTTTAAATAGATATTATGCACTAAAATTTGAAGAAAAATGCAAAATTTAAGTTTCTTCCCTGTAGAGGATGCATTGACTTTCCACATAGAAATTGTACATATCATTTGACCGGGGTGTTCAAACTTTTTCATACGACTGTAAATATGAGCCTTTACCTGTCCTTCTGTGCCGTCCGCTGAAACCATGGTGACCGAGTGAGTTTCTCCCGATGAAAGCATTGCTTCATGTGCAGGGATGGTTATAGTGGTTCCCTCTTGCGTTACCATGGTTATTGTGCCACTCATTGCTTGCACATCTGCCTGAGAGAGAACCTGAAAGGACAAAGGCAGTACGCTAGCTGCTGGAATATTTTAAGCACTATATTTTCAGATATACTGTAACCTAATTTTAAAGGCCACTGCAAAGATCAAGGACACAAAAATGGTAGTAATATAATTGAGACTTCTGAATTGTTTTTTGTGTTTTTATGTTTCTTTGGTTTTGCAATATACACTAGCACTGGCATCACAGTTACATATATTTTGTTGCAGGTACATGTGCAAAAACTTTATAGGTTTTAACTAATTTTTAGGATGCTGGAAAAAAAAATTAGATGTGTCCAGAGTGATGGAATTGAGCTACAGATGATTCGATGATGACTGAGAAAGATGTATAGTCATATATAAACATTTGGGCACCCCTGGTCAAATTACATGTTGATTTTCTAAGAGAAAATATGTTTACAAATACTCTACAGAGAACACACTTATACACATTTTAATGCACAATTACTGTTTATTTGTTGAATTTAACGTATTAGACAAAAGCAAAAACAAAACGTGACCTGTGTAAAGTCATGGCACATTTCATATGTTCTGTTTGTCCAAAACTCAGCAAAAAGAAGAAAAGAAAAAAAAAGAAATAGGGCATTAAATTTAGCAGAAAAATAACATATTTAAGTATGTTCTCTGTAGAGGATGTGTTGACTTTTTTCACTGGGTGTTTAAAATGGCTGTAAATTGTATAAGACTGTAATAACACTGAAAAAGAAGTTTTAATATAATTTACATCTGGAATGCCTTGTATTGGAATAGTGGGAACAAATCTTAAGGCGGATAACTTGTCCAGAAATTACTTTAAATAAATAATAACAGTATTTTATAATTTCATAACATCTTGAAATTCCCAAAAATCTTCAGATATTTAATAATACATCTACAAATACCTTGGAGTCTAGCAATCTACACTGTTTATTACTGAATAAATTACAATGATTAACAAGTGATCCCAAACTTTTGAATGGTATCATATATAGAGATTTCATTCCCACATTTAATGACAACTACTGACCTGCTGTGTTCCATCTTGAGATATGAGCGCTACGTGCTGCTGACTCATGATCTCTGATCCTGCTGAAACCTGCTCTGAGCCACTGTCCTCCTCCACTACAGTAGGAGTAAATGTTAACGTGGGGTCATCAACGGCCTCTGAACAAAATATTCACACATACATACACAAATGCAATTAGCTCTAGCCAAAAAAAGAGAGTAACAAACAAAATTTAACCATCTGCTAGTATTAAAACAAAACATGTTGACTTTTCAATGTGAGTGAAATGAATCATGACTCAGTTTTTAAATTGCACAGCTTCAAAGGTTCTATTGTTTTCATTCCTTGTGTGCACTGACCTGCAGGCGGCTCAAAGTAGGATTCCTGCTCCTCTTCAATGGGCTCGGTGTCATTGTGGGCTGTGCGTTTGTGCATGGCTAAAGTAGAGATCTGCTTGTAGGTCTTCCCACAATGGTTGCAGTTGTAGGGCTTGCAGGGAGTGTGGACCACATGGTGCTTGTAGAGACTGGAGTACTCAGTAAAGCGCTTATCACAGCCAGGAACAGTGCAGACGTAAGGCTTCTCTCCTAGAGCAGCAAATACAATGTGCTTAGAGGAGTATGATGGTGTGATTTGTATGTGTTGTGATTTGTGATCTGAGATCTAATGCCTGTGCATATTTTCTCATCATATGATCATTTAAACAAAATTATTACATTTTCAACAGCTAACATTTTTATTAGGACAAGTTAGGAAAGAGTAGGTAGGTACCAGTGTGGATCCTCATGTGATTTTTGTAGTTGGTGGCACTGGCAAAGGCTCTTCCACAGTTGGGCTCAGAGCAGTAGTACGGCCGCTCACCAGTGTGTGTTCGTATGTGAACCTTTCGAATATTTGAAGTGGTGAAAGATCTCCCACAACCTTCAAATGGACATTTGAAAGGCTTCTCCCCTACAAGAATAATAATGTAAGAAACCTGAACCATTAACAACTAAAACACAACTAAACAATGTCATTACAGCTTAATTACTACTGTACACACTATGCAATAGCTTAGTCAGAATATCACGTTAAAGGGTACCACACCTGTGTGTGTTCGTGTGTGTTTCTGTAGGTCTCCAGATGTCTTGAAAGACTTAAGGCAGTTGAGCTCCTGACAGCGATATGGTTTTTCACCAGTGTGTGTTCGAACATGACTTTTGAGTCCGTACCCTGAAAGAAACATATCACCAGCAAAATTAATGGTGTGCAGTTAAAAAAAAAGTTGTAATTCCACAGATGGTTCAAAAGTACACAAAAATGTAAGTAAAGTCATTCAGAGTAGTTTGCACCATCCAGAGTGAAATACTCCATTCTAGAGAAACTTGCAGTCATAATTGTTTACAGTGGTGGTGATTGGAAACAGATGTCTGAAGCATTTGGTGCCTCCTTAAGCTACACCACAGAAAGTTATTATATGAAATTGATCTTTTCAAATCTAATGCAATATACTGTCGTCCCCCGTAACCAATGGCAATTGACAATAGCATGGACAATAGCATGGTGTGGGCGGTGGGTGTCGCAAATGAAGTGTGTACTCTGACATTTAAATCATCCAACTTGATTGCAGGTCCTATGTTGAGCCTAACATTGAGGAAGAGCAGAAACCCTACTTTGAACCGCCTGCAGGTCAGTGCACATAAATGAAATCTATCAGTGATTTGTGATCAATTGTCTCAAACCTATCACATATATATATATATATATATATATAACTGCTGGATTCTGAGAAAAATGATATTTTTAAAAAGGTGCAATTCCCCATTAACATATATCCAGATATAAAACTGTACCTGTGGCGAACTTTTTACCGCAGCCCAGATGGTCACATATGTAAGGTTTATCACCAGTATGTGATCTTTCATGTACCTTTTAATGAAAACAAAATCAGAATATGTTACATTATAATTAAAATATTTAAGAAACTATACGGGTAAAATGTCCAAGACTGTGCTAATTAAATGGTGATAGGGCTTTACTTTTAGATGGTGTGCCGTGGTGTATAGTTTTCCACAGCCCTCGTGCTCACAACGGAAGGACTTTTCCCCAATGTGCTGCACTCTGGGAGACCGGCTCTCCTGACCCTGGAGTACAATCTGAACACAGAGGACTTGTCATTAATATGACACAAAAAACACTTATACAGAACACAGCATGTGATCCAAAGAAACAGTGATGAGTGAGCAATACTGATCACAAAGAAAGAAACAGCACCTGCATATGCACACTGCCATCAGAGTCGCCTCTACCAAGCAACCCAGTGCCACATTCTGTGCCCTCCATCTGAAAGAGTAATTCAGGTATATTAGAAGGGACTTCCACAAACTTTTACTACATCAGACATTCTCATTGTGACATGAGTGTTTTGTGATTGTCACCTTGGTGGAGTATTGCTCCAGTACACTAATGGTCTCAGGGTCGATGGTGCCCTCTGTCTGCAGGTCAGCCACTGTGCCGTCAGCCTGAATGGCCAGGATGGTGCTCGACTGGGGCATATGTTGGATGTAGGCAGTGGTGCCATCCTCCAGTTGGACCGCCTGTAAACCACCCTGATCATATGTTTCTAAAAAACAATATACATTTATTTAAATGACACTGATTACAGTATAAAGACATTTACAAAAGACCAAATCTGATGCATCTTCCATTACACAAAACAGTAACTACTGTGACAGACATGCCTTTGGGTGTATGAATGTATGCAGTCGTTCCATCCTCCAGCTGCACAGCTTGACCGTCCTCTAGTCTCAGCCCTTCTCCTACTGAAAGTTAAATGATGCTTGATGTTTAAAAAATACCTCTTTATTTAAGGGGTACGTTATATTGTATAAACAGCATATAGCATATAACAACCCATTTATGCATGAGTTGCACATGATTAATAATGCAAGGTAACAAGTTCAGTCTTTTGTGAGGTACCTGTTTTAGGCATTGGTACATGCTGCACATATGCAGCAGATCCATCTTCCAACTGGATCACCTGCCCTTCCATTATCTTATTATCTGTAAGAGAAACTGTAAAAATGATGTAAGATTCAAAGTAAACCACTAGATAGTTGCAACTGTTGTACTCAGGTGTGTGCTCATAATCTTAGTGGCAAATTACTGCTTCCTTGCAATTACATCTAGTATATTTTTGGGATTAACTGGAAGCTTTGAGCATCATTACATGAATACACAAACATATATTATTGTTCTATTTCTGTACCTTTAGGGCTGTGCTGTATGTACGCAGTGGAGCCATCCACCAGAGTGACTGCCTGTAAACTCACTGTGTCCATAGCCTCAATGTGGTCACTATCTGTAAGGCAAATGCTACTAGTTACAGGCCTGCACAGGAATTATCAAGCGGAACAAATGTACAGTTTACAGAGATACTTCACCTGCAACGGTCACAGCCTCTGTCAGACAAAGGGTAACCTGCTGTGGGTCACCCTCGACACTTTGAAACTCCATGCTCTGGGTGTCTCGATTCACCTGGGCCAAGAGCATGGTCTACCTGCGAACACCAACCAGCCAACACCACACTATCCTGATACAACTCCAACTGGCAATGTAACAATAAAAGTCAGGAAGCAGACAATGCTTGGCACAAGTAAGAGGCAACTGTAGTTTTCCACTTAACAGGGAACCTCTGTTCTCAGGTTAAAATGTCCAAAATGCATCAAATTAACTTATGCTGACCCACCAGTATACTCATTTTGGAGATATATTCAAAATTATGTACAATACTTACAATACTGGTCAAAAATAAACACTTGATCTAAAAACGGTTTTAAAGTACATAGCTCCAAATGCATTACTGTACTATGAACTGTCTTGTTCTGTTCAGATGACTTGAATCAGTGGAGTTAGGTGTAACATCAACTCAAATTTCATTGATGTGATCACACATCATGCGTTCAGTAACTGTGCTTATACTGCAACTTGTATATAAGCTATGGTGTAACATATTCCTAACCCTTTAAGGCGCAAAGGAACACCGTGTCCATCCTTTATCTTTATTTAGAGGACATAAAGCCACCGTGGCGCAGACTTCATTAAACCCAATGCCATCGCTCTAGAAAGTCGATACTAAGGTTTCGCCACCTCGAACAGTTGCTAGAGTAACAGTTAACGTGTATAACTGCTCCGCACCCTTCCAAGCTAAACAGCTACATTAGCTACTCACAATGTAAGTTTTTTGCTTGAGCATCTTTAGCCACATTAGACAAAATCGCTGCATTTATCTGCGTTTCGTTCTTAGCACGAAGGTCTGTACAGATTTAGACGTGTAGCTAAGCGGTTAGCAGAACATCGGCTTATGTACAGAGTATGGTACTAGCTAAGCTAGCCTGACATGTTAGCAAATATGCTAAAATAACGTCCGGGTTTTCGGTTTGTTTAACGTTTACATAAGGCTGGCGCTGGTGTATGAGAGTTTAATTTGTTATCTGAAACAGTGTAATTCTGTGTAATTTACCAGTCATTAATGTTAAATTACGAAGGAAAGAAAGTGGGGGAGGCGTAAGGAAGCGCTACGTGAACTCGAAGAAGCAAAATAACAGGAACGTTATAATGTTGCAACCGAAATGAGCTCAGCGTCCAACAGCCTCTAATAAATAAAACATTGCTTCCGATGCGTTTTAATTGCTTTATTGAAATCATGTTGCGTCTTAAAGTTTGGAGATTCCTCCACCGGCGAGCTCCCCAGCTATGCGGTGACTGAGGGAATAAGGCACACTGGGTAAAAACACATTTATATACTAACCTCCCAAATTTTCCAACAATCCCTTCGTCCGACCACCATGCATCAGGGCAGGAAACGCTCTGCGGACTCCACAGCCCAGGAACATGAATGATTGCATAGTACGCCGTGAGAGGGCGGGGTCAGTCCTCGCGTACTGTCTTTCGATTGGCTCATAACGACGACTGTCGTTATCCTCTCGCTCTTATTGGTCCAAACTCTTTCATCTTAGAAAACACGGGCGGAAATATTCACGTTCGGGGGCACCATGAAAACGCCATTCTGGTCTGTAGACCGTATTGTCTACCGATTAATAAACACGAACGACGCGTAGGCACGCGAGCTCAACCGTTTTATACATACCAGCGGATGCCGGAGTTTGGCTCTCGCTGCTCTTACGTTTACAGAAGTGAATTGTGCCGTTAGTGCTTACTGAACAACAAAAAGTGGATCATGTTTTAAGAGCGCGTTCGCAGCCATTTTGAATCTCCGCCTGGTGATGAGTAGTGGGGCTGTATGGGCAATGCAGTGCACACAGAGAACCTCACTCCATACTGTACACACCGCACACCAGACTCTACAGCAGACCACACTATACACACCAGATTGTACATCAGACCACATTATAAACACCAGACTGTACATCAAATCACACTATACACAACAGACTCTACAGCAGACCACACTATACACACCAGATTGTACATCAGACCACATTATAAACACCAAACTGTGCATCAGATCACACTATACACACCAGACTGTACAGCAGATCACACTGTACACACCAGGCTGTACAGCAGACCGCACTATACACTCCAGACTGTACAGCAGATCACACTGTACACACCAGACTGTACAGCAAACCGCACTGTAAACACCAGACTGTACCTCAGATCACACTATATACACCAGACTGTACAGCAGATCACACTATACACATCAGACGGTACAGCAGATCACACTATACACACCAGGCTGTACAGCAAACTGCACTGTAAACACCAGACTGTACCTCAGATCACACTATATACACCAGACTGTACAGCAGATCACATTATACACATCAGACGGTACAGCAGATCAGCCTATACACACCAGGCTGTACAGCAAACCGCACTGTAAACACCAGACTGTACCTCAGATCACACTATATACACCAGACTGTACAGCAGATCACACTAGACACATCAGACGGTACAGCAGATCACACAATACACTCCAGACTGTACAGCACACCGCACTGTAAACACCAAACTGTACATCAGATCATACTATATACACCAGACTGTACAGCAGATCACACTGTACACTCCAGACTTTACAGCAGATCACACTATATACACCAGATAGTACAGCAGATCACACTGTACACACCAGACTGTACAGCAAACCACACTGTAAACACCAGACTGTACATCAGATCACACTATATACACCAGACTGTACAGCACATCACACTGCACACTCCAGACTGTACAGCAAACCGCACTGTAAACACAAGACTGTACATCAGATCACACTATACACACCAGACTGTACATCAAATCACACTGTACACTCCAGACTGTACAGCAGATCACACTATATATACCAGACTGTACAGCAGATCACAGTGTACACTCCAAACTGTACATCAGATCACACTATATGCTCCAAGACTGTACAGCAGATCACACTGTACACACCAGACTGTACATCAGATCACACTATACACTCCAGACTGTACATCAGATCACACTATACACACCAGACTGTACAGCAGACCGCACTATACACTCCAGACTGTACAGCAGATCACACTATATACACCAGACTGTACAGCAAACTGCACTGTAAACACCAGACTGTACAGCAAATCACACTGTACACTCCAAACTGTACAGCAGATCACACTGTACACACCAGACTGTACAGCAGATCACACTATTCACTCCAGACTGTACAGCAAACCGCACTGTAAACACCAGACTGTACAGCAGATCATGGTGTGTGTGTGTGTGTGTGTGTGTGTGTGTGTTTATTTATTTATTTATTTATTAAAAATCTCCGACTGGTGATAAGTAGTGGGGCTGTATGGGCAATGCAGTGCACACAGAGAACCTCACTCCATACTGTACATACCACACACCAGACTGTACAGCAGATCACACTATACACACCAGACTGTACAGCAAACTACACTGTAAACACCAGACTGTATATGTATATATATATATATATATATATATATATATATATATATATATGTATGTGTGTGTGTGTGTGTGTGTGTGTGTGTGTGTGTGTGTGTGTGTACCACTGTGTTGCATCACCTCTTCTTTTAACAACACTCTGCAAACATTTGGGAACTGAGGAACCAATCTCCCAATTTTTTTGAAACATGTTGCTGACATCTAATTCAAAATGGACATATGTTTTTATAAAACCAAAACATTTCTCAGTTTCAACTTATGACATGTTGTTTTTGTTATAATGTATCTACTCAATGGTACTAGAGGGCCAGCCGTTTGAGATGTCCCCCACCTCACCCCATTGATCCCAGTGCATGCTGGGTATGAGAACATTTATAAACGAAAACACAGAACTGGCAAAATATGAGTCAAGTGCATTCTGTCAAATCAGTGAAACTGAGGGATGCAGGGCTGCGCCACAGAACATTACAGCACATGTCAAATAACAAAATAAATGCAGTTTTAGGATGGAATGCACCTTTAATGCTAAGCCTTGTCATAGCACAGGCTTTATCATGATTATAATAGAGTTTCAAAAATCTTCTTTAGTCTGGGTCTACATATAACGTTAAAACTAGCCAGCAATTACAGAGATAAAATACCTTGAGACAGCCAACCAGTGGCCATCCAATGACAAAAGGATTTACCAGCCAATTGCCCTTGCCAAAGAGACAAAGCCAGTAACCCTGCTTCATCATAGAATGAGGTTTATCTAGTATGAGAGAGGCGTGTTCATGGACCAAAACTGTGCTGCTGTCTGCTACTGTATGGTGTTAAGAAGCTCCTAAACCACAGTGTTTTTTCCACTATTGTAAAACGCATACCACCCTATTACCTTATATTGAATGTGGGTTGATTTTCTTCCTTTAATTCAGTCGACCTGATTGCCTCTTTTCCTCTTCTGCCATATAGGTGCTCCAGACAGTGTAACTGCTGAAGCCAGAGGCACAATTACCCACTTCTTCAGGTGTACGCAAGGGCCAGTCATTCATATGTCACAGTGATCAAATGGAATGCCACTCGCTAAACAGAGGCTGATCACTAATCCACACAGATTTATTGAAGATTTACAGTTTACTGTGTATCCAAAAATGCACCATATTGCATACTTCAGAAAATCAGACAGACAATTTCTTCATTTTTTCCAAACGTCCTGTATTAAATCATCCTCCATCTCATCTGACTCATTGCCTTTGGTCAACCTTTTGCAATTTTACCTTAAGGTTGCTCTTGTGTAACCTACTGATGACAAGTAGACTGGCTTAATAAAAGTAAGCATGCTGTATTAGTGTTTAAAAACAAGTGGCCTAGTTTTCATTCATTTTAACCTGGCTGTCCATTAACAACAATCAAAAACACCCCACTCATTATTAAAGTCATTTCCTTGAATTTTTAAAAATTATTGAAACCGTTTCTGTTGGTTTCTGGTGCTTTTGTAATATCTTTTGACTTTTCTTGATGGGTTGACATCACAGTGCCCTACTAAAAAGCAAGCGCAGACCTGCACAAAGTCCATGCAGGTCTAAGCTGGTTTATGCTGGTCTTGTGCTGGTCTGATGCTGGTTTAGCTGGTTATGGAGTGTGGTCATGCTGGTTGATCAGCATACCAGCGTCCAGAACACAACATATACTGGTTTAGATGGCTATCATCATATCAAGTTCTATTGCTGCTGACCAGCATCCAAAACACAACATATGCTGGTTTTGCTGGTGATCAGGCATGCTAGTCTATGCTGCTTTTTCTAGTAGAGTGTAAAGGATCATAATGGTTTATCAGGTGTCCTGGGACTGATTCCAGATTTGCTTTTGATGAATTCCTGGTGGGATCTAAAGGTGTTCTACAGGAAATTAGTGGTCTCTAATGGCAACCATTAAGCCAATTACCAAAAGGAAGCTAAACCATCGGGTTTTAATCCTAATGATTCTAACGGTCTTTTTCAGCGGGATTGTGCTGACAGTGGACCCTGAAAACGTTGCGACAGTGTATTTTCTACACGCTCCTGAGTCTCAGGTCCGTCCTCGGTTTCCTCTATTATTCAAGGAACAAATCCATATGAGACACGGGCGCTGTGGCTGAGTGACGAGCAGGCAGGGACCCCGGCCGCCACCTGTCTGGCTTTATATAAGGAGCCTCCAGCGGTAGAAAGTGGAACAGGGGACGGCATGGAGCTGAGAGAGGCGGCGGCTCTCCGACAGCAGCGCAGGATTAAACAGGCAATTCAGTTTTTACACAAGGACTCCGCAGATCTCCTGCCTTTAGATGGCCTCAAGAAACTTGGAACTTCTAAAGAAGGGGTGAGTTGTGAATTTTCAAAAATAATAATTCCTAAAACGGATTAAAAACTAAATGCGCCATGTAGGTAATGTGTTATTGTATGTAAACTATATGATGGGCTGTGTGTGTGTGTGTGTGTGTGTGTGTGCGCCATGTATTTGTACCTTAACTGGACGTATAACGCGACGTTTTCGCCAAAAGCGAAATTTCAGTCCTTTTTAAATCAATTTTACGATTTGTTTGAGCAGCAATGTATAAAGCTCAGCTTATATACCAATTGCTGTGCAGTTTGTGTTCAAGGTTTTCCCAGAGACAAAACGTTTTATTATTGTCTGTCTCATGACGTCATGGTTAAATCTGGGGAAACCCTGTGCTGGAGATGTTTTTTCACAGAGGGAAAACAGAGGAGTTCTTTAAAAAAGACGAGAACTTCAGTGACGTAAAGTACTCATTATATGTGGAAAGGGATTCTCCAGTCGTCAATTTCTGGTTTGTGCACGACAATGGAATTGAGACAAAGCAGCTACATTAAATCAGGGACTCCGGCCAAAATCAAAAATTTAACCGTCGATACATCTGTTGTAACCATGCCTGCTCGCTTCTCAGTCATGCCACAACGGTCCAAACAGAGACAATTTCTGGTTTACAGAGCAGGAAAACCCACTTCTGGTGACCTGTTTTGAAGGTGGAAGGAGCTTTTAAAAAAACTACAACTGTTTTGGGGGATGTTTTTACCCTATTAGCTGGCAAAGGCAGAAAGAAGCCAGACAGAAAGCTAAATATCATGTCTGTGTTTATTAGCCTTTACGTAAGTGGTATTTGGATATCTCTGTCACTGTGGGGGATTCCCAATTGGCCCTGCTAGGAAAAGACTAGCATAGACCAGCATGGCTGGTCACCAGCAAAACCAGCATATCGCTGTTGTCAGAAGAAAACCTTATATCTCCAAAATGTTAACTTTACACGAGAAGGAAAAAACCTACTTTACTTTTAATGTAAATCAATGGAACCACAATTTTTTCCAAGTCATTTTGGGTCATTTCTTTTAGGCCATTCATCATGAAATTTACACACAGTGTAAAGGGCAACAGATATTTTCAAATTATGTCAAAAACTGGAAAACGTCAAAAATGGAGATACAAGGTTTTCTTCCGACAACAGCGATATGTTATATTTTGGTATGCTGTAGTATAACATATTTGCATAGTGCATGCTGGGTGTTGTAGTGAGAGAACATTGATTGACAAAAACACAAATGTGAAAATTGTCAATTCTGTTAAACTGATAGGGTCGAGAGATACAATGCTGCACTACAGAACATTACATAACATGACAAACAGCATTTTAGATACTAGTTTTAGGCCCCTTGACAACAATCTGCAATATATGCAATTTATTTGAATAAAGTATCATAAAATCCAAAGTAGACATTTCCACATCTCCAAATTTATTCCTCAGTGTTGGACTATTTGCTATTTGTAGCTAAGTGGAGTTTAACTTTGGAACATGTTGAATGTTAAATCCAGATACACTTGCCCATAAGGATTTTTTTTCCCCAACAGCAACCACACAACATTCTCCAGAGAAGGCTGCTGGAGGCCAACTTATCACGAAACAGACTGAACACCCGGACTTCGAAAGCACCTTCGAAAAACATAGTTCAGAGCCATGGTGTCAACAGCGAGTCTCAGGAGATGGAAAGTGACCTCATTCAAGTTGTGGGTCAGGTGAATAGCACGTAGAATATGGTGCCTATGATAAAAAGACTTGTCTTTTTGTCTAACTTCATCCAAAACTATTCTTTTATTTTGTTCTTTAGTGCTCTGGGCGGGAGGTGGTGGTTACAATTGACACTGGATGTACATTAAATCTCATATCATCAGTCAGTGTGGAGAAACTTGGGTAAGCGTCTCTTTCAATATGAATAGCCAGTTGTTTTTAACGCAACATGCAGACAAGAATTGTATCCAGGCTGTAATCAAGGCACAAATAATTATCTTACCTTGGTCCTACAGCTTGAAGGAGAAGACCATCAACGGCAAAAGCGAGGACGAGTTAGGGCCACTCCAGCGCAACCTTCTAGCCACAGGACAGATCGTGCTGAGTTTGGTGATTGGACAAACAAAGATGGATCTTTTGTTTAGTGTTGTGGGTGAGTTTAATACGACATCATCATATTGAGGAAATACATTAAGGTTTAAATAAAAAATGTAATTAGTTGAAATATGGTTTATATTGTAGAAATTGACAGGATGTTCATATCACTGGGAATGAAGACACTCAAATCTCTGAAGGTAAAATCACTCTATTTCATCATACCAAATTTAAGACAAAATGCTCACTTCAGGTAGATGTGATAATACAATTTACAGTGCGGTGTTCTCTGTTGCAGTGTGTAATTGACATTGAAAAGCAGATGCTGGTTCTTGGAAAATCTGTAAGGGAGCAAATACATTTTGCTGGGAGACGTGAAAACGAAGGTTAGAATTATTTGCTGTATCATTTCTAACACTAGTTCTGTACTGTGCTTACACCCAAGTGATATTTGTCTGTGTATTATTTTCCATCTGGTTTTCTCACTTCTGCTCTATATTTCAGTCTCCATGGAATAGGAGGAATCTACACATAAATTTTCCTGCAGGAAAAAACTGTGTTTTGGGAACACAGCAAAACTCAAGTGCAGGAGTTCTCCACAAAGCTTCACAGCCCCTCTCTCCACAAACTCTGCATTTTGCTGCAGAGCTCAGAATGAGCCAGCTTTCCAAGCAGGACACTGCTGAATTATACATAAAGGCCAAGTATCACTTCAGCAGCCACACACTTACACAAAACGTCATGTGTGTGTGACACAAAGCCAACAACAATTTGGGCCACAACAAAAATTTACAAGAAGTTGAACCAGGGGTATAGCCAAGGGGTGGGCAAGGGGGGCCAGTGCCATCCCCAGTTATGCAAGGTGAGATAGTCAGCAATTATCAATAAACCAGTCACAGGAGAAAAGTTATCCTACCCCGTGTGAAAAAGTATGACTTATAGTAAAAATCTACATTCCAGGCAGTTTCCAAAGACATATAAGCACCGAATGACGCTGCACTCAACAATCTGTGTCTTGGTGTTTTCAGCAAACAGGTGAAAATTGGAAACCTTAACAGTCTTGTTCATTTTTGCTCAATGAAACAGTTAACACTGACTTTATATGTTATTGAAAAGCACCTAAATCTCTACAATATATTGTTTTATTAAACATCATGCTCTATGTGCATCACATAACTGACTGAACATTTTAAAAATGTTCAGCAGAAGTTACAGATGGTACAGTGAACAAAATATTTTTCGTATAACACCTCAATGAAATCACTGGTCTCACCTGGCCACCCCATTGAAAAAGTTCTGGCTACACCCCTGTGTTGAACACTTGTGGATTGAGGTTTATGTATTCATTATAATGTGAAAGTTAGTGTCTTGTTCTTAGAAAACTGGAAGAATGTCATAAAAAAATCTATATGGTGAGACTATATTAATGCTATATTGCTCTTTGAGTAACACAAGCCAATGAAATGTAACTATTCTAAATGATTACCTTGTGATTAAGCATGTGTTTTCATTAGCGTAGCATCATTGTTTTGGTTTTAGTCGTAATTTGAACTCCTGGCCTACCTCTGTTTACCAAAAAGCATCCCACTGTTTTTAGTTGACCTAATGGAAGTTTGCTTATTCTGATATCAGCTAGAGATGCTGATGCTTTTCTTTCGACAGCTACTGGTAATATCAAGTACTGACAACAGCGCGTGTAGCACCGTTTTCCAATTTCTACCTCCCATTATAATTCTAATGTTGCACAGATAAGAGCCAGCAGTTTTGCTGTCTTATTACTTACATTTGAAACCAGAATCCCTAAAGCAGATATGTGCTCAGCTCTGGAAACCTGGTTGGAGCCAGTTCTATGTGCAGTATGTTTTACACTGTTCATAGGCCCTTTTTAGTCATTTGTAGTCATTTTAGTACAGCACTGGCCTGATATTATATTATAAAGTATATATAGTCTACTCCAGTGTCCTCATCTCAGTTCTCGGGGATGAGCTTTCAACACAAGTGAACTGAGCCATTTAGAACACTGAATGCTTGGTACAAGTTACGGCAGAAATGGGGAACATCTGGTGGACTTGGGACTGGGATGGGAAACACTGGTCTACTCTGTAGTATTGGTGCAATACTAGTTGTAGGTTCTTCTTTGCACTGTTGTGTAAGTGATTGCTGTTATTTAACTGTTATTTATAATAACTGAAGCATTATTTTAAATGTTAATAGGTAAGTAGTTTCTCTACCCAACACACTTGACTCAACTCATTACTTAAAAGGGAATTTCACTTTTTTTTTTCAAAATTTCAGCATGATTAAATTAAGATGGAAACAAAGTTGTTCAGACTGGTTTGATGTGAAGTATGCTATTCTAGAGAAACCTACAGAGTCAATATTGTTTACAGTGATGATGATGTAGAACCAGACATTCGAAGTGTTTAATGTGTCTAAAAGCTACCTCAAAGAAAACATTTACATGAAGTAGTTCTGAATATGTTGGCTGATGCCTCAGAAATTGTTTGATCGCAGGCTGAAATCCCAGGACTGACTGGAAATTTACAGTTATGCCCTTGGGTAAGGCACTTAACCCCCAGTTCCCCAGGAGGCAATGCTCCACTAGCAACGCTGTGCTGTGCTGCTCCCAGACTGGGCATAGATAGGCAGCACAATAACAAATTTCCATTGTAGGATCAACAAAGTGTAACATTCAGGGCAGAGAGAAACATACAGGGCATTATAGTACCCCCAAGCAGATTTACCACTATCAACATTATTTATAAAAACATGAAAGACATAAATTCAACGTTACTTTGGACAGCAAATAAAATGTCTGTTGTTTATGTTGTATACATTGTGATCCCTGGTTCCTGTATAGAAATCAGAGTTGGTAAATTTCTCTACACCACTTAATTTTACATCAGAAAGACTTTGAATGACTTTGTTTACATCTCAATTATACAATTAGGCAGGTATTTTGAAAAATCCCCTTTAATATGAAGCTCAGTCAGGTTTGTCAGAGCAGGGAAAATGTTAAACTGTGATGTTCAGTTTTCTTGATATAGCACATAGTAGGCCTACACCAAAGTAGAATTGTTAAATTATTGGTATTCACTTGTGTTGCCTTTGTAGCGCAAAGTTTACACAAAGTGTTCTGTATAGTCAATATCAGAATACTTCACTAGACAGTTGTATTAATCCTGTCATGTAGCCTATTTTTGACAAGTTATGCTTTAATTAAATAAACATATACAGTGTTGAAAATGATTGTCTTGATTAATAAACTTTTATGCATGGATTTGTTTCATAAAAAATGGGTTTTTAGGGTCTTTTGCACTTACTTATTTACTTTACAGTTCATACCCATTCATATCCATTAGTCAGGATCATAAGCTCAGTACAGTAGTACGAGAATCAGAAGCAAATCAGTTTTCATCCATTGTCATTAATCAATGAAAAATTTCTTCTATGAGTTTTGTAGCAAACCATTTGGAGCTTTTGCTTCAGTGTCCTCTGTACTAATGGCAGCAAGTTTGACACAGGCCCTTATGGTCTGACCTTCTGGGTCGTGACAGAGCACTGATACACGACATGAAGCCAATTACTGGAAACAGTCTTGCTTTGACAGGATAACCTTTAAATGAAGGCCACCATAACACCACTCCTCAGAGAGAGAATATTCTGTCTAATTAGCTACTGATATTTTTGAGCAATGATATTATGGAATAATGGTTGTATAACAATTCAGAGGCATGAGCTTCATAACGCATTCTATTAAACTGGATCAAAGTACTGTGTGGTGCTGCTGTGGTTTGCATTCTTTTGTGTCGCCACTAGGTGGATTCACTGAAAGTGCTCAAAGTCATTAGTCACTATGGCTCACTATGGCAACCCTAGTACACAACAGAGTCCATTGGACTCCTCTGGGAGAGGATATGAGCACATTACGGAATTCCTAAAGGTAGGCCTTTGAAATCCTTTCTGTTCTTTCAGAGATTTTTAAAACGTTTCATTTGCATTCATAGAACAAACAAAGTCTAATAGAATGCCATTATTAAATGAATTGTGATACTTGAGTTATGTACAGTCCCCTGTTGCAGAAGGACGATGGCATCTATATATCAGCTCTCCGACAGTCAAAGTGTCATCCCTGTGCTTATGGGAAAGGACAGGAACGTCACCCTAGTACTGGACACGTCTGAGGCTATGACTGCTATTCTGGGAACAGTGAAGAATCTGATTATTCAAACTCTACTCGCTAAGGCTTCACTCAGGAACTCCCTCTTTAACATCATCAGCTTTTCATATAAGGTGCCTTCAACAAGCTACTATGAAGCTGTTTCTGCTATGATTTATACTCCATTTTAAAGATATAACATTATGCTGTAGAATATGCCATTTTCAGTGTATAGGAACAAGACCTAAATGTTAAAATCTGTTGTGTTCAGTTTTTGAGGAAACATTAAGAACATTAAGTGTTTTAAGTCATAGAATCCATCTAAGTACACTCTTAAAAAGGTACCAAAAAGGTTCTTTTGAGCAATATCATAGAAGAACCACCTTTGGTTCCTTAAAGATCCCTTCAACTGATCAACTGGTTCTTTAAAAGAATACTTTAACATTTTTCAGCCTAATCTCTACCTGCTGCTTCTTTCAGCCAATTACCTTCTATTAATATTGTTGTGTGAAGTTATCTTTTCTAAGCAAAGGGAAAAGAATATTTATACATTAGAGAAAAGTTAACTCCTCCTGTACTTTGGTCACTAGGTAACACCATGGTCTGATCATATGATCCCTTGTGCCCCTGATACGGTGTATGAAGCCCTAGGCTGGATCCACACGCTCAGGACCAGCCCTGGAAACGATCTCCTCACGGCACTCACCACTGCATTCTCTGACCCTGCCTGTCAGTCTGTCCACCTGGTGACCAGCAGTCTCCCAGACAACCCTGAGACATGTCTGAGTGGTCTGTCTACCTGTGGGACACGCCCTGTGCACACATTTCACATAACTGAAACCCAGGCCTTGGACAGTGACACTTTGGACTTCCTGAAGTGCTTGACCTCTGCCACCAGAGGGAGCTGTTATAGGCTGTCTCTAAACTCAGACGGCACAGCAGAGCAGGTGAGCCCTGTGGTTTTCAGTGGCACTGTGAAATGTTCACCTATGCCTGACACCACTGTGAAAACTACTTCTTTACAAGTGTATTCAAATGTAACAAGTATGGAAGTTTTGCTTCATGTAGAAAATTGGTGTTCTGGGAAATATAAATGAACTGCATGATTTATGTTTTAACCTATTTTCATTGATAACAGGTCACTCTGTTGCACTCAGCAGAACATCAGATTCAAAACTCATCACACTCAGAGGACAGATGCTGCCAGGCCTTACATTACAAGCCCATGCATGCAGTCTGTCTGTCACCATACTGGTATGATCTACAATATAATTAGGCAATGATTAGTATAAAAATGTCCTGCATTGGACATTATTTTTGGTATTATTTTTGGTAGAATGATGGTATTGTTAAAATACACTCAAAATGTTTAAAATGCACTAATGCACACAATTAGTAATGACTAATAGGGTTTCTCAATCGCACTTTGGTGGTCTTTGGGCCAATACTGAGTGGTGCCAGTGGTCCGTGAACAAATCAGTGAAAAGATAATTGACTTAACAATAAAACAAGAAATATAAAATGTTTCCAAACGGTTAACAACATGAATACAAGCGCTGTAAAAATGCAGAGCGTCATCAATTTTTTGCCCCCTTTTTTAGAAGCCAAATATACTAACCCACCCCTCCCCTCGCTTTTTTTTCAGCCGCCCACTGGAGACACTACTAAAAAAAAGCACACACAAAAATGGCTGTGTGAACCAGTCCACTTAATTTGACCCCATTCTGTTGATTTTTTTTATGTTTGCTGATACACATTACATATCATGGAGGTAGGCGCTCAAACATAGCTAAAAACTTCCCAAAATATTTTTAAGCAAAAAAGTTGAGTTTTCTCAACATATCTTTAACAGAAAATGTGTTTCTGTGGGCCTTCAGGCTTTCTAGTGATAAATAGGCGGGTCTTGCGGTGGAAAAGTTTAAGAATCCCTGGAGTAATACACACTGAAATGATTTTACTGCAGGTATTATAACTTTCAGTAAACCTCTCATATTCCTACATAACATCAAAAAAAAAACAAAAAAACAATTGAAACAAATATGAAATTATTACCAGCACTTTTCAGATTATGCAAATATGCAAATATGCATTGAACTGATATGTGCTTTGCGGTGAGAATGTAGCAGGAGGATATTTACTTACACTGTAACATTTTACAAAGACAGTAATCTCTGGAAGTATTAAACTTTGAAACAGTACACTTATCATTGGGCTTTACATATTGGGACATCATTAAAATCATTAAGTAATCCATCCATAAGAAAGTAACTCTAGAACTAGGTGACTAAAATAAGCAGCAAACACTGGCTGTATGAACAAGAATGTCTTTGTTTCCAGGTGTTCTCTTAGAAATCCCTTTAGTGTGACACCGTGTATTTCAGTGAGGGTGATGGGAGGGGTCGAGTTCTTTCCAGGATGTCGTGTCTTAGCAAGGAGAGAAGCAGATGGGTTCTACTACCTGGGTACAGTTGTACACCAGCTACAGGTAAGAGAATGCCAATATACGTTTTGCGTCATAAAGGCACAGCAAAATATTTTTAAATACATTTAAATGTCATGCGTGATCACAACATGACCTTCCTGTTTACTATAGGATAGGGGAGGAGTCTTTATGGTGCTGTTTGATAAGCTAGCGCTCAGAAGGGACACCAACTCAGAAATAGCATTACCCCAGCCAACATGCCAGCCTGATATGGTCAGTATAACCCAGGCGTATGGGCACAGTATAGTGCCTGGTGACGCTGTGCTAGCACCCTTTGAACCACAGATGGGCAGATACGGGCCTGGCAGGATAGTTTCAGGCATGGAGCTAAGAGATCCACTGAAGGGTAAGACCAAAGTATAAGTGGTATGTCTGAGCAGAGAAAATCACCGAACTGTACTAGATGGTGGCCCTCCTGGACCAAAACTGATGACCTAAACCATTTTCAGTAATGGGCTGAAGTCTGTTATCTTGTTTTAGGTGGAGAAGGAGATGGTCTTGTGGTACTCTTCTGGAATGGAGTCAGAATGCACATATCCAAAAACCTAGCTGTGTGGGTACCAGCCTCTCACCATGAGCGAATCATCAGGGAAATGCAACATTATTCGTTTAGAACATGTTGCCTAAGCCACAGTCACTGTAGTCAAATTAACTGGACACCAGGCTGCTGCATGCATCAGTGTATCCCACCAGCTTCTTCCATGTGTCTCTGTCCAGTCAAAAGCTATCCCCACTTAGCCTCATCCTACCTCATGAAAAACCAGGAGAAGGAGGTGAAAGCTGACCAACTGAAGGAGCTGCAGAGCACTCAAGAGACAAAGATACCTTCACCTTCACCATCATCAAGCTCAAGTGAGGATGAAGAGGAAAATGAAAAGTTTTCCACAGGTTCTGAGTTGGTGAGCCGCTCAGTGAACACAGATATATCTTGTCTGAAAAGAGCCTACACTGAACCAGAAAGCAGACCTGCCTGGAGGTACTGGAGAAGAGGAGCTCCAGAGCCACAACACAAACAACCAGGTATGCCCTAACAATAACAAAGAGTACATTTTTAAAAATCGATCCCAGTCCATGTAAAACACATGCATAGCTAGACCAAGCCCCCCTCGCCCCACCATAAATGGATCCACCATCATGGACATAGAGGCTACAAAAGCTACATGACGAAAGTATTCCCTCACAAAACTGCACTTTCAAGAATGTATGTCTGTAACATTTAACAATGTTCATTTATTTTTCAGGGATAATGACCAAATCACCAAATGTAAGCAATTCTTGGTCTGGAAAAATCAGACATCCTGGATATTCCTCATCCAATTCTATGACCACCAATCACAGCTCATTATTTGAAATGGTTCCTGATTCTGTGAGAAAAGGTGTAACAGTAAGAGAGATATTTGACTGGACTGAACCGCCACCACCCTCTAAAGCTGTATCTCCACTGGCTTTTGCATTGAGCAAAATTTCAGCCAAACCAACATTATAAGCTATGTTAAAATCTAATCAGTAAAACTGGAATTTAATAAAAATATATGTGTGGGTATGTTGATGTTTTGTCATGGACTGTGAAACTGAGGAGTTTTAAAAGAGCACATGTACAATAAATTCCAGAAAGAACTATTGTGATATAAAAATATGGTATGCATTTATTTCATCACCATTTATAAATTAAATTGATAAAAACAGGCAGTAGTTGCATTGTGCAAAATAATTGTATCGGGTAATAGTTCACATCTCCTAATATAATTTTAAAATCAAATACTGGTTAGAAAAAATCCTGAGTAGTACAAGTAAACTTTATCTTAAGGCACATTTTAAAGGCACAACAAAGAGCTTATACACAGCTATAATCAATTTCAACACAATTTTACTGCAAATGAACAGACTGGTCAGTCAGTTAACTCTCCAGGCATGTGGAACTGGAATGAAATTATGTCAAAACCTGATGAAGGCCAGGAGGTCAGAGGTTAAATGTGAGCCTCTTGCTCTCCCCTGCGTTAATGCGCACCACTCTGGTCTGTGGACCAGCGTCCTGCATTGCTGCTGTGATGGAGTAAGTGCCCGGGGACACTTCAATCAAGAAATCCTCTGGCTCAGATAAACCCTTTAAAAACATTGAGATAAAGCACTTAATGGAAATCTTCCATGAGACCTAACAGTGGTTATAAAGTGGATCTTCCATTATCAACTTTAATTATAATTCATCCTTAATTATCAACCAGAATTTGAGGTGGATATATATAAGTATCTGTGTGCACTGCTTACAGTATAATGAGCTCTTCTGGAGGCAAAGGCTGCTGTCTGAGTTCGTCTTGAAGTCTGTGGCAGGTGCAGAGAGTGGAAGCGACACACATGGTTTTTCTCTCGCTCACTAGCCTTCACTGAACCTACAGACCTGTAAAAGTTCTGTGGAGGAAACAGAGACTCACTATTTCTGGCAGCAGAAGTGTAAAAGTGAAAAAAGAAAGACAGTGGATTATTCAGTCAGAATTACAATTATTCAGTGACATTATTCAGTGACATAACCAAAAGTTTGGACACCTAACTGAATATGCATTTGAAGATATTTTGATCTGAAGGCTTATAACTAAATGCAAAAGATATGTGTTCCTAAGACTTAAAATAGCTTAAAAAAGCTGATGCTTATGTACAAATTGTTTCCAAAACAAACGTCTTATATTTAAATAAAAAAAAGACAAAATATGCATTTTTTGAAATGCACCAAATGGTTTTCAGCAACTCCAGGGTCATTATGGTACATCGATGACAGCATCTGTACTGCTATGTGATTAGTCACATCCCTCACTTCAAAAGTTCATCAAAAAGAGAATAATAACACCCAACAAACTCAAGTAGTTTGTTCTATTTCTTGTCAAGTTGGTTTTCAGAGAAGAAAATGTACTTTTACATGCGTCTTTGTTGTTTTACAGAAGTAACAATACTTTTAGGAGAAGAGTATGGGTTGGTTATGCACTTAAAAAATTGAATGGTTCTACACAGCACTAAAAAGAGTTCTTCTATTGTTACAACCTTGACATCATAACAATAGAAACACCCTTTTTGTGCAACATAGAACCATTTTCAAAAAGGTTCTATATAGAACCATATGCAACACATCCTCCATCAATCTGAAGATCAATTTCACCATGCAAAAAACATTTAAGCATGAAATGGATCTATATAGAATTCATGGTTGTAAATAGAACCATTGTCTTTACTACACAACACTTAAAGAACCATCTTTGTTAACTGTGTATTTTACCCACCTCTGAAATGATCTGATGAGAATTAGGCTACTGTACCTTACACTGATGGGTAGTTTCTGACATGTGCTGCATTATTTTGGCAAAGGCATGGTCCAAGCTCACATGGACACCGGGGTCTTCCTGTACCTTTAAATAGATTAGCCAACACAGTAAAAGTCTGTAGGATGTATGCATACATACTGTATAGCATCCCAATTCAAAACTGAAGCAGACTGTACCTCGCTGTGTTTTTCTTTCGCTCTGTGTTTCTGGTTTGACCCTCTCGCACTTGGCCAGTGTACAGACCGTCGTTTGGCTCTTTCCAACACCTCAAGTCCAAGTTTAGACGAGCGCTCAAGTGAAGACTCCAACCAGGACTGTCCTGCCGTGGACGGTGGCTGCTTCATCACCGCCTCCATAACGCGGTTAATATGACATTATGGGCTCCTTTATGACACCAGAATGAACACAAGAGTGATGTATACAGCTCCACATCGACACACACTCAGATGCAGTATATGATAGTGTATAGTATCACTTTAACTGATACTTTGAATGTTTCCTGATTCTTAAAAATACCCACAAGCCTTACAAACGTTCCGCTGGAATATGTTTACATAGGTTATATGAATGACGTACATTCGCAGAGCAACTTCACAATCAAACTACACGTTATAATTGAGTTAGAGCAAAACTTACAAGTTTAGAACGAGGCTGCTATAAGGTTTTCCTCCAAAGACCTTGTATCGCTTTTTCCCGCCCTATGAAGTGTTACAGGCGTCCCGACCTTGTTCTTTAAACTGCATCGTGATAGAAAACTGGGCGTGGGAAATATAAAAGTGAAGGGTAAGAAGTGTTTCTTCCTCTCGCGGGTGCTGCTGGGAAATGTAGTACTGTTTTGTCTGCTCTACGTCATAAAGAAACAAAATCTTCTTGTTGTTTTATACCGAACCGATACATAATTATTAAGTTAAAGAAGCGTCATAAAACTTAAACGTATATTCTATCCTGCTAAAAAAATTCTTTATAAAATTAATACATAACATTGACACAGTTGGTTCACTTTGAAATAAATATCCAGAGACAGTTATTCACTTATTTTGGCATTGTCAATATGTGAAAGAAAAATTGGCAAAACCTTATAGTGCCTTTAATGTTCATAATATTAATGAAAAGTATTGTTGTGGAAGCATGTATTATTTGGTCTTTTGGAAAATCACAAAGCACCTTTGTATGTATGATCGATGTATGTAAGTTTTGTAATAATTTATGTATGTGTACACTGTTATATGTATATTTTTCTATGCATCTGATATTGGGTACTATGTTTTGCTTTCAGTAAAAAATAGTGTTTCCTTAATGTTGAATAAAATGTAGCTAACATTTGGAAATCTAATTTGTTAAGCAAAATATGCTACCTGGTATTTTTCCCTGAATGAGGAAAACTGGTATGTTCATAAAAATTGTCACCCTCTGCTGTCTGCTCAGAAAAACAAAGAAGACATGAATTTTTGGTGGCTAGAGTTGCCTGAACTCAACACAACTTAAATTATTGTGTATTGTGTAATTATTTACATTGACTCATGTAAAAGTCAAAGTATGCTTCACTAGAACTACAGAACTGGCAGGTGAAACAAATACTGAGTACTGAGTGACTAATTCCCACCCACCTCTGCTAATTGTGTACACTGAAAATTTTGCATGTACCTACCTCTGCTTAAATCTTAATATATTTAGACAGAGGGCGAGATTCAAGCAGTTAGCCATAATAATTTCTCTGTACATGTGGTTTAAGTGCCATGCTCTAAGGCATTTCCCAGTTATTATTTGTTTATTTTGAAAACATTCAAATTTTCAGTACAGCGGTACTGCAGCAACGCAGTACCGCTGTACTGAAAATTTGAAAGTTTTCAAAATAAACAAATAATTAGCTGAGCTGAGTGAGGAGCACACGGAGCAGCAATAACACGAAAGCTGTTTACTGACTATGCTGAGAGTGAAATCTTCCACCACCACTGCATCTCTGTGTGGTCACTTCCTCTGAGACTGAAGATGATAAAGCCAGAGTAGGTCCTTCGTTCTGCCTAAGCCTCTTTTTCAGTGCTTGAGCTGGCTGAGCAGTACTTTAACAGCACAAACTTTAATGTACTAGTGTGAGTGTTTAAGAGGATTGCGACAAGTTAAGAGGGTTACTAAACTGATCACTGCATGACTGTTTGATGTTCATGGCAATGTGCATCTTACTCACTTACTGTGCATGATCAGATGCCAGAGTGAGTGATTCATCCACATGTGTAGTGCTGTAGGAGCCCACAGTGTAAGTATGTATGTACATTTTATTTATTAATTCAAAACAAGACAAGTGCTGTACATAATTAAGAAATAAATGAACATACACAGATGAGCCAAAACTTTATGCTTAATATGCTGTTGGTCCTACATGTGCCACCAAAACTCTTCTGACCTGCTAAGGCATGGACTCTACAAGACCTATAAAGTTGCTCTATGATATCTTGCACCAAGACGTTAGCAGCAGATCCTTTAAGTCCAGTTCGGACTTGTTGTTCCAGCACATCCCACAGATGCTCGATCAGATAAGAGATCTGGGGAATGTGGAGGCTAGGACAACAGCCTGAACTTCCTGATTTATCCTGCTGAAAGAGGTCACTGCCATCAGTGAATACCATTGCCACGAAGGGGTATACGTGGTCTGCAACGATGTTTAGGTAGATGGCACGTGTCAAATTGACCTCTACACGAATGCCTGGACTCAAAGTTTCCCAGCAAAACATTGTCCAGAGCATCACATCTCCAGGTAAACAGTGCAGCCATCCACATGATGTCAAACTAGGCAACCCTCTTCCATTGCTCCAAGGTCCAGTTCCGATGCTCGTGTGCCCATTGTCAGCACTTTTTACCGCGGACAGGGGTTAGCATGGACATTCTGACTGGACCATACGCAGCAGGGTGTGATGCACTGTGATGCAATGTGTAACACACTTTTCCTGTGCTGTAGACCTTCTGTCAGTTCGGACTAGACGAGATAGCCTTTGTCACCCGTACTCATCTACAAGCCTTGGGCACCCAACACTCACCTGGTCATGGTTTGACAGACCCCTGGTTTTCAGTGAATTTAGTAAAATAAAAGAAACAAATTGACATACACACGTAATAGAGGCCAAAGTTGCTGCAGCAAATGTATTTTGAGTCAAATGGATTTCAATTTGTTTTTTTTTTGTTTGTTTGTTTGTGTAAACAGGGAAATTAATGCCCAAGGTAATCAACCATCTACAGATAGAAAAGGTAGATATTAGGTTTAAACTGAAGTATGAGCTTCGAAAACCAATAGAACATTATAAAAGATTGTGGATCATGTAATCCTATAATCCTATAACAGGGAACCACTGAAAAGAGGCTACAACTGGGGTGACTGGATCCCTTTCATTGTCGAAAAACCATTGGAATTTTTAGCATCGGAAAAGCCCAAACAGATTTGCTGTAGTTTTATGCAGTTTGTCACAACATTGCATGCTGCTGCTGTTGTTGTTGTTGTCATTGACTGCATCACACAGAGTGTGCCTGGCTCCTGGCTTTGGTATGAGTCATGAAAGATTCATAGAGCACTCAACAGCACCAGTAATAATAGCCAGATTAGGGTGCAGCAGTGGACTGCGGGCTTATCTTTACTTACTGAAGCCAGAGAATGCAGCACACACGCTGATTTAAAAATAGTGCCACTGTTATTGTGCCCTCCCACACACACGCACACACAATGTGTTTCAAACACACTGTGCTCACCCAAGTGAACTGAGTTCATAGTATGGTGTTTGATCCACGTGCCGTCCACAGAGCCATCTGCTGCTGCAAGCAGATACGCACACAGTTTTAATCTGCTGCAGGGCGAATGAGCGTAGTGTACACTCACTTTACATACTGATGTGTTATGACACAATGTATAATAGGCAGGACACAACCACACAAAATCATCCTCCCTCGCTGCTCTCTCTCTCTCTCTCCCCCCTCATCTGTCTGTTCACCCTCACCCCTCTTTCTCTGTCTTTCTCTCTCATTCTCTCTCTCTTTTTCTCTCCTTCACACAAGATCTTACTTCCTTATCCATCTTTCTCTTGCATCATTTCTGTCTCTTGCTCTCGCCCCCCACACAACACCTTACTCTCTCCCCCTCTCTCTCATCATCTGTCTCGCTTACCACCCTCACACAAAACCTTACTCCCTCGCCCCTCTCTCTCTCTCTCTCTCTCTCTCTCTCTCTCTCTCTATCTATCTCTCTCGCCATCTCTATCTCTCACTTTTTTTTTGGCCCCCCAACACAATACTCAACTCTTTCAGTCCTCTCTCTTTCGCATCACCTCTCTGTCTCTCTCTCATTCTTTTTCTCCCACCCACACACAAAGCGTAACTCCCTCACCCCTCTCTTGCCATCTCCGTCTCTCACTCTTTTTTTGGCCCACCAACACAATACTCAACTCTTTCAGTCCTCTCTCTTTCGCATCACCTCTCTGTCTCTATCTCATTCTTTTCTCCCACCCACACACAAAACGTAACTCCCTCACCCTTCTCTCTCTCTCTCTCTCTCTCTCTCTCTCTCTCTCTCCCTACCACTAAAGTATACTCCCTCATCCACTCTCATGTCTGTCTCACTCTCTTCCCCCTCACACAAAACTCAGCTCTCTTGGCCCTAACTCTCTCGCATTATCTTTCTGTCGCTCACTCATTCTTTTCTCACACCCACACACAGAACTGTATCACCCCTCTCTCGCACCATCTCTCCCTGTCTCTCTCTTTCTCTCTCTCTTTGTCCCCCCCCACACAACAAAACATAGATCTCTTGGCCCTTCTCTCTCCCGCACCATCTCTCTCTCACTCTCTTTTTTCTCCCCAACACACAAAACTTGACTCCCTTGCCCCTCTCTTACTCTCTCTGTTGCTCACTCGTTTTGTCCCCCTACACAAAATCTTACTCCCTTGCCCCTCTCGCTCTTACACATGCATCATCTCTCTGTCTCTCTCTGTCTTCTCCTACACAAAATTTAACTCCCTCGCCCCCTCTCTCACTTAATCTCTGTCTCTCATTCTTTTTCACCCCCACACAAAACCTAACTCCTTCTTTCCTCTCTCTCTCTCACATCATCTCTGTCTCTCAACCTCTTTTTCTTCCCCCACACAAAACCTTACTTGCTCGCATCATCTGTCTATCTCTACCCCCCCATCACCCCCACCACCCCCAGCCATCAAATGCACACACACATGCACATCACCACATGCCCTCGCACATCCCTCTCTGCCTCTCGAGGGATGGAGAGAGCGCGCGAGTGACTGGAGAGATGAGATCAGGGATTTAGGAGAGCATAAAATTACATTCACACGTGCAGCTCGGCGTTACGTAATAAAGCCTGCCTGCCTGCCTCCCTGCTGCTGCCCCGCGCGCGCTCCGCCTGGGCTGGAGGAGAGCACGAGCAGCGAGCGGATGAGCAAGATCGCTGGAGCTGCAGCCACAGAAACAAACCCACCATACAGCCAGCACGAGCATGCAAAAAACACCATCATCTGGGGCTATGGCCGCACAACTGGACCTTTTCACGAACACCAAGGGTGCTTAAGCTTCAAGCAGCCGAGCAAGAGGAGAAACTGCATCAGCTCATCTGACTCTGCCCACCTGGATGCTGTGCCTGTGCTGCTGGGATGCTAATGCTAATGATCAGATATGCGTAGCTTGCTGAACGGATTATACTAACTGAAAGAGGACACATCTGCCATTCGAGGTTGTGTGGTGCCCCCTTTAGGCTGTGGCAGGATGAGGTCAGCGTGGCCGCTGGTGTGGGCAGTGTGTGGGCTGAGCGCGGGGGCTCCCCCTGCCCACGGAGCGTCAGTCAGCCCCATCCTGCTCGTGAGCACCATGGCCACGCCCACCGAGGAACAGACCATGCCCACCAAGCCTCTCAACATCAATGACACAGGTGAGAGAACATGAGTCACACATCACACAATCGCAGCACACTACATGACTTCTGTGTGCATTCTTATTTTTTACACTGGCATGATATTACTTCATGTTATTTTTGTTGAAGCCACCAATATGAAAATTTATGGATTTATATCTTACTTTCATACATATGACCATTAGTGTTTTACAATTGGATTCAAATGTTCGGGTGCCCCTGTTGATTTTCTAACACACCTCTGCACATTTTGATGCACAATAACTTATGTAACTTACGTAATTGTGCCTGGAAATATGCAGAGGTTTGTTTCCTGCACAATCCTGGTCCTGGAGATCTATTGCCCTGCAGACTTTAGCTTCAGCCCAAATCTAAGACACTTGATCCAGGTAATGAAGGCCTTCCGGGCATCTCAGTTTTAGTGCCAGGTGAATTGGTTCTGAACTCTCCAGGGTAGTAGATCTCCAGGACCAGGACTGAGCACCACCGCTGTAGGGGATCTGTAAGCATTTTCATTAAACACACCATATATATATATATATATATATATGTGTGTGTGTGTGTGTGTGTGTGTGTATATATATATATATATATATATATGTACACACACACACACACACACACACACACACACATATATATATATATAATATATATATATATATATATATATATATGGTACATACATACATTTTGACATTTTTCAGTTTTTGACATAATTTGAAAATACCTGTTACCCTTTACATTGTATTTAAATTTCATGATGAATAGATCAAAAGAAATGACTATATATATATATATATATATATATATATATACACACATATTTATATACATATTAGGGGTGTGGGAAAAAATCGATTCTGAATCGATTCACAAATGTCAAAAATCGATTTTCTAAATATTTAATTTATAACGTAATGTTGACGGAACGCAAAGGGCGGAACTTGGAAGTGGGTAGGTGCAGCGCCCGGACAGTCTGTGGCGGCACATAACAAAAACACTACTGGATGAGCGAGAAATCCGACTGGCTCCCTCTGCATTAAAAGCCAGGTTAGGTCAGGAGTCACAACTCGAATGATTTAATGTCCAGTATGTCTCAGTATGTGCTGATGTCCTAATATAGGCTAAAAATATGAACGAGAGCCAGACTTACTTCGCTCTGCTTTAAGATTTAGCTATAGCCGCTTTCTTCCCATCTCCTCCAGAAAACTTTTCCTCAGAAGTAGATCAGTTTCTTGTAAAATGTCTCTCAACATTCGACTGATTTACGAGGCTGAAGTCGCTTCTTATTCTCCAGCTTCTTGTTAGAATTTATCCGTTCCGTTAAATTCTAACTGAGGCGCCGAATGTAAATACGGCACCATTTAAGGTGGAACGGGAGAATTCGAAAGAGAAGCTGACTTCAGCTTCGCCACTTTTTAGTGTGTGACAGTTTGACAGTCTGATATGTTTAACGTATCAGGAAACCAACTGCGCTGCTTATAAATGTGAATAACGCATCGCTGCTAGGTGACCTGCAGTCTGCACGCCGGTTCTCAGTTGTTGTTTCACACGTCCCGTCTCGATATTTTACTGACACAGCAATCCCCCCCGTCTCTACAACGAGACCAAAACTAAAGTTATAAAATCATTAAAGAAAATGGGTAGAATAGCTGTAACATGTGCTGCGTGGACATCCATCACCACTGAATCCTATTTCACCGTAACTGCGCATTTTATCACAGATGAGTAGCAGCAGCGTCTCCAAACCAGAGCAGGGAATGAGAGCCTTCTAGTTCACTTGCCACATCACTTCCATTTGTTTTATTAAAAAAGATATTGGAAGTAAATTCATTATTGATCATTACAAATACTTTGCTTTAAAAGTACCAAGTCACTTTAAATAACAATAACACTGAGTTACTTAGTCACTTTAAAATGTATATTGTCTCTATATTCTGTGTATATTTTGTGTATATTTAATATATTTCAGTTGGTTTTTCTTGTATTTTTATTTTTACTTATTTACTTTCTGTAGAGTGATTAGCTGAGCCTCACCACAAGCATTTCAATGCATAAATGTCCTGACATGTTGTGCAAATAACAAATAAACTTGAAACTTGAACTCGAAACTTGAGCTCACACAGTGAGAAAATAGAAATGCTATATAGAAAAAAAAGATGCATCGAGATGCATCGAAAATCGTTTTATAATCGCATCGCAGCCCTCTGAATCGTAATCGAATCGAATCGTGAGGTGCCTAGAGATTCCCACCCCTAATATATATGTATAATTTATGTAAATCAACGTACCCAGACCATATATATATATATATATATATATATATATATATATATATGTATATATCTTTCGAATTCTCCCATTCCACTTTAAATGGTGCCACATTTACATTCGCCGCCTCAGTTAGAATTTAAGGTGGAACGGGTAAATTCTAACAAGAAGCTGGAGAATAAGAAGTGACTTCAGCCTCGTAAATCAGTCGAATGTTGAGAGACATTTTACAAGAAACTGATCTACTTCTGAGGAAAAGTTTTCTGGAGGAGATGGAAAGCGGCTATAGCTAAATCTTAAAGCAGAGCGAAGTAAATCTGCGCTCTCGTTCATATTTTTAGCCTGTATTAGGACATCAGCACATACTGAGACATACTGGACATTAAATGTTGTGGCTCCCAAGGTGGTTTGATTTTTGTTGAAAGGACAAAATGGCTCTTCTTATCATTTGAGTTGTGACTCATGACCTAACCTGGCTTTTAATGCAGAGGGAGCCGGTCGGATTTGTCACATACCACTTTTTTGTTATGTGCCGCCACAGACTGTCCAGGCGCTGCACTTACTCACTTCCAAGTTCCGCCCTTTGCGTTCCGTCAACATTGCATTATAAATTAAATATTTAGAAAATCGATTTTTGACATTTGTGAATCGATTCAGAATCATTCACATCTGCATCGCAATGCATCTAAGAATCGATTTTTTTCGCGCATATATATATATATATATATATATATACCTGTTGCCCTTTACATTGTATTTAAATTTCGTGATGAATAGATCAAAAGATATATATTTAAGATATATATATATTTATGTCATTGACCACCAGCTCTTTCATTTATTGCTTTATTTATGAGTGTTTTTAAAGGCCCTCATGCCTTCACAACACTCTCCACAGTTCTCCTTTTATTAAACTGAATGTGTAAATCCTTGACACTGCCTAGTAACATTGATCATTTTAATAATCTCTTTTGGTAGTAAATTGTCTCCAGAGGTTAAAGTCTATTAGCTTTTTATATCATGATGATGACTGCCACTAATCTCGCGTGCTTTGCAACAGTCATTCATCTGATGATCAAGTGTTACACATCCCAACCTTTTAATATCTGAGGTTTTGACATTTGCAGAAACACTTTGACTGACAATGATTAGCACACACAATCAGCATACACAGCCATGAATCCTGGTGGGTTGCGTGACATTCTGTAGTTGCACGCCAGGCATTTTATTACATACATTTACATTTCTGTTCAGCTCTTTGCTCAGTGTGGGATTTTATAATTACATAAGACACTGTAGCTTACTGTCATGTGGTTTCTTCTGTTTTTGTCAGCACTGTATTACACATGTGGGGAACTTTGCACAAGGCACTTTGAGCAATATTTTTAGTAGCACACTTCTCCCTCACCTGTGCTCAAAAAAGCCTAGATGGAACATGTCTGTGGGATGGCTTGAATATGTTCCAGCTGTGAGTGTTTATAATAGGGGCTCTCAGTGGGAAAGATGAATATTTGATGAAGTAGCTCATATTTATTTAATCAGGTGCTATTCCCAGAGTGAGGACTCTTCCTTACTGAAAAGGAGATTGAACAGTGAGTTGGACGAGTGAAAGGAATGGAAGAGTTATATAAGCAACAGTAACAGGGCTAATACAAATATTTAACATTTAAGGTGATAATATGTTAACATATTTGTGAGAAATTACATCGTGAGGTATTGTCTGTTTTTCTAGAACACTGCTACATTCCACATAACTCGATTCAGAGTAGTTATTCTCTACAGTGGTGCTGATAGGAAACATAGGTCAAAATGTTTACAACACAAATCTAGCCATTTATATACTATTCAAAACAACAGTGAACATACATATGAGTTTTCATATGTGATGATTATTGTACTAAAATAGTGGGAAAATGTTTTCGTTAAGGACTATATTGCCTGACAACATCCTCAAAGTATGTCTCCCTCATGAATGAACTAAAAAAAGAACACCTTGGGAATCAGACAGCATATTCATAACCACTGTGTAATGACTTTTATTGATGTAGCCTTCACTGATGTGGAGACATCTGGTTCCTATCACCACCACTGTGAACAATTCTGAGCTGGTATACTTATGTAGAACAGGTAATTTCACATCAAACCACTCTGGATAACTTTGTTTACATCTCAACCATTTCATTATAAAGACATTTTGAAAAATTGGTGGAACTCCCTTTTAAACAACAAATAAAGATTTACACCAAATAGAGACCGTGTAAATAACAACCAGTGGTATAACAGAATTGATTTTGCTCCTGTTCCTTATTACTTTGAATATAAATAAACAGCTTGTGCTTATAGCATTTTTGTCCCAACTTGTTTGCAAACATCAGAAAAATTAAATATCATATATATTGCCAATCCTGAAGAAGAAAAATCACAATATTATATTTTCCCATGTTGCTCACTCCTAATACATGCCAAGTCACCAACTGAAGATCATTCATAAAAGCAATTCGCTATAAACATCATGTAGCCTCAATTTCCAGAGAACAGTATTGCCTGATCATGTTTGTTGCAAAAAATGAGAAGAGGGAACATGCTTCAGTCAATTTCAAATCAAATAAGCATGCATCAAATACAAATCAGTCATTTCCCTCTTGCAGATCTAATTCACACTGGATCATGGCAAGGTAAGAGTAAGCGCTCAGCAAACCTCTCAGTCGCTGTAATTGGTTTTGGTATGATTTAATATACTAAACGCATGAATGGAGCAATTCCAGACCATAAAGCAAGAATGAAGCATACCCAGACAAACTATAGTGAACATAAACATCTGAACTCAATGCTCCTTGCTAGACATGTAGCAACAATCCAGGTCAGGTCTAAACAGATGTTGTAATTACTGGCCTTGAGTGCCAAACTTAATAAGAAATGTCATTTGGGAGATTGGATTCCGCTTGACTTGGTGATTTGTTTTGCAATGCAAAATGCTGGCATGTGGCGTGAGTCACGAGAGGAGTTGTGGGTCTATCAAGTGTCAACTCACAGCGTGATTGCACTGTTTATACACACACACTTACAGACATGTAACATTAGGCATCCATAGCTGTTGCTAGCCAAATGTAACTAGTTGACTGGCATAAGAATTAAAGGGGAATTCCGCAGATTTTTCATAATTTCTGCATAATTAAATCACTGAGATGTAAACAAAGCCATTCCCAGTAGTTCAATGTAAAATGACTCAGATTTCTATACAGTGGTGGTGATAGGAACCAGGGGTCACAATGTCTACAAAGAAAACAAATGAATGACCAGTGAACTTATTTGTCTTCTGACATTTCATATATTATAAAATCAAAAAAGTTCTTTGGGGACTATTTTGCCTTACAACACCTGGCATGTACCCCTCTGCCTTGTATGTACTTTTATAAATATGTTCTATGTCAAAACATTATCTCATTACTATCATAAAACAATACCTCAGGCATCAGGTGAGATATTTGTATTTCCAGTACTAACTTTTTGCAATGTAGTTTTTGGAGACATTCAGGTCTTCAGTTTCTGGTTCCTGTCACTACCGTTGTGAACTCTGACTCGATAAATGTCTCTAGAATAGAGCAATTCACTTCAAAGCACTCTGAGTGACTTATATGTAAAGACATAATATAGCAGAATTTCTGAAAATTCAGTGGAATTCCCCTCAGATCAGTTTCAGAAGTAAAAACACATGTGACATGCACTTAGTTTAGAAGTCTTTACCAAATACCAGTGCATAGGGATCCTTTTTGACTTCTGTGAGCATCATACAACTGTACATTCTTCAAAATAAAGGTGCCAAAAAGCCTTCCTTAGAGCAATGCCACAGAGGAACTTTTCAGAGGATAGTTATTTAAAGAACCATTCTTGTTAATGATATGTGTGAGTGTGAATGACCTTTTTAAAGTTTAAAGAATGAAAGGTTCTACACCAATTAGAGAACTATTTAGGACATTTATGTTTGTGTTTTGAGTGTAGCTGTACTTACACTCTCAGAAAAAAAGCTACCAATCTATCACTGGGGCAGTACCTTTCTTGTCACTGGGGTGGCACTCTCAAGGGAACATCTCAGTACCTTTAGTCAGGGAACATAATTGTACCATAATCCATTGAAATTATATTTTCTAATTTGTATTGACTCCACACACCCCGTCTCGTCTCCAGGCTTTTTATTTCATTGTTCTGTTTTAAAACATTAGGTTATGAAATGATATAAATATGTACTTTTCCACTGGGAAAAAGTTATTTAAGGTTCACAATTGGACCTTAAAACCACTGTTGTTCCTTTGAGGTACATTTACATTGTTTGTACCTTGATGAACGAAAATGTACCTGCACAGAACCTTTATTTCTAACAGCGTAGAAATAGTTCACTGTCATGACTGTGTATTTATTGATATTTGTCTACATGTCCATGTATGTCTGTTGTGTCTTTGTTGGTCTGTCTGTCTTTCTGTCTGAATCTTTGTCTGTTTGTCCACAGGTGGCTTGAGCTGTGTGTCTCTGCTTCCTCCACGGAGGGGATCCTACTATGTGGAGCAAGGCACCGGGGTGTCTGTAGGATCAATTCTGGTGTTCTGGTGCCGGGAGGGCTACCAGCTGGTGGGCAGTGAGAAGATCACCTGCATTATGCGTGCAGGCGTCCCTCGCTGGAGCAACTACCTGCCCGCCTGTGAGAGTAAGACAGTTAGTTTCACTCTGAAGTGAATTCAGTGTTTGTGTTTGATCCGGGTGCGGCTAAGCTGGATGGAATAGATTTTTAAAAATTAACCCGCATTCATGATTTCTCTCTCAGGCATCCCAAAGCCAGATGACCAGGGTCTGCGCACGGCCCTGCTGGTGTCTGTGGTCAGTGGAGTGGTCATCCTGGTCATGACTGTGTCCTTCATTGTGTGTTGCATCCAGGAGCGCATGAGTAAAAAGAAGGAGAAAAATCGATCAGGGAGAAGCAGGTTAGAATCCAGTCTATTTATGCAAAAAGAGCAGATTCAGGCCATCATCAGTTAAAGAAATAATCCAGCAATTTTCAAACAAATGTCTGGTGCCTTTGTAGCCTATAGTTGATAACAATGGATTTTAGTTTTCACAAACAATACGTTTCCCTGTACTTAGGAAACGAACATAAAATGAGTTTATAATATTTATAATAGAAGCCAATGGACAGTTGCTTCATCATCTGCATGTTGAGTTCTTTTAGGTGTGCTTTGAGGCAATGGATTGTATGTTCTATTGCTAATTATTAAGTACTCTTTAAAGCCATGCCTGAAAATTACAGCCAATGACCATTAAAATACACACCATTCCTCGGAAACTAGGGATGGAAAATATCTGAGTAAATGTACTTGTGTGTTATTATACTTACATAGTATTGGAATTGAATACTTGTACTTTATTCAATTACATTACTAAGAGAAAAAACACATTTTTTATTCCTTAAATTTTGATTTAGCCATTCAGTCAAGTTCTCATGCATTTGAATTCATTATTTGTGTTAAAACATCCAACCAAATTTATATCACTGCAAAATGAACCCACCCAGAACTACATTAATTTGTCTTAGTCTTAGGATTAATATCCCTGATTAGTCACCACACCACCAAACAAAGAAAACTTGGTAACACCTTCTATGAATGTCGCATTTGTAAGCATCTATAAACACATTTATAACATGTTATAATGTATTCATAAGGCATTATAAACGTGGTTATAAATATTTATAAAAAAGAATTACACTGAATTACACTTTACAGCCATGTTTATTATACATTATGAATTGTTAATATAATGCATTATAAATAATGTTAATAACATGTTATAATGTCAGTGCCAAAGAAGTCAGTCCCAGCTTGGAGAATGTAAAGTAAAAACAAATACCAAGCTAACGCTTAACTTTCCCACATTGGGTAAAACACTGATGGCAGCACTAGTTTAAAATCTGGCATTTAAAGCCTGTAATGTGCTTTACTGTGTACATTTTAGTGTTTCAGTAAATGCTTCAGTAAATACTTCAACTTGAAGCCTCACTCTTAACACTGGAGAAGGCTTTAGTACAGTATGCTTCACTTTACTTAGAGCGGACAAATACGACGTATGAGCTCTTATGATTTGTTATGATCAGTACATATAATGTATTATGTTAACAATTCATAATGCATAATAAACATGGCTATAACGTATAATGCATTTTTATAAATATTTATAGCTATGTTTATGATGTCTTATGAATGCATTATAACATGTTATGAATGTGTTTATACATGCTTACAAAGGTGACATTCACAGAAAGTGTTACCAAAAACTTTTTACTTATATATTAAAATCCTTGTTTTTACAAGTCTTTTATAAATTATGTACTTTTTTGCTGCTATACCTTCACTTGCAAGATTTTGACACAGTCAAAAATCTTTGTACTTTTTCTCTGTAATTTTTCTGTACTTCAGAAATGCCCAAATGTTTAGTGCTTAGTATTTTATTTAGCTTTCATATGCACATTAGATCTAAATCACTGTTTGTTATCTTCATTGTTGCACAGGAGAAGAGAAAAACGCCGTTCAAGATCCCGAAGGAGTCCATCCTGGTTGGTGAGGGAGGAGCTGGACTGGGAAGCTTTCCCGCCTCCGAAAATCTTCAACGTATCCCAGCGTTTTGAGCGACCAGTGCCCCCCGGTAGCCCTCTTTACCCTGGGGTCACCAGAGGCTACGAGAACAGAGGGTACGAGAGGTGAGGTGGTTGTTTCATAGAGAAACACCTCACCTGTAGATAAACCCTCACGTGTGTTTGTGTTCTGTGTACATGTTTCAAATAATGCATGATTTCTACTGTGCTTACTGTACAGTGCTGTGAAAATGTATTTGCCCTTCACCTGTTTTCTTTTATTGTTGCTAATTTGTCACATTTAAATGTTTCAGACCATCCAATTAATTTTCATATGAGATAAAGACAACATGAGTAAAGACAACATGCAGCTTTTAAAAGATCATTTCATTTATTGAAAATAAAGATTTATTCAAAACCTATATCACCCATGTGAAAAAGTAACTGCCCCCCTAAGCCTAATAACTGGTTGTGCCACCCTTGGCAGTAACAACTGCAGTTTAGTGTTTGCAATAACTTGTGATGAGTCTTTTACATTGCTGTGGAGGGATTTTGGCCCAAAAAGCACCACTCAAAATAAAGTGTCACCGATCATTGTCCTGCTGCATAACCCAACTGCATTTGAGCTTTAGGTCACAAACTGACGGGTGGACATTCTTATTCAGGATTTTCTGGTAGAGAGCAGAATTCTTGGTTCCATCAATTATGACAAGACGTCCAGGTTCTGCAGAAGCAAACCAGCCCCAGACCATCACACTACCACCACCATGTCTGACTGTTGGTATGATGTTCCTATGGTGGTGTTAGCTTTACGCCAGATGTAACAGGACCAATATCTTCCAAAAAAGTTCCACTTCAGTCCACAGAATATTATCCCAAAGGTCTTTGGGGTCATCTAGATATTTTTTGGCAAATGCAAGATCGGTCTTTGTGTTCTTTTTGGTCAACAGTGGCTTGCAGCTCTCCCATGACTGCCATTTTTGGCCCGTGTAAATTGTGGAAACATGTGAATTGACCTTAACTGAGGCAAGTAAGGCCTGCAGTTCTTTAGACATTCGCCCAGGTTAATTTTTGACCTCCTGCATGAGTCGTCGATGCGCTCTTGGTGACATTGTGGTAGGCCAGCCACTCCTGGGAAGGTTCACCACTGTTGGCTCTCACTGTGGTCCCAGAGTCTTAGCAATGGCTCTGTAACCCTTTCCAGACTGTCAGATTTCAATGAATTTGTTTCGCATCTGTATTTGAATCTCTTTAGAACATGGCATCACATGCTGCTTTTTGAGACCTGCTAGCCTGCTTCACATTGCCAGACAGGTTCTATTTAAGTGATGTTTAGATTCAACAGGGCTGCCAGTAATCATGCCTGGGTGTGGCCAATGAAAATGGAATTTGGCTGACTGGCTGATTTAGTAGATTACTTTTTCACATAGGGCCAGGTAGGGCTGAACAGCATTTTTCCTTTAATAAATGAAACAACATTTTTTTTTAATTTAAAGACATTATTTTGTGTTTACTTGGGTTATCTTAGTATAAGATTAAAAGTAGTTTGATGATCTGAAACATTCAAGTGTGACAAATCTGCAAAAATAAGAGACATGGGGGAGGGGACAAATACTTTTCCACAGCACTGTATGTTCCAAACCTCATGTCCACTTTCCTTAATTACAGGAGTCAAGAGAGCCTGCTGAGGAGCCCTCATCCTGGTGTTTATCACACAGACAGCCAGGTCTACCCTCACCTGGTGCTCCAGAGGGTCCACACAGCTCCAAACCCCCAGTCTAGCCCCACAACCCCAGTCTACCTGCACGTCTCCACTCCTCCCAATGCCAAGGCTCAGCGCCGCCCCCCTGTTACCCGTCCATAGACTGATAATGATACCATCATAAACAAATTGTCCTAATGACTGCCCACACTGGATGTGGTCATGGCAACTGTACTTAGACACTCACGAAAGCAATGGAGAGATTTTCCTGCCCAACTGGGCATGGAGACTAAAATGGTCCCTGTGACCTGGAGAAGCACTTTGTTTTTTTCTACTGTCAAATCAATTTAAAGTCTTTTAAATGTAAATTATTTTCGATTCCAAATATATATTGTAAATATTATATATCCCATTTGTGGGAGTGCATGTTTTATGTTAATTTCTGATTAAATATTTCAATGCAAAATCTTTTAGCTACTAACTGTAAATACAGCCAAAACCTGTAAATATTCTATATTTAGAACAGCTTTAGATTCAAAGACGTTTTAGTTTGAAATATACTTAACCTGCCTCTCTCTGGTTGATTCTGTGTTTGGTGTCAACTGTGGGACACTGAATTCGTTTTCTTGAAGCACTCTTTGTGAAAAGTGTAAAGTGTATGTAGTGAACAACTGACCAATTATTTATTATATAAAAGTTGTCCCACTAAAAAGTTTAAGCTTTGTATTTTTAAGTGTGATTTTTCATAAGGTGATGTTGTCCATATACTTGTTATATTGCTGCCATTGCACACTTATAAGCTACCTGAATAAAACACAGCGATTACTTTCAAATGTCTGTCTTTATCTATTTTATTTATATTCTCTATACATATTTAAATATTTAATTAAAACAATTTGCTCATATGAAATGTGCAGATCCAGGCTGTGTCTCTTATTGAAATGGGAGGCACCTGGTGATTTGGGTAAAATCTGTGGGTAGCATTTGCTTTGGAAGTGTGTTCAGTGGTCCATCGCCAACATTCAAATACTTCACATAGAGGCTATGTTATAAGAAGATAAGGACAGAGAGAAAAGTATAGCTGAAATGAAATAAGAAGAGAGAAGGAGAGCAATTCTTCTCATTTATTACGCTAGAAGACAAGGTCAGTACACATAACTTAATATTATTATATATTATTAGTATATATATATAAATATTAATATTTGTCAGTGTTGCTCAGCTTTTGCTCTGCCTGACCAACCCTTTAAATGGCCAAGTGGCAAAAGCAAATTAGAATAGAAAAGCTGCATTAAGGTATTGCACAAAAAAAGTGATATTATGTGAAATGACAAAAACACAAACAGAAAGCAGAGATTTATAAACGTATTTTGACCTCTATTTAAACGAAACAAGATATATATTATCAAAGACAAGATATTTAGAACTTAATTGTTTGTAAATGTATGCTCATTCTGAAATGTAACCCCTGCAATACGTTCCAAAAAACTTGGATTGGGCCAATTTAACACTAGAATAGTTGTGAAATGTTCAAAAAATAACTGAAATGGGTGATGCAATCATGCTTGGGTATAAAATGAGCATCCAAGACAGGCCTAGTCTTTTTTGATCAAGGATGGATGGAGGCTTGCCACTTTGCCAACAAAAATGCAATAGTGAATAATTCAACAGTTTAAGAAGTTTAAGTTTCTCAATGAGCGATTGTGGGGATTTTAGGAATGTCACCCTCAATGGTGCATAGTATCATCAAATATCAGGGAATCTAGAGAAACCTGTGTGCGTGAAGAATCCAGCCTAAAAAAGGACACATAAATGCCTTTGATCCCTCAGATGCCACTGCATAAAAACCCAGCATGTTTCTGTGACCATATGGGCTCAAGAATGCTTTGAAAAAGAAAATGTAAGACTGTACTATGCTCAGCGGAAGCCATATGTTAACAATGTCGGCTCTCGTCGGCTCTGGTCTGGCGGTGGTCTGCCAGATCAACCTTTCAGGTTGTTTAAGGAAATAACACTCATTGTGTTCTCCAGGCTAACGAAGGAAAGCACCATCCAGACAGTTCCCAGCGTCAAGTATAAGGGTTCTTTATGGTATGGGGGTGTATTAGCGCTTGTGACATGAGTAACTATCACATCTGTGAAGGCACCATTAACACTAAAAGATATATACACATTTTGGAGCAACATATGCTGCTTTATATACAACGTCTTTTTCAGTGACAGCTATACATATTTCAACATGACAACGCCAAGAAACACTCTGCACATGTTACAACAGCATAGCTGCATAATCAGAGAGTGTGGGCCCTAGACTAGCCTGTGTGTAATCCAGACATGTCTTCCACTTTAAACATGTGGTACATTATGAAGCGCAAAACCAAGACTCCATACAGTTGCGCAGCTGAAGACAAGAACGGCAAAAAATTTCACTTTCAAACTGGATCAGTTGGTGTTTTCAGTCCCCCCCGAAGAAAAGAAAGAAGATGTAACACAGTGTTAACATACTTGTGTCCCAACTTTTTTAGAACGTGTTGCATGCACTAAATTTCCAAATAAATAGATCAAATATCATGTTTTTGTACTGTTTTTAATGAAATACAGGTCACACTGAATTTACCACCTTTTCTGTTTTTATTAGCATTTCACACACCATCCCAATGTTTTTGGAACTGAGGTTTGTTTTTGAGAGTGCTTGCTTTTATACTGTTTAATGCCTCTAAAGATGTTCTGTGTTGTTAGTTGTTGATCAGAACTTTCTCTCTACATCCAGAAGAGCTACTCATCATGGGACAAAACACACTAAGTGACAACAACCAAACAATCACCATATCTGGATTACAGGACTCCTTCCAAACCAACTTTTCATGGTCCTTTCATAACTGGTCCTCTTTAGCTGATGTTATTAGTGAATGTAACAAAAACGGAACTCCTCCTGCACGTTTACCCATCCAGATCCTTATCCTAGTACTTGCCCTTCCGGTAAACATAGCCTTGGTCTGGCTGCTGCTGAAGAACAAAAGGGCACTTTCGCCTTCTGAGGTTTTAGGTCTCAACCTTGCTGTTCTCAGTATCCTCTATTGCCTCAGCCTGCCATTAGATATTTATATTTCAACCAGGCAGCGCTCTGGACTACTTCTCCGAATCTCGCACACCTTCACCATCCTCAGTTACTTCGGCTGCCCCCTCCTGTTGACCAGTATGTGTGTGGAACGCTATGTAGCTGTGTCACACCCCGTGGTCTTCATGAAGCTGGGGAAATGGGAGTATCGTGCCGCATGTTCTGCCTTCATCTGGCTGCTCACCTTCATCATGGCAGGGGCCACCTACATCTACACCCTCTCCATCGTTGCTATACCCCTGTCACTAATCATGAACATTCTCTTTCTCCTCATGCTGGCTTGTCTGCTGGGCATCGTGTGGGTGCTCTGCAAAAAGGGCCCAGGTGCAAGCACGCCTGGGGAACAACGTGATTCATCTATAAAGAAGAGAGCCCTAAAAAACATTCTAGCTGTAATAGTGCCCTCCACTTTAACATACCTGCCAATACTGGCCATGGCCCCTTTTCTCCTGTTGCTCCAGGCAATTGGGGACACAGGTTTGAACATGTTACTCTGCAATGGTTTGCAGATGTTCAGTGTTATCCCCAATTTCGGGGTCTGCATTGGACCTGTGTTCTATGTGTCCCGGGCCAGGCAAGTGCTCTGCTGCTATAAAAATGAGACCAGAAACTCGAGAGAGACCAAAACAGAGAATGAGACAAACTAAGCAAAGTTTGTTTCCTCAGTGGTCACAAGCTCAAATCATAAAGCTACCTAGACCACAAATTTGCAATTAAGGATGAAGGACCTGAAGACTGTGCTCCATAGTCAGTTAGTTCTTGGTAATGTTATAATAAGAGAGAGCTCACAGCCAGTAGCACTTTTTAACTCTTGTAAGTAGGAAATGTACTTACTTAATTTGTACACTGCAAAAGTCAGAGACTACCTTTCATTTATTTAATTTCTAGTCAAAACAGCTAGTAATTACAAGGTATTCATTTTTCAGCATCAGGGAAATTTCCATAGAAGCCTCAACAACTAAATATAATATTCTCTCCACTCTTTGCCCTTTATTACAATTTCTATTCTCATCAGAAGGCTTGCTCTCAGTTTCTCAAAGCATCTTAAAAGTTACATTTTCTACTTCTCACAATCCAAATAATCCCAAACACAATCAGTGATATTGAGGCCTGGACTCTGGGGTGGTTAGTCCATTGTTCTGAGAACACCAGAAGCTTCTTTGTTATATTTGCAAATTTGCTCCTCTTGTCTCTACTTCCTTTTCTCTGTAATGGCTTCTTGACAGATATACATCCTGTCAGACCCATAGCGTTGAGTTGTCTTCTCAGTGGAAAGCTTTAAGTAGTTTATCTTATGGTGACAGTTTTGGTGGTCTTGCATGTTTGTTGGGGGCCCATTTTCTCTATATCTTTTAATAATTTTTTGAATTCTAGTTTTGGACTTTTGTTTCCTCACTTATTTTTCTTTGATTATGTGCTTCTTTATGTAATGATTGTCTTATATCTAATCTCCTCAGAAATATAATAATAATAATAAATAAGAAAATAATAACTTGTACTTAATGGCTGTTTTGACTGAAAAGTAAATAAATGAAGGGTGGTCTCTGACTTTTGCACAGCACTGTATACATATCCAAACTCTCCAGAAATGGAGGATCACAGCTGCCTAATCTATGAGCTAAAAAATATTTTTCTACACTGATCAGGATGATATCAGAGTAACTGCCTATTCTGCAGTATCTAGACTGCACTACTCTGGACTGATAGACTGTGATATCAAATCTTGTGGCATCTGACCAACAGTTAGTCAGTAGCCAAACAAAGAGCAAAATATAGAAGAACCAGCTTTAACACATTATCATACGCACATTTAAAGGCTAGTATTTTGCAGTATTTTCCACCAAACTCTCTGAAGCATCCTTTATTATTGTTTGCTCTAGAAACTACTCTGTTAACCTTTCAGAGTTTGTGTTTTCAATTACAATGAATAGACTTTGGTAGATAAACCTGTTCATAAAAGAGGCAAACAGTAACTGACATCACATCCAGAGAATCAGACATGCCTCACTCTGTTGAGTACAATCATAGTACCAAAAATAGGTCCAGCTCAACTGTTTTCACTTATTCAAAACATAAATTTAATAAAGCAAATATGTACAAAATATCTTTATGCTTGCTTTAACATGCATGTTCATAATAAAATGGTTAGCAAAACCTTTTTTATTTGTGTTTAAAAATAGTTTTATTGTTTCATAACTGGTAACAGGTGTCTATCTGCTGTTGACAAAGCACGCTGAACATAATGACCATTTGATTACTTCCATCCACTGCTTGCCTTCCACTACTGGGCTCTTTGGACTCATACTTGAAGTCAATGTTCAACCGCATTCTGGAGACTAGTGTGAAACCGGATCTAAGAAAAGCAAACAACTGACATGTATGACTCAGTGACAATAAGAAGAACAGAAACTATTCTATTAAGTTTAAACTGTAGACTATAAAGATTGAAACCCATAAACATAGAATATTATTGTAAATAGATACTATGTTTTATACAGTTGTATTGTTGACCATTCTAGAACTAAACTTTCTGGGAAGCTACATCTCCAGGAGGCACCCTGATGACCACTATACTAATTACAGACAAATCCTGGAGTCCTACCTGCAGTTTTGTATTTTCCCTACATTCAAGCAGCGGGGATCCCTCAGGGCCTTCTTGGCCTTTACAGAAGGTGTGATGATTTCTGTGAAATACACAGCTGTATTTTTCCTCACTCTTATTTAATGTAATCATCATGCTTATTGCAAGTGGTACAGAAATGCTCTTATTTGTTAAATTCTTGAAACACCCATCATAAAATTATGGAATCAGGATTTTATTCTGTGGTATCTAGGTACATACAGCCAAGATAATTCTCCCATTGGTTAGGACTTCAGGAGCTGAACTAAAGGTGTAAAGCCACAGTCACACAAGACATTTGTACTTTGTGTCACCTTGCAAAATGGGCATGACCGAGGATTGGTCATGAAAAATAAAGCTTCATCTTGGTGCAGTAAGCAAGTTAACCTACTCTCTAACCAAAAACAGTAATGGCAAAAACAGAACATAATTAATTAAATGTTTATACAGACTGGTTTAAATCAAAAAATGTTATTTATGTGGTTGGTGGCAGTGACCTTGCGCTCATCACAGCGACTTCCCCAGAAATTAATCTAATTTTGCTCGGGAAAATTCGCAGTCAAAAGCAAGGCATCAGGCATCAACCAATCATCTCTTGATGTCCGATAAGTGGGACCAATTTCATGAGAAAAAAGTCACTCTAGACATTCTAGAAGTTCTAGATACGTCATATATAAGTATATACAGTATAAGTGGTAGCCTGATCTGTGTTTCAGTCAGTTGTCAGAAACAGAAAAAAGTGGCAGCAACTCAATGCCATGGCTCTTTACTAAAGGTGTCACTGCAACATAGAAGGTATAATATAAGCTAATATGTCTGTCTGAAGCTTCAAATAAGACTTGGAAAGTAATGTCATGCAATTAATCTAGAATGGCCAAAAACGTTCATGTGAATTACCATTAGCGTAGCGCTAACATACTACTAGAATTGCATAGGGGTGCTGGCTAAAATTAGCATTATATTATAGTATATTAAATTATTAATGTTTTTAACATTTATGGCCCAAACTGAAGGTCTAGCTCTAATAGTCAAATAATTAGTTGATTATTTGGTTCTTCTTAGTTGAATCATTAGTTAATTAGTTAAGTTCTTCTTGGCTGAATCCAAGGTCTGTAGACAATGTCCATGCGCACCATGTTGACCAAACAGTATTTTCATCAGTTGTACCTCTTACCCTGTTTTGTTTCATGAATGTAGACAAAAAGGATTACAATGTAATAACATAAACACACACAGAATTCCAAATCAGATTGATTCCAGTGTAGCATTTATTGAGTTCCTTTACTTGCCTACTTCAGCTGCAGTAACAAACTGTGGCACCTTTGGTTGCTGAAGTGACTCTGTAATTTTGACTGTAAATTGGAAAGCAGGATGGCTGCCACTCAAATGGATACATCGCTGCTTTGCGCCGACAGATAGTTGATGAGCTTCAGAACCATGTTACATCATCATCTTGTCATGAGAGATTTTCTGCCAGTTAAGACCAGCATATGTTACACATTTCAAAGCATAATCAAAAGAAATATTACACATACCTATATCTAATAAGCTCTAATAATCTATAATAAGCTGTCTGAGATTACTCAGTAATTTCCGACAAAAGTTGAAAACCAAAAATCAATATAGTGATTCTCTCAAACACAAAGCAAACAAGCAAGCAAGGATTTCATGTACATGTAACAAACTCATTAAAGAGCCCAATGACCCCAAACAACCTGCAATCTGCAGTCCTCAACAACCACACCCATCTCAACTACTCGCTCTCCAGCATTAGACTGTTCCACTGTGGCCATCTACTGGTGTAGACATTCCTTCTGGCACCTGGTGACAGTTCAAAAGGGAATAGTGATGTGATGGGCCTGTTATGAATAAGCCTTTGCTAGAGTGTCCTGTCATAGACAGTGGATACTTTCGAGAAATATAGCACAAACCCCCTTCTAAGATCAATTCCAGCTGCCTCAGAGAAGCACCACCTAGGCTCCAGCTCCACACCATCATCAGTACTGCTCCTCTTATGAGAATGCCAGCATACATTTCCAGATCCAAATAAATGATTCAGAGTCAGAATACATTACCTGTCCATCTTCTGATGCAGGCAGTGAGGGTTAGCTCTAAGCTAGTGGCTCACCTCAGCTTTGGGCATCTTATTCCCCACATGGAACACTTCCAGACTCCCACAGCCATGATGAGGAGAATGTGTCTTTTTAGTTCAAAGGACTACATACATTTTGTGTCTCCTAGTCAGGCAGAGGGTAATGGAGACTCAAGTTTCAAACTTCACAGACTGCAGACCACTTAAGACTGAACTTCATGGGACCCTGGCTTGTCATACCTTTCTGGTCGGAAGAAGTAAAGCATAGTACTGGTGATCACAAAATTGACAGAAAAAGGAGACTGAACTGTTACCTCATTAATATATGATACAGCACATCACTGCTAGCAGTTTCCAAAAAAGACGGTAAGGAACCATCAGAAGAGACCAAGTGGCATATCAATGACATAGATTGAAATTTCAACACATTGTGTTGTACATTGAACTTTTCCATGTTTTAAAACTGTACTGAAATCATTTCTGAACGTAAGTTATTTCTTTAATGTACCTATGATCCAATGAGGCCTGCCTCTAGAAGAGCATGTGGAGAGTATCTAACCCAGAGTAACGCACTAAACAAATACAGTAATGGTGTACAGATTGATTCTGAATTATCGATATTTCCAATCCTGACGTTTCTTTTTGAGAATCAATCCTCACATGACAATGTCAGTACTAGGTGTTTTCTTTAAGCAGTAAACTAAATATACATCAGTATCATCAAACTGATAAATAACTGGAAAATGAAGGAGAAGGATAGGAAGTTCTTTCCCTTCCGCCCTCTCATTCTGCTTTTCACACACATACACACACACACACACACACACACACACACACACACAGTCACAGGACACGCAGTGAACGTTCTATAGTACCAGATCATTTAGTGTTAATTCATTACAGACAGTTTATGTGGCGGTTTATTTAATGCAAAGGCTTTTAGATATAAATGTTAATGTCCACTATTTTACTGGTTTTCACTGTACAAATCACAAAGAACTCCCCCTTTTAAAAGTATCAGTATTGATATCAGAATATCAGAATATCAGCCTTGGTATTACTTGGCATCGAATCGTAAAGAAACTTAGTGTCATATCGCCCATTCCTAAAATACAGTACTATGGCTTTAACTTTTCTCACCAGTCTTGCTCAGATCCTGTTTCCTGCGCGCTGATTGGCTTAAAGTTCGTGCTCACCAAAATGCTCACAAGCGCTCCGCCTTTCGGATTAGCCAATAGTAGCGCAGGAGGCGGGACTAATTTCGAAATCAACTTAGACGAGGTGAGCGTTTCAGTTTCTGACGGATATTTTTTTAACGGTTACTAATTTTTGAAAACGAGTAAACAGCAACAAACAAGTCCTTCCTGTTGGTTTCACATTTTAGGGGGAGAGTGAAGTGAATCGAGGGCAGGCCAAAAATAAAACTTTAAAAGTGAAACTGGGCAAAGGTACTGTAAAGCAGCTGGTGCACAGAAGTACAGAGACAGTTTTCTCTTAAAATGCTGATTTTTTTTCTGTAAAGCTGCTTTGTGACAACACCTGTTGTAAAAAGCGCTATACAAATATACTTTACTTACCTGCTTAGTCTCTGAGCGTCGAGCGGAATGCAGGTCTGTCTTTATGTCAGCTTAGTGTATTATTTTAGCTTCCTGATATCTGAGTAGTTGGAGGTTGACGCGTTGTCGCTCGTGAAGTGTTTTTTTCTTACATAGTTGAGACTTTTTTGTATAACTAAGAGTTTGCTTGACAGAATATTAACGTCGACGTCTCGAGTGTAGAGAGCTGAGAAGATGGACAACATCTCAACTGTCGATAAGTTCCCCGAATATCGGCTCCTTGAGGCTTATTGCTGTAAAAGAAGGCCGAGGCCAAAGGCAGACGCCTCTCTGTCTGCTGTAACTAAGTTAAGAAAAACCAGCAGTAAAGATTTACCTTTTCTCCAAAGTGCTTCGAAAGGAAGAGATGAAGCTGTTTTCAGATGTGCTGCTTATGCAGTGACAGGTAAGACAGCTGTATCTTAGATGACCAGCACTTACTTATTTACTTATTTACTTTTTTATTTAATGATTGATTTAATATCTTATGTCTAAAAAACAGATGAATTTGAGGATGTGGCTGATCAGCTGACCCACATTGTAGACAGTACACCTCTTTTTCAGGATGATGTTGTTAAAGATGGCGTTGGTAGGTTTGTTCATCAATAAGATTATTTATGTCTTTAAGAATCCTAAGAATGTGAATCTGACGAGAGATTGTGGTGTTAACGGCATGCTCTACTTGGTCTTCCCTTCATCCAGACAACCATGTCATCCAGAGGCTTGTTGAGTTATTGAAAAAATGCGGTGACGAGCTGAATGAAGAGGTAATTGACATAAATTTTCTACCACAGGGGAAATAAAGAATAAATCTGCAGTATGTGGAGTACATGCAGTTCACAAAAAGGAGGCTGGAGATAGACACAGGCCAGTTCACAATTTCAGGACTGTTAGAACTACTCCACACATTCACTCTTGTCCTCTCCCTTTTTGGTTGGCCCTGTTAGATCCAGAAAGACCGTGAGCTTATGGGGTACCTTCAGAACTCTTTCTCTTACACCGTCTTTGAGAATGTGGCCTCAGCTTTCGTCGGCAGTGTGGTGCCCACAAGCACGTGGAGGGAAGAAGCTAGTGAGCAGAAAGCTGTGATTGCCTGGACCGTTGAGATGACCAGCAGGTTGACAGCTCTGGACCTACAGCCTATGAACAGGGTCATGGGATTTGGGGCCCAGTACCTGCACCAGCATTTTGCTCCATGGATTCAGCAGCATGGCGGCTGGGTAAGTTCTGACTACACTCATCCGGATTTGCACACTGTAATGATAATGTATTTTATAAACTCAAACTATGTGTTAAAGAGCTTATTAAAGATATGAACTTCAAGTCTATCTTTACTTTCCCCACTACAGAACAAGGTGTTTAACAGTGATGACAGTTATCGTGAGGTCCAGTGAAAAGCACCTTTATTTTGTCTGTATTTCTAAAATCCACAAGATGGTCTGCTGCCTTCAAGAACATCACTTTTTGACTACCTCCTGAGTGCTGATCAGAGAGTGTTGCTTATGTAGAAGCACCCATTCGTGCAGTCGGATGCAAAAGTTTGAAAACCCTGGACAAATTACATGTTTTGTTAATTTTCTAAATAAAAATGTATTAACATATCCTCTACAGAGAAAACAAAGGCATTTTTATGCAAATTTAAATAATTTCTATTTATCTGCTAAGTTTATGTACAGGCCACATTTCATGTTTTGTTTTTCATTTTTTAAATTCGGCAAATAAAAAGTAATTGTGCATTTTCACTTAGAAAAGCAACAAAAGATGTAATTTGACCAGAAGCACCCAAAATTTAGCATGCAACTGTATACGTGATCTCATGTTCTAATTTTGTAATTACATTTCTGTGAAATGGGAGCAACTAAAAGTTGCCTTGTTGATCATTTTTGTATGCATGACTGACCTAGCACACTGGCTATCTACCACATCTTAAGATTTAAAGACAACTGCTAAAACAATTCTTAGTTAATGATAAGACAAACGAATGTGTGGTTTGGAAAAGTATTCATCACAAATTACTTCACTGCACTCTTAAAACACTTAAAATATAATACTTTATTGACCAAGAATATGAGACATCCATCATTGCAAGCACAAATAAAGCAAGCACCATTACGGAGTATCCATACAAATGAACTGTGGCATTCACTCTGCTGCGTGGCTAATTTATCCATGCATATTTCACACTGGTTTTGAAATCCTGATTAATTGATGCAGCATACTTGTACAATAACAATCAACTTAGCCTACGTGCTGCAACCTAAATGAAATACAGATTAATTTGTGATTACTCTTCATAAGCATATGTCAAGCTTACATGGAGGCACAGAAAGGTAATACAACAAACGTATAGTGGATAGTGTATTGTTGTTTGTTTTCTCTCAATCCCAGGGTCAACAATGTATAAGCAGTCTAATTCAATGCATAATAAATGTGAAATCAAGATTTCTGTATGATTCAGCGTTCACGTGTCTACATTCATTCCATCCTATGCATGATAGCAGAGTTTATATGTTTGAAGACCGTTTGCCTGTGTAGTTCAGCAAATGATCTGTTAACCAGAGAATGCTGTATTTAGTCTGGACCAGGTATATTTCTGCCTTACTGTCTGGAGTCATCAATTTCAGACTTCCTGTTTGCCAGTCATAATGAAGTTGGATGTAATGGTCAGGATGGAATGGCAATTGGATTACAGAATCCTATGTTGAGCTAATCACAATCAAGAACCGCAGACGGATGCAGACATGCAGCCTACAGCATCTGTAACTCTGGCTGCTGTGAAAATGATTAGAATAACCTGGTCACAAAAGCTGGCAAACGCGTTAGAACACTGGACAATAAGACCGGACTCTGCCTCTGTTTGGGTCCATGCAAAACAATACACCACGAGCCACTTGTAGTTATGTTTATTTCATGTAATACGACTTTAGCATGGCTTGTAGTTCAAAGCAGAAAATCTCAAAGCATTTTACATATAATTAATCTGAAACCTGTTCACTTAGACAAATTTCATATAGTTCTAGATGCCGAGGTACTTGTTCATTTTTCCCAGGGCGTCACAGACTGTGGTGAGGTCACTGCGGAGGTCCTGCACCACATTCTCAATGCTCCTGGTGTCCTTCAGAAGGTCAATGCTCTGGGTGTAGGGGTTGTAGTAGACAGAGAAGGGCCTCTTGATTGATTTGGCAAATTCTCTATAAAGAGGAACCATATCATGAGATCTTTTTGTCGTAGTTCATAACCGAACACCAGTTTCTGATAAAACTGTCCTTGTCAATTGATTCAATCTTTTTTATTAATAATGAAAACGTATTTTTCAAGTAAATGTGATCATAAACAAGAAAAGCTTGAATAATTTTACCTCATTTTTTCTTTGGCCTCTTCAAAACTTTCTGACACAAAGTAAACGTCTTGGAAAGTTGTGATGAGGCACTCCTGGTAGCACGTGGTCCTGGGATCAAATGGCTTCACCAAAGCTTTGTCTGATAAGGCATTCTGTGGATTCATTGAAGGCTAGTTAAAGAACTGAGAAGGTGGAGTAAAACTGGGATAATAAAAGTGCTATTGATGTACCCTTAGCTCTCCAATGGAGGACAGCAGCCCTGCTCCATAGGCTCTCAGCTGGCCGTCTTGTTTGCACAAGCCAAACTCAATGGTGAAGAAATAGCACTGACCAGAAGAAACACATTAAAAAAAGAAGCAGAGCAAAAGGCAAGGCATAAAAAATAAATATTTAATAGATAATATGTAAGGTAAAGTTTTATTGGTTATATGCCCTTACATTAGCACACAAAAGGTTTCAGGTGTGAAGTGGCAATAGTAAATGGTAACTCTAGCTTTACTTGAAATGTTCCTGCTGAAATCCCCCCACACTGAAGATTAACCTCCATGCAAATGCACCACTATAGGGCAGATCATGACAGTAAACTGCTGGTTAAATGCCACCACAAGCCCCTCTGACCTTTTCACATTGGTATAATCACTGTATTATGACGAGAGTCTGTCACTCAGGTAGACTCTGTGACATTTAAAGACCCACACCTGCATTGTGAGACGAAAGCTTGGTTTCAGCTGCACTTACTGTAGCCAGCTTCTGCACGTCTTCATCTGAAGCTCCTAGGGAGGCCAGGCCGATTTCTTGCGAGAACTGAGCAAACTTTGGATCTGCTAGGAGTGGCACATGACCCAGGAGCTCATGGCAGGTATCCCTGAGCGCCAGCGTTAAAGATATATTACAAACTTTAAAGCATCACAAATGAAGTCTAATATGTACTAAAAAGAGCTCAATTATGCAGATTTCTTGACACATGGTAAAAACAATTACTGTCTCAAACTTAGGATATGAAATGACGCTCAAGCCAGTGAGGATGCGTGTCTGGATGGTACTCACGGCTCTGGTGTGTAGAGCGGATCAGTGCTGTGACGCACATACTGAGTGCAGTTAAACACTCGGTATGCCAGTCCAGCGAGGAAGTCTCTAGGTGACAGGTATCCTGCCACAGGTCGCACTGTGAATCCTGACCTGTCTGCAAATATCAAGATCATACAAAAAATAAAATCTTAACAAGCCAGAAGATCTTGGTTATTTATTTAAAGATAAACTGACTAGACTAGATTTGCATGTATAAGATTATTAAGCTAGCTTGTGTATAGTTATCTTGTTTAGATGAATTAGCTGATAACAGACTTCTCAAAATAAAATAAAACATTTTTTGAGAGAACTGAAAGGTTTCAAACCTCAAGACAGCTTTACTTTACAACTTTACTACTTTAAATGCACAGATATCTAGCCTTGCAATCTTAAAAAACATTACAAAGCATTGTTTTCTTAAAATAAGTCCTGAAATTCCATCTTTCATAGTAGAGAGGTATAAAACTTTTCAAGCTAGCTGATTAATTTCATACATAGAAATCTATTTTTTTAAAAACTAGTGTGCCATCTCAGAGTTACTAAAGCAATTTATTATTATACATTTATTAAAATGTGTAAATTTTGTAATGTTTTATGACTCACTCCAATAGGTATTTTCAGGAATATATCTTATTTTAAGAATTTCAGTATTAAGACAATTTTAAAGACATTTTTGTTTATTTAAAAGCAAAGTATCCCGTGCACTGAGCTTGAAGCTTGTTCAAGCATTCTCTACTCAAGAATTTTTGGTTTTTGCTCATTTTAGATTATTATTATGATGACATCAGGCCAAAATAGTGTTACTAATCTGGCCATAATGCCTTAAACCAATGAAAGATTTACTGATTTATTTTGACGAGTTTGAATAGTTGCAAAATTCTGTATATCCATTTGTAACAACTTTGGATAGAAATACTTTTGATGAGAATCACAGCTGATGTAAAGCACATTTAATTCTCTCATAAATGTGGTATTAATCATAATATAGCACTGATATTTCTTGTATGTGTAAAGCCCACTCCCAACAATGGATGTCATAAAAAAGAAAGAAAATTCTTGGCCTATAATGTATTTTGCAACAAAACCCTTCATTTACAGCACAGGATAGTTTTTCTCATTTTAAGAACTCTTATTAAGTAAAACATTTCTCATTATACTGGCTGGTAATTTTGCTTGATTAAAGTATATTTATTTATTTATTTTTTTGTGGTCAACAACAAATCAGAGTGCATTCTATAAGGTTGGCACACATTGGGCTGAAGAAGCCATGAAGCATCTCTTCTTTACTCTTATAAATTAGGTCTATGCTAACTAATAGGAAATTAAATACCTGCCATAATGCTGTATATGTGTATAATAATCTATAATATTTTTACCACTGTATAATACTTCTGCAGTACCATCTAGTGTCTTGTAATATTTACTGTCAGATAAGTATTCTTATATAATTACTACTTCTTTTTCATAAGGGTGTAAATGCTTTTAAACTGCTACAATGACGCAGATATAATTACTTCTGCATGAAGCAACTACCTCTTAGAAAGAGAGACACATCTTCAAGCTGAGGAATGTTGTCCTCTCGGTATCCACAATACTTTGTGAGCAGTGGGAGGTTTTTCAGGTACTCGCGGCAGGCGTGGGTGGGGTACAGTTTAGTCAGCTCCCGGAACACCACTCCCCAAGTCTTCACCTCCTCTGGCGTGTACTCAATGCGTGGGATGGGTTGGCCACTATTACATAAAAAAAAAATTTGCTAAGCATACATAGAGGGTCATATGTAAACTATGTGTGGGCTGACTGACAACACTTTACACAATGCCTGCCTTTAGATCGGCTCTTCCTGCACTGCTGGCCTTGGCCCACAGATATTACACAACTCTGAAACTAATTTTGAGTGTGAATGGACGTGAGTTACTAACAATTTGTAGTTCATCGCCACCTCCACAAAGTACTTCCTCCTCTGTCGATACACATTGTCTTTAAAGCCCTACAGAGATGGGAAACATCTGTCAAAGGACTGTATCAATGCATCAAGATCTATCCTAATGAGAGCCTTGGAACTTAGCAGTTCACCAACCGGGTGGTCAGCATCCAGCTCCGAGCCGTACATGAGCACTCTGTGAGAGCACTGGTCCAGCTCCGAGATCTTCTGGGGAAACCAGGGCACTCCTTCCCCATCTGGCAACCCACCCAAAACACACACACAGTCCAAACAGTCTAGAATAAAAGAGTCAGGAGAAGCAGTAGCATTATCACAAATATCACAGCCATTTACTGTAGCAGTTTTAAACTCTCCATGGAAGAACATCATGGTCTTCATAGCAATATCTCAGTGTGGGTCACTGGGGAGAACATTTGTACATCATACCAGCGTAATAGCTCAGATGTAAGCATGTTATTAGACGTGCCTGCAGGTCATAGACTCACCGGTCTCTGCAGACCACACATGTTGAGGTGTGTTATACGAGATGATGTTGACGTGGTCTTTAAGGTGCTGCACCAGCTCATTGAACTCCTTCTTAGTGCAGCTGCACTCCGCATAGATCTCCACCTCCGTGTTGACTCGCTTCGATTTGCGTGACTCAATGTGGGCCAAATTCACATGCTTCTCCTACAGCAGCCGTGCCCACAGAATGTGTTCACAAGAAGCAAATTCACACCAAAATGTTCACTAATAATGATTATTTGCCCCCATGTCTTCGTCAGTAACTGACACATACAGTCTTATGCAAAAGTTTAAGTGCCCCTAGTCAAATTACATGATTTGTTGATTTTCTAAATAAAAATAAGTTAAAACATCCTCTACACTAGTGGTCACCAACCCTCTTCCAAGAGATCTACTTCTACAAATATAGCTGAATTTTACAGTACAGTGACATTGGCTTTGTTCTTCAACAAATGCAATGAATGAATATGAGTGATGGTGATGCATTGCAGGCCTGCATCTAATATGTTGCCCCCCTCATTGGAAAACAACAATGCATCAAAAATGTGGCATGTGCAAAAGTTATAGCACACTTTATATTTTATTTTTTCCAGTAAGTAAAGTTTTTTTCTCCAATATGTTAAATAACTAGAGACTGTGGACTGAAATTTGCAGAACAAATGCCACATTTAAGTAAGAAAATCAACAAAAACATGCAGTTTAACCAGGCATGTTCAAACAGTTCAAGACTGTATGCTTTCTTTTTTATTTCCAATTCACCAGCTCTTCTGGAGGGCTGATATGGTCACTAACCTGAAAGATCCGTAGGGCCTTCACCAGACAGCCCACCTCGTTCTTCAGAGAGAAAATCACTGCTGTTTTCCCGGGATCAAGAGTGGAGCCTCCCTCTTTGTCTGGTTTCTCGTCTATACGACCAAAGGATGTCCTGCGAAGCTTTATATAAGTGTGGGAAAGGTGAATGATGGTCATGATAGTTCAACGTGCAAGGCTGATGAGGTGCTTAAAAACTCTGATTTACATTTAAAATTTAATTTTATTTGCTTGCCCAGAGCTTCTGTGATCTGTGTGAAAACTCGTCATTAAACATAATTACATATTTACAGACACTGGTTTTACAGTAGCAATTACCTCTTTGTAAGTGCCATACTGATAGACACTGTTGACAGATGGTCTCTGACAGATGCTACTTCTGATCACAAGACCACTCAGGACAATATAAGTAATTATACATTATTGTTCTATGACATTTATGTTATGATTTGAGCCCAAATCACTTTTCTGCCTGTGAATAGGATCTATACATTTTCTCCTTGTAATCTGATATTGACTCAATCAGGAATATGCAAAATAATCTGAAACTGAGGAACAGGAAGGGAGCTCTCCACTGAATTCTTACCATATTGTTGCCAAGATGCTGCTGATCAAACATGGCTGAATCCAAAGATAATCCTCGACGTGCCCAGTACTTGCTGGAGAACATCATCATAGCCGGCTGCATCTTCGGGACCACTTCCTGACCCCTCTTTCTCAGCAGCCCCACAGGTGACTTGGGGATCTCTGGACCCTTCTTCTGGTTCTGCAGGTCAGAGGGCACAGGCATAGTTTCTTGAGGCTTGTTTTTGCCTTGCATTTCGGAAGATGCAGGGGCCGTCTCTGATCCCTTCTTCTTCTGCACCTCTGAAGCCATGGGGAACTGTCTGGGTGTGCCACTCTACCTTGCACTCCACCTCCCCCGGCAGTGCCAGAGCCATGCTTATATAGCGTGACGAAAGATGCTGATAAAAAAACAAAAACCCTCCTCTCGCACCGTATTGCCTGTGTTGGTTTCGGAGGGGCTGGTGCTTCTTCATTAAGAAAAGTTGTTACGTCAGTACCCTCACTGATCATGTAACCTCAGTGTTAATTCACTCAACTCAAATCTGCTCTAGAACAAAGCTCAGAACAGACCTCAACCTTTTCTTTTCTAGAGGGATGAAACCAAGATGAAAAAAAATGAGAAATTCAAACAGGAATGATGTCAACTTTCACTCTTGAAAATGTATTCTGAAATTGAGGGCTTTTCATACGTTTGAAGCTGAGCAGTGGACTCTATAAGCCACCCCACACAAATGACTTTAAAACATAGATGGGGTATCACACATTCTATAAGGTGCGAAACGTATACAAGTGAAAATAAGGGGAAGAAACACACAATGCCACACTGGCTTTAATGTCCACTTTATCAATGAACAAAAGTCAAAATGAGGGACGCAAGCACCTGTGGAAAGCAAACCGTGCATTGACGCACATTGTTTATAGTCTCAGCTGAATGAGCGGGTGTTTGCTATAGTGCAGAATGCAGGCGTTCCTTTAATGAAAGAGCTGGAGGGGAGATAAAATTACAGCTCTGAAGAGAAAGCTATCAGTCGCCTCTGAGGCAATTTCCTGTGGAACAGGAAATGAAAGTGCTAGGAGTTGGGAGGCGATTCTGGGCATCTTTGTTGTGAGCATGCAGCCCTGTTATGAGCCGATAAAAGATACTCTGGTCTGCTGTCAGGATTTTCCACCCTCCCCTCCCCATCACATCTCAAAATGTCACAGATGGGAAAGAATGCTACGAACAGTCTAATACATCAACGAGACAACATTTAAATGCCACTTGAATTTCCAATTGTGCATTTTAAGTGCGGAAGCAGTTTTCTGAGTGGTATTCAAAATAACGTAACGCAGTGTATCATTTTAAGTGATGTAATGTTAAGGACGTATGTAAAGTTAGGATGTATATTGTACTATCCGTCACACAATATATAGAGTAAAATTAAAGTAGTTGACAGAAAACTTACTGCCTCAAATGAATTAGGTTACGTAACGGGTTCAAGCTTAGGTAACTTTATACATGAGTTATAAATACTTTCTAGTTTTCAGTGATCCACACCTCTGCAGCAAGTAAGGTTAACTCAAACAGCCCAATAATTACAAAGGGTCACCTTTGAGCTGATAATAGTCCATTTTTCCAAGTTCTGTTTACTCTTGAATTAGTTAGGTTATCACAAATAAAATATTCTTCCTAGAACCATTGAATTTATTCTATTATATTAAATGGACTCCTGTGTACAGAAATAAACAAATGGCTAAGATAATACAAGAATTGCTCGTTTCTGAGAGCTCTAATAGTTTAATGTATATTTGCCATTGTTAGCATTCATGATGATAGCCTGAACTGGTGAACCTGAACACAAAACCTCATCAAAAAAATGTAAAATGCATACAAACTTCACATTTAACATGAGAATAAGCTATGACACAATAATATTTTACACAGAGAATTATATTTATAAATTAGAAAACTGAGTTAATTAACAGAAACCAACAAAACCACTAAGACTGCTGGGAAGATTTTTGGGTGAAAGACTCTTTAGTCTGATTGACTTATCCAAATTAACTGATCTTGACTACATTTACCTAACCAAATAAGGATTATACAAATATTGGGTATTACTAGATTTGTATTAGTAATTTTAATAAAGTAAGCCAAAAAAAGTTGTTTTCTAGTGTACAATACTTTGTAATCATGTCATTAATTAATACTATTAATTAATTTCCTAAATAATAACTTCTACAGTGTAGACTAAAATATTGCAAACTACATACCAGATGTTTTGCAAAGTTTTATTTCATTTCAAGTTTTTGGGAACTTAAATAGTGATATATGATGCAAGCCTCAAGACTTGATCCCCACTTTTCAAATACAAGGCATTTTGGAGACTTTCCGAGTTATTCTAGAATCAACTATAGTATTGTTCACTATTTTGGACACACCTAAAATTTTCTTCTTGAAAATTAGTTTCACTTTCTTCAAATTAGTTAAAACTTATAAAGTTGGAGAGCAGTAGCATCACATTAGAATTCTTTTATAAATGTGCACTCTTCAAATAAAAGACTCTACAAAGGTTTTTTTAGTAAAGCCATAAAAAATCCATGAACACTCAAAGAACCACTTAAATTGCATAAATTGTTCTATGCATGGTTAAATGGTTCCTTCTCAGGTTTTTTTTTCTTGCCATTGTCGCCCTTGGCTTATGCATTTGGGGCTTGGACCCAGATTTTCTGTAAAGCTGCTTTGTCACAAAAAAAAGTGGTAAAAACAGTACAAATCACTAAATAAATATATTTTGACTTTTCTTCTCTAAATCAGAAAAACAGCTGTAAATGGTTCTTTAAATAACTATTTTCAAAATGGATCTATATAGCACCAAAAACAGTTCCCTATTATTATGCGTCAAAGAATCCTTTTTTCAGAACTTCTTAGAACCATTTTTGCTCACAGTATATTTGCAACAAAATTGGTTTAACATCATTGAAAACAGTGATTCCAAACTTTTAAATTATGTTTCTAAATGTTTAAACAGTATTGTACATTATGTAAATATTTACATTGGTTTATGTACAGATACTATATATATTTAAAAAACCTAGATAAACAAATTTTGGATGCAGAGGCTTAACCGATGACAGAGAGGTTAAATGGATGTCTGGATGTAATGTGTCATCCCACAGATTCACATCATTACAAATGGCTCATCTGAAATTTTTAATAAAGAGGTTAACACATCAGTGACATGAGCTGTAAATAGCATGGTGGGAAGGCACCACTTCAGAATGAAGATTCTATCGTGTTTCTTCTGTCTAAACCATTAATCTTCCAGTTCCCAGCCACATAAGATCCAAAATTCAAGATCCATACCCACACACCACATGAGGAGAACATGTTTTAATTAGATCAATTTGTGCATGATTCAGAAAAGAGTAATTAGGGGAGAAAGTAAATTAGCACTTAAAATCAATAATGGAAACTCCATCTTGAAAACTCAACAATGCAATGAGAAGGAATGATTATTTTAAAGACAATATGGTACAAGAAAATTACAAAAATAATAGCTTTAGGATCACTTTAGATCCTAGTTTTACATTCATACATATTCTTTTCTCATGTAAAGCATCTGTGATGCTTTATAATGTGACATTTGGTAGCAAATATCTACATGATACCCAATACTGTTCATCTTCCTGGTATACAGATACTAAGAAAAAAATCTGTAATATACATGTCAGGCTGTGCACTATGATATGAAGGCGACTTTACATCTGTTGCGTGACGTTTCTTGTAAGAGTCCATGACCATTGGAAAAGGCCTGGTCTTGTCTGTGTGCAGGTCTTGGTGAGGACTGAGGTGATTCAAGCACTCCATACTCACTGGTTTCTAAAGTAGATCTGTCTGTGACTGCATGCAGGCCCAGAATTTCACTTACTGAATGGGGCAAGTCCTAAACATGAAACCAAGATAACAAATATGAAACAGAACTACAGTACTATGTTACAGTATATATAGCAGTAAAAACTGAGATCACAGTTCAAGCCAATTTCAGAGATCGCTTTGTACATATTGTCACTGTTGGAACAAAACCTGTATCTCCAATTTTCTCTGTTGTTGTTTTTTTTATTTAAGTAACATGTAGAATATATTTTTTGTAGACTATTCAGGAGATACCCGGATTTTGGACCAACAGCAACATTATCGAGGTTTTTCCATTTTAATGTAGTCTTTTACACTGATATAAAAGGTGTCTAAGTTAGAATTGCACACCAGTCTTATATACCATGTCTATTTTAAAAGACCTTGCAGTTAAAGATGTGCGTCAAGACGTAGCTTTAAGACTTACCTTACAATTCTTTATCTGCATATATATAGCCTCTGATTTGATAAGGATTTCTTCAATGTCCAGTTTCATGGAGAGTTCGTTTATATGCTGCAAAAGCATAGAAATTGACCGTTACTGCCACAGCAAGAACGCATTAACATGAACGGAATAAACAATGAAGGTATGTAGAAGAACTCATATTATGAAAAGCTGAGCTGATCTTTTCATATTTCAGTAACTGTTTGCATTATTGTGTACAAGAATAAACACACAGACAAAAAAATAAAGCAAAAGTAAACTTACCTTTAGGATTTCATTGAATCCATAATGCCTATCCATTATTTTCTGTTTTTCTGAATCCAAAATGGCACAGCATACCAAAAGGTGAAAGTTTTGGCAAGGCAGTCCTGTCCACATCACCTTAGAACATAAACATTTAATTAGCATACTGAGACTAAAGGAAAGTCTGACATGTGGAAGTCATTTTCAATCGTTACTAACGTGTATGGAACCAGCTACATGGGAATGTGGGCAAGAATGGTACAAAATGTTTAAGTTGTGGATGGGAGCAGGACAAACAGTGTAGATATTCAATGAAAGTGGGCAGGAGCAGGATGAAAACTTGGGGAAGCGGGACTAAAAAAAATATGTTCCACACAGACCTCTGCACTTTGTGTCAATTCATCTTACTAAACATAAGTGAAAATGTTAGTTCTTAGATTATTGAAACGTTTAATGAATGTAGCAGACCTCCCAGAGGCGAAGCACATCCTGAAAGTGGAGTTCCCTCTTGAAGCGGATCAGTAACCACCGGAAACAGAAATACAGGTACCCTGAATCCTGAGCCTCTGTAAAAACCAAAACATGGGGTTTAACACAAATGGCAACCCCACAGTGCACACTCACTAAGCCACTGAACATGTTATTCAGCAGAACACGGCAAAAGGAGCTTATCAATAATGCATGTGGCAAATCATATCATGTTATGTTCAGCCTCTGTGAAAAGGCCTCTCATTTACCCAGATAGTTCCAGAAGGCTAAGTCTAGCAGCCGTAGCAGCGTGCTCAGCTGGATCAGCTGGGTCTTCATTCCTTGCATCTGCTCCTCAAAGTTCTCATGCTGAAGATCAAGAAGACAGCTGTTACTTTACACAAAGCACTGTATGACTGTACATGAGCAGTTTACATAATAACCTTTAGTCTTAAGTCACACACAGTGATAAAAATACCTAAGCTACTAGAACCAGAACAAAACTGTCTGAGAGATGCATATATGAATGTGTGGTGGATGGAAGACTGTATAAGTACCATCTGATCCATGAAGGAGACAAAGCACCAGAAAGCATCCACCTCGTTCTCCATTACGTAGAGGATAGGAGAAAGCAGATCACTCATGCCCTGCACGTAGCCTGCACCACAGCAAAGCAAAGTGGGTTACATGCAGGCACAAGAAGAAGAACACTAATTATGCACCGTTTTTCATCCTACATTAAAAAGCGCTTACAGATTAAGTTAATGGGCTGAATAATTTAACAGGCTTTTAATGGCACAAAGACAAATTCATTGAAAGTTTCTTGCAACACTGAATTTAGATAGATATGCAATGTCAACTTTTATCTAAATCTACAATTGTGCTGCACTTACCCAAATCAAAGTCATACATGCAGTATGTCATTAAGATGTCATGCAGTAAAATCAGGCCAGGGTTGTCTAGACCCTCGTAGAACTTGTTGGTGCGGTCAGTTCTGTTGACATCTTTTTCTGAGGTTAAAAATAAATAAACAAACATTAAAGAACCTGTATTGTTTACATACTCATCATACAGTATGTCTAATATTTATTTCTGCTTAAGTATTGTTTGGTACCATTGCTGCCTCAACTACATGCTTTTACCATAAAACTAAAAAAATAAAAAATAAATAAAAGCACAACAACCAGTAAACTGTAATCTTTAAAAACAAACTGCAGCTACATTTCACCACATACCGATAAGGCTCTTATAATCCCGTAACCTTGAGTTCCGCTTCTCCTGCTCTTCACTGACTGACTTCCACTGCAGCTTCATTCTGAAGTACTCATCTCTTCAGCCCAAAGATAAGGGAACACAAACACAAGCTTTGTTATTTGCAATACAAACAAGGAATAATCCTCAGGTGCTAAGCCTCTGACTAAAGTAAATAATGATATCTCCTAGCTGATAGTAAGGGTGAAATCTTTTTGCAGAGATTGATCTACACTAACATTTTCCTTTTTTGCAGGTTTTTCCTCTCTTCATGGGTGCTGTCCCAGGGATAATAGCCCAGTAAAAACTTCCAAGCTTCTTTTCTTAGAGCATGGCACAGACCCTTAAGCACACAAAAAAGAAAAAGCACAAAACAACAAAGATGTTAAACGACATCTTAGTTTAGGCTGGATTTTGAAATGTGAACTGTCAAGAAAGCACAGACCTACTAGGTAGATCCTATTATACAATGAATAGCAAATGTGTCTTTGCTCCTATAAAAGTTGTTTCACAGACAAAAGGTTAAAAGAGATCGAGTCATTCTCAGCAGCGAATGCAACAACGAAAACTTACAATGACACCCTTTGTGATTATATGTTATGATCATGAAAGACAGGGTGATGCAGCAATGCATTAAACTAGGACCCTTAAGGGATGTGGTGTATATGGCCATGTGTGTTTCTGCCTCGCACATCATCACTTGATTTCACTAATTAGGTTCCCTCCTTTGTCCGGGAAGACAGCTCATTAGTGAAATCAGGAGGTGTTGTGTCAGGCTGGAACAAACCTGCAGACAGTGTAGTTACTGATGAACAGAGATGAGTGCCCCTGGATAGAACAGCTGTATTTCCTTCCTGTTTTGAGATGCTTTGTTAACCACATATAGGGTCTATGTTATGTAATATTTGGCGTTTAAAATCTAGAGGTTCATGGACGAAAATGATACTAATATCAAAACATGTTGCCCAATATACAGGGAACAGACTTTATAGGAAGCTTGTCGGCAATACATGATATTACTGGGAGTGAAACACTGTTTTTCACAATGGGTCGACAGAAGAGATTTCTATTTTTACCCCTTTGAAAATGAGGTGCTTTAAGTGAGGCACATTGGACATTCTTCCCTCAGAGTCCTGGTGCTTTGCCCAGTTTTCCAACATTACTGGTTCTCTCCTTTGTACTTCTGGCCTTGTACCCAAGTCGATCTGCAACAAACAAGTACAAAAACACAGTTCAAGTCATGCCAATGAAATTGTATACATAGAATAAAGACAGGATTGAGACTCTCAGAGGAAAAACAGCAAAAATAAATTATCATTAGTGAAATATTTTTCCTTTTAGAGGAATGAACACTCTCTTTATATGCTTTGATATCTTTCCAGTGTCCTTCACAACTTTCTAACTTCTGTTGATGTGACACTAGTCAAACAGAATTAGGTCTGTGACTAACTGAGATCAAGACAATCGCATTTCACAGTCATTTAACACAAATCAGGCTGAATCTAAGACATATTTCAAAGTAAGTGATGACCTGCAAGACAGAAGCTAAGCTGAAGTACATCTACTCACTCTGGTGATGACCTCAAAGCCAGGCTCCTCCTGTTGGTTGATCTCCAGCCCAGGGATCAACTCTCCTAAAATGTCTGCCATTTCCTCAGGGGGACGCTGCTGGCACTCAGACTCAGAAGGCCGAAATGCATCAAAGAAGTAGTTTGTGACTTTGGAGAAACCACCCAAAGTGGTTGTGTAAGGATCCTTCTTGAACTTCTGCGGAGAAGAAACAGTTCTGCAGTTTTAAAGATTTAAAGATTTAAAAGTGAAAGGACAACACTGCATGAGCTAATGTTTATACTAAACACAATGACAACCACGAACAAGAGTTTGCATACACACAAATTATTTGTGGCTTTTCCCCAATAATTTCCTCATACCTGAACAAGGCCATAGTTTGTGTCATCTAGAAGATTCTCAAAGGACTGTGAAAAGGCTTTGCTATAGGCGCCAACAAGAAGAAGGTTTTCATCATCAGGACTCCTTCAAAAACCAAAAGGAAACGTTGTGTAAATTAAGATCTGTTACAGAATAACATCAATGAAAACAACAAAAACAACAACAACAATAACAAGCATTACTAAAAAAAACTGGATGGAACAGTTAAGCATGTGTCATCACAGGTTATATCCCACTCCTGCCTGACTGGCATGAAAAGCAAAAGCAACAAAGCTCAGCCCATATTTCATTATGAGAACTGAGATAAGAACTTTAATAACAGCTATCTGTTCCTCAGTAGCGCTGCCTTGAACATGCTCATGGCTGGATTTAATCTGCAGTGATATTTAACGCAGTGGAGAAGAGCTCATACGTTTCTCTCATGAAGCCTTAACTACAAATGGACAGCTGCTGTCCTACCTGACACCAGCCAGTGCCCTGCCCTTTCGCTTTCTGTCTGTGAGACACATGCCATTTAGGAAGCTCTCTGAGAGGAACTGAAATCCCCCAGCAAAACTCCTCACATTACCATACAAATTGTTTTGCATTTAGGTCTTTACTGTTTTAGAGAACTAAGCTTTGAGGGAAAATGATCACACATGATTCAAAAGGGGAAACTGTAAAAGACAAACACTTTTGGCTGCTTTTACTTAACTAAAAAATACCATGGTTGAAGTTTTGTGGTTGAGCTAAAAAAAATAAAAATAAAGTGATGCTGAACATGTAGCTTAATCATTGATGGATTTGGCATTTTCGTCACCTGGGCAATTAAGTACGCTAACTCGTGTAGCTTATTCAACACATCTAAAAGATCACAGCAGGTATCTCTAAGACTAGACTGCACTCTACTGGACAAATATTAGAGCTGCACTAACAATAGAATGCTAAAGCGAGAAAAATAAGAAAAGAACCTAGTTTCATATAGTGAGACATGAACTTTTGAGCATAAAACATGAGATCATATCAGCCTCAATAGAAAAAAAGACCTTAGCAACTAAATTCAGTCACACAAGCATGGACGATTGGCACTGCTCTAAGTCAAAGCTACTGTTATCATATACAATGATTCAACTTTTTTACCACAAAGAGTATCTAATGAACTTTAAAAAAAAACTTAATAAAAAAATAACTATTAACTTAATAAAAAAATAAGTTAATAGCTTAGAACTGCATTAGGCAGTCAGTGAACTGTATTTTTTTTAACTGAGGTCATCTTATAATTTATGTAGCTTTATGTATAAGCCACAATTCATTTTATATGACCACTGATTCCTTAGAATTTTACTGTTCCTTTAAAACTGATATATTTCAATGACCTCTGTTCTAAATAGCTTCCATGTGTGGTATGTTTTAAAACATTAATACTGAGTACATACAAGACCAAACTCCTTGATTTTTAAAAACAAGAAGAAAAATTCCATGATATGGTCCCTTTAAAATTCAGGTGAATTTAGTACCACACTCGTCGTTCACTGCTTTTGGCTCTATTCAGGCCGACACTTGCCCCCTGACTCTGTACTTACTCGCTGAGTTGCACTGATTTCCTCAAGCTATCCAGGAATGCTTCGCTGCCTCCCTGATGAAAGTGAATGGCTGGCAACGTTGTGTCATCTCTCAAGCAGAAAATCAGGTATGACCAGCCTTCACATTTGACTGTGACAGACCTGAGATCAGCTACACTAAAAGAGAAGGACCGCTTGTTCCGATCATGCAAGTGGTTTGAGCCACCTAAAGGAAATAACAAGAAGAACAGGATTTATAAAAAAGCTCAAATCTAAATTTACTTTGTTCAAGCAGAGTGGCAGCATGTCTGTCTTTCTGCCAACTTGTTTACTATGTAACCATTATATATGTCTACATTTTTTCCTGTGTGTGCACAGAGCAATACAGTAAAAGCCCTTCCAAGAATTAAAAAACTTGCAGACTTTATACACACATCAGGCCTTTAAACGTTTACATGTGTAATGTCTTACCTTCGCCATTAGTGTGGACTTTCCTCTTGAAAGATACAGTGTTCACCATGTCCCATTCAGTCTCATAGCTCTGCTGCTGGTCCACAGAACGATGGGGCCGCTGTGTCCACTCCACCACTGAGCTGGAGTCCTTCACATAGGAGGACAACAAAAAGGACATTAATGATATTCATCAATCAAAAATATAGCTGTTTTCAGTATGGAAGGTGTAAAGGGCAGAAAGAACTGGGAAAATATCTGTGAGTCTAAGAAGGACAAACAAACGAGTGCGTCTACAGATTAGAAGGTATCACTGTAAAAACAAACCTTGCAGGCACAGAGCATATTTGAGGGATCCACTGTATCCTCCAAAGGTTTATATTCCACAACAATGTCTCCATCCTATAGCAGAAAAAAAGCATTCTTTTTTTCATGTGAGGTGGTGGCCCGCTGCCTGGACTTTATTCTTGAAATACTGTGCATAGTAAATTTAAGGCATAGAATTTGGCTTCAGTGCGTATTGGCTAAGTCTACAAAATGGAAATAGCAATCACATATGATGATAGTTTTGTATGCTGCTCACAGTGCACAACATAATTCACTTCTCCTACTCATTAGAAATTGGGTTGTATTTACTGCACACTGTCAAGTGTTTGCACTTGGTCTGCTGTTGATCAGCACCTTATCAACAATCCGCAGGAACCCTGAAATTAGTGAATCCTGATCTTCCAGTTCTTCTGTGTTTGAGTGGATAAAAACTCCTTCGTGTTCAAATATCACCTGCAAAGAAAGAAACACAGCAAAACATTTGTGTCTTCTTTTTGCTCTATATATTCAAAGGCAGCCCCTCCCTTTTCCAGCATTCAGCTCTAACCTGGACAGACAAGTAACTCAGCAGTTACCTGTTTTAAGTCTGAGGAATGTGAAGCTTCATGCCTGTGAGAGGCACTTCTAGAGTAAACACATATTAGCCTTCTGGCTATGTACAATTGGTAGGTTTGTGTTTATGTTTATCTCCCCACAGTTGCTGATCCTCAGACCCTTCATTCCTACTTAAAATTATGCTTGTTTAACTAGGTACCATCTGGACAGGATCTTTGCAACTTGATCACACCTAAGTTCTCCTAAATCACTGGGGACATTTTTAAGAACCCGACAGTGATAAAGCCTTTTCCCAGGAGAAATGTCAATAGCAAAGAACAACTGGACCTGTATGCACTTACTAGTTAAATAACCTAGTCAAAGTTAAGCAACCTGTCACAGTAATACAACTACCAAGTGATTACGAAGACAAACGTCTTGCTCAAGCAAGAAGAAACTGAGATGTCATGCGAGGGCGCAAGGGTTTAATGTATTGTACAGCTAACGTTATTAACAAAACACAGATTTACTAGTTATATTTAACAAATTATTTACCATTCCCAATCTATCGCATTGCACGTTCCCTTTTAACTTGTTTGACAAGGAGGCGGGTGCTCTGAATTTGCGCTAAGTTAGCTCACTTAACTAAAGTGAGATCACTCAGCTGACAAGACAGGCTAGCTAACCAACTTGGCTAACGTTAGATCATGTAACCTTTTGAGTGAACCCGTATTTTTGGCACGAATCTGCATTGCTGTTGTTAGGTAACGTTACAAAATCCCGAGATCATTCAGTGCTTAAACCGGATAGTTCAACAGTTCACTACATGTCCGTTCAACCATATCTCTTGTATATATAGGTGTAAATGGCTGCATGTGATCGTTGTGCCTCCGTGGCATTCCTGGCAGAGGACAGCTGTTAGCATAACACAGCTAGCTCGCTAGCTGACTGAGTGCTTTACCGTATAGGCTGTTAGTGCTAACAGCTAATAGCCTTCTGCTAAAAACAGTAGCCAGTCACTGCCCTGTGTTGGCTTTCACTCTTTGCCAGTTGCACAAACATTTAGGCCCCGAACACATCTACATCCACCGACATGCGACAACATAGTCGAAGTGATTTTAGTTCACAGCGCTGGACAGCAGAGCCGCTTCGCTCGGTACCTTGGGAGGAGGAGTTGTGGCCGCCATGTCCACTGCGCCGTCCCGCTCCACTACAACACCGACAGCTCAGCTTCCGCAGGACGGACTCTGCGCAGGCGCACTACCGCACCAACAGCGGAGGTCGCTCTAAGAGTGAAGCGTGTTATTTTCGAAAGCTGCCTTTTGTAGTTAAATTATATTTCTATTGCAACGACCTTTAACATAAAAAGTATATTTGCAGTGCATAATTGTAAACATGTATTTAATGTCTTACAAACCTCAGGAAACATAATGCGTATGTAATCATCATTTTACATTGTATTTAATTTTATATTGACTTTTTCAGTTTTGATAGTAACCCACAATGTTACATCTGTATATGAAATGCCATTATAAAGTCTATATCACCCTTTAACCTAAGTTAAACTGCAACATTGTAACAAAAGCGTTATTATTATTTTATATATTTTTTATATTTTATACATTTCATACATTTGCTTATTTCAATAAAGCACAAGTCGGACGATGTGGCCTGATTGTCTGACCTGATTATGGTATAAAAGCGAAGGGATATGCTGGCTTTTATTTTGAAATTCCGAGAACTCGCACGGAAAGTAAACACAACAGCGAGCTCGAACTGGCGGGAAGCTTGAGGAAAAAGAGCAACACACCGTGGGTCTGATTATGTCTAACACACGTAAAGATTTATCCCGCTGACTTATTCGACGTTTATTAAGACGACAGTTAATTTCTGCCTTTCTGTCAAAGCCGCAGGAGAAAGAGCACCGTTCAGACATATTTGAGAGAAACTAGATTTTCTTTTAGTCGTCTTGTGGCTAGTTAGCCTAACGTTAGCTACTTGATTAGTTAATTTAGTTGGTCTCTCGACGCAGAATCCAAACCCGCGTTTTTTGCCATAAACAAATCATATCATGGTTCAAATAGTCATCTCAAGGTAGGTGTGTCAAATATGTTAATTATATTGGAGCAAAATTGTAACATTCTGCGGCGATAAGGAACATTATCTACGCTGCATAGACACTGTGTAGCTAAACTAGCTGTTTCCCTGCAGTAAAGCTGGGGAAGGTCCTGCTGAATGGTTGTTGGTGGAGTTGCAAGGAGAGATGGTGTCGAGACAAAATACTGGGCTGGCTGGAAATCTTATGGGAGACCTACACTACACGAAAGAGGTGGGTCTATTGATGTTACCCATCGTTGCAGTCTGTGCTGCAAATGTGGTTAAATGGAGAGTTTATTTTATTTATTTTTATTATGCTTAAAACCCAAGGTCAACACAATGGTATCTAATAGTCTGTCATCCAGGGAAGGGCGATATAGTAAAAATATAACAAGACTTGAACACATTTTCTTGATATACCATAGGTAACAAAATATTTCGTTTTTCTGAGGTTTACAGAGGAGTTAGGTCACATAAATGTCAGATAAACTTACTAGTGCTGAATTTTTTAAAATATAAAGTGTGGTAAAACTGAGTTTGTATTTTGTTATTTTAGGAAAAACAACAATTTAAACAATCGCTACATGTGTTTATGAGACAAGGAGTTGTTTAAATGGATGCACAAAGACACTGGAACCATATTGGTATTGGCAAATAGTTGCTAAAAAAGTACCACTAGTGTTAGATTTGACCAGCATATCAAGCTGAAGTTTGATAATGTCTTCACTGAAAGGTGGAAGAGCAGAAGATTTAGGTAATGCTGGGCTACTATGTTAAAATATCTGTATTTTATTAATTTTACTGCATTTGAAACTCTACAAATACATTTATTTCTTTAATGCTAATTCAGATAGTTGTAATTTCTACTAAATGTTTTTGCATTGGCAGACATGAAATACATGGAAAAACACTGGATATCGACATCATCCCACAGTTCCCCTATAATTGCATCACTAGTTATTTAGTGTTCTAGTAGTACTGGCAGTACAATCAAAAAAGTGCAATGTAACGTAATTTATCACAAAACATTGTCATATTGCCCACTTCTACTATCATATGTTTTTTGTTTAGTAAATTGATTGTTTATTCATATAGCCTTGAGTCACATTTCCGTCTTCTGTCCTAGGGTGTACCGGTGCTAATTGTGGGGCATCACATCCTCTATGGGAAGCAGGTCAAACTGGAGAAACCATTTGCTGTCCTGATGAAGCACTCTGGTCTCCCTCAGGATGATGAGGTAGCCATGGAAAGTAGCCAAGAGAAGCCTACCACCTACTCTGTTTCTGCCCTGATCAAAAAGAAGCTGATCTTTAAAACCCGTCCTAAACCCATCATTACTAATGTGCCCAAGAAAGTTTAGCTAATCTGCAGCGAGCTCGATATTTATTGTGAAAACATACCATTCTCAAAAGGTACGTTCTTACCATCTTGTCACATGAAAGCACAACGATCTCTCAAGTCTGTTAACTACTTCTCTTTTTTTCACTAACTGTTCTATAAGATGAAGTTGGATGTGGAATGGTGAAAAATCTTCTTGGGACATGAAACTAATGTGTGTTTTAGCCAAATATGGTAAACATGAAAACCATGTTTACTGGCGGCAGAAGATAAGTGCTTCTTGTTTGAATATATTTAATATTGTTTCATCACTGCAAACATGTGAATAATAGATGTGCAAGTTCATTATTTAGGACAAAAACATTTAATTAAAAAAAGTTTATTTTTTATAAAAAACAGTTTAAAGGTATAATAACGATCTGCAAAAATAAACACAGTTAATATTGCAATAATCATATAAAACTTTTTAAAAATTGTTCTTGTACATATTTAAGTATTTACACAATAAATTTATGAGGTCAAACAGTATGGCTACTGTTTCAGTTGTTCACACAAAGAAAGCATGTAATGTGATGTCACGACAGTCTGATAAATGTTGGTATAATGAAATACATTTAAAAGTGTCTCTTAGTTGCCTATTGCAGTTTTTGTAGAAATGTTGTGTATTGTGAAACAGGCAGTTGACTGACCATACTCAGTTTTGACCTAGGTAGAATTGTTCAGTGTATAGTTTCCCAAATTCCTCTTAACAAAAAAGCATCATAAAATGGGAGGGCGAGTACTACTTTTCACACTTACTATAACAGTTAAAATTATCGTAACACAACAATACTGTTAGAAAACTTGGCGCTGGACAGTATATCATGAAATAAAAACATCATACAGTGACAAGTATACTTTTTCCATAAAAACCATAAAAGTTGTACAGAGACAGTGTGTCAGTATTCTTGCACACATTCAAAATTTCTTAAATATTTTATATTAAAAATAAAGACATTACTTTCTGTTGATATTACTATTTGAGACAATTAGCAAAATAAAGATCATGTAGTCTTTGCACTGACTGGAGGGCCAAAGTGTGAGTCAGTGTCTTCCGGTTTAACCTATTCCAAATCATTAACCTTGGCAGAGGGGAAAAAAAAAAATCTAAAAGTTGTTCAATCAACATTAAATTCAACATCAGGTTGTAAACATGCTGCAAATGGCTATAATTTTCATAGCAAACCAAATTTACATATCCTGATCTATATGTTCCATACAAAATACTAAGAATAAAACCTCATTGTTGTCTAAACATATTTTTTTCCATAACACGTGTCAGTGTGGCTCAGTGAAAAGCACTACAATTTTTTATTCTTCCCACACTCCCTGTAAACATTCTCAATAATTCTCATGTTATGACCTAGGAGAAAACATGTTCGCCATATAGGGGTGGGCAATATGGCAACACGATACAATACTTCCAAGACCTTTTCATGATACGCATCACAATATTTCATTTTTTTTCTGAGGTTTTGTTAATTGGAACTTTCAGGGGTCAACATTGCCTATTGTGTGGTGTCACTGGCAATAACAGTTCACATCGTGGCCACTAAAAATGTAAAGCCTGTGGCTTATTACCTTTTTCTTTCTTTTTTCCCTTTTTGCAAACCACCAGATCAGTTGACTTTTCAAATATTCACAAATACTTACCAACTATAACAAACCACTGTTTTTTACTCCCCTGCACGAGATCCAGAGCCTGTTTGGTCAGACCTGGAACGTCAGAATTCACCAATTGTAAGAAGACATGTTCTTATTTATGTGATTTAAGCAACACTTGGCTGGTTTTGGGTAATGAAGTATGGTAATTGTAAATACAATACATACACAATAAATGTCTGTGTGATTCTGGCCCAAATTCTTAATTTTGGCACTAAGAGTCTTTAGCTTGGTGGCTCGAGTGGTCAGTGCAAATCTCTCTACCCCATCAAAGTTTAAAAAAAAATTATCAAAAACTCACAATACAATGACTTTTTTTTCCACATCACATATTGTGCTGCACCAAATTCAATTAAACAGCCCTATTTATGCTCTTTTAGTAATGAGGCATACAGTTGGTCTGTGATCTTTAAGTACTGACTTATGTCTACGATTTGCTCAGGAAAACCTATTGTGATGTAATATGACAGTTCATGATGTTCACGATAAATATCATATTGCCCACATCTGCGACCAGATAGTGCTTTTAACCCACTGTCAATTTTAACACAATAATTTATGAGCAGCACCCAATAAGACTTGTGCAGACAGTCATTTCATAGGCTCACAGTTCCTCTACAGAAACTAGTCTACAAACATCCAAGCACACTAGTCGCAGTGTTCTTGTTTTCAGACCCTGAAAGATTGCCAGAGCTTGTGCTGTCTCTCTGAGTGCGCCTGTGTATTTAGAGAGAGGGAGGTGTGGAGGCTGCTTTTGCCATGTATGCAGAGGTGCAATCAGTAAACCCACACATTTGGTACAGAGAAAGTTGTGTGAGCTGGGTTAGTTCAATAAATGAAAATCAACAAGCTTCTTATGTCTGCCTCTGCCCTGCCTACAGCCTACATAAATGCCAAAAGCAGCAAATGTTTCAAATTTTGGTTAATATACTTAAAATACTGCATTGTCACAGAAATGCATTTCTGCATTACTTGTCCTGCTAATTGAATTCGGTGTACAAGGAACAAATAAAAGAAACTAGTCTCAAATAACATTATTATTTTTCCAGGTGCCTGAAAGCTGCAGCATCTAAAGTATGAATAATTAGTCAATTACAGAGTGACATCCAATAAATAATCAGCTGACTCATACGTTTATTAAATGTTATCTAATATTTTGCTTATAATTTGAATTCTAGCTAATGTCATCTTTACCATTACTGTTAGAAAACAAACCTTGTAAACAGACTGTATTATGTGTCTTCTTTGCACGTTCAAGTTTCAGTTTGCACAGTCACCCTTGATGTCTTTCTTCACAGACTCTGTACTTAAATAATATGAGTGCATAATATGTTTATATGATGGTAAACCTAAGCTGTGTTCTTTGTCTCCAATTTCCTGCATCTAGAGTAACAGGGAACATGAAAATAGAACACTACTAGCTTTTCTAGAAAGGGAATTAAATATAGCCCATGGATTGTGTTTAATTATCTAGCTAAGCATGTATAATTCTCTTTGGTTGTTCCCAAAACAATCTGTAAATGTTAGATGAACAGAATGTTTTTGGGAAATACTTAATCAAAGATTAGAGAATGAAATAAAGCTGGCATAAACGTTTGGGATAGGACAAAACCTAAATGTTTAGTCCATTTTTAGTATATCACTCAATTTAATACTGTTCAGCAGCACTGAGAATAATGTCAGATTGTCTAACCAATTAAATAATGACAAAACAATATTTAACCTGATTTTGGCAGATAACACCAGTGCAGTGTCTAATTTAGGGTCCTCTTTCAGGGAGAGAGTCTTTTGTTTGACCATCCTTAGTGTATGATTTACATGCATAATGTCCAAGCACCCTACCACTTCACTGATTTGATATGCTAGTGTAAGCTCTGACTTTACATAAACTGTACTCAGGATATTACTTGGACATTTCCTCTGATGTGTGCTTCAAATTTGAGAAGCACAGTTCTGCTCTGATGGTAAATTACCTTCTTCTGGGCCTTCAATAAATGACTGCTGGTGCAGAATACCTTCAACAGTCTTGCAGTACACGAGTGGACCTACGTGTCACAAATAACATGTAGCACCAGTGAAGGAGAGGGCAGTTTCAAATCAATCCCAAATAATTTATCTGGCAGCACCATTGAAGTAATGTTGGAGAAGAACATGCTAGGCCTCAGCATAGGGCAGATGATACTGTTCCTCCCTCTTATTACAGCGCTTTGCCACTATGGCCAAGTAGAGCACCAGAAGTATGAGCCAGTAGCAGGCATAGAGGATGGTCCCAGCAATGAGCAGGACCTTTTCAGTCTCACTGAAGGGCTCTTGTGTCTCACAGTAAATGGTGTAAGCCACTCCCCCAAGCAGGATAAGTGCCCATACAGTCACAGGCACAGCCCCAATTAAGTTTACCACAATTTTTTTCCTCCCAGATGTGCCCCAACCTGCTTTATTAATTGTCAACAGGGCAAAGATCTTGGCTGGCAGGAGGCTGGACATGTAGAGCAGAGAATAGAGGGACATGAAGATCATGACCAGGCTGCCCCTCAGGAAGCAGGCATAGGTAGCCTTTACCATTCCCACCAGCTGCACCGTTAGCAGGAATAACAGAATGTTCCACAGCCGGCCTCGGTAGAACAAGTGGATCACTGTAGCCACCAGGAAGAAAGGGAAAAAGCCTGTGACCACAGACTCATAGGTCATCCAAAGGCTGTGCTTGTGGAACCAAAGAGCATTGTAGAGCCACTCTCGGAAGTAAGACTTGCTCCACCGAGTCTGCTGGTTAAGCCAGCGGAGATACTGAGTAGGAGTCTCAGTCTGGCACAGTGAGCGTGCAGTAAACTTTGTCTTGTAGCCAAAACTGAGCACCCGGTTGGTAAGGTGGCGGTCGTCACCAAAGCTGCACTTGCTGCCCAGGAAGGTCTGGTGGTACCATGGCTCCAGGAACTGCTGGAGGAGGGAGTTGCGGTACATGCCCAGGGGTCCGCTGATGCACTGAACACAGCCAAAGTAGGACTGACAGGCACGCTCCACGTTGAAAGCCATCCAGTACCGTACACTGCTCAGGAAAGATATCCAGGAGTCATACTTGTTCAGGATCTGAAACAGTTGAGGGACAGTTTATTTTGAGAATGGCCCTGTACTTAGGAATATGGAACCCCCGACTAAGAGAATAAGTTCTTGCTGAGTGAAGATCCCTTATGAATTTCTAAATAGTGCTTCCTACTATGCCTTAAAAATAAATTTAATACATTTTTACCTGTACATCTCCTCCCACTCCACCCACCTCTGGGTCCTCCTCCAGAACCTTCAGCATCTCAATGGTGCATGCTGGATCCAGAACTGTGTCTGAATCACATACCTACAAACATACAAAAAGGGAGCTCAGACCCTACAGCAGCCCAACAGGAAAATACACATCACTCGACATTTTGGAGATGCTGCATCCCAGATTTATCAAAGGCAGGAATTTTTAAGTGTAGATTCACTTGAGTTTGCTTCTCTGCACAATGATCAACTAAGGTATTCCTGAAAAGTTCATCTGCAGTTACTTCCGTTTTACTACACAGATGATTTGAAGAGGCATAGCCTTTGAACGAGGGGTGAACAGTTTGCTGTCTTTCCTGCACAAGCACACCTGATTCAATTTATTTGTTAACTGAGAGATTTAGTGTTTGAGTAGAGAAACTACTGAGCTGTGCTAGACACCGACTCTCCAGGACCAGAGTTGTGTACCCCTGCTTAAACTGAGAATGCTTGGTAGCAGATCTTTGAAAGTTCCCTTTGTTTTCTTCAGCTGTTGATCACTGGCTGTGCAGGAGCAATGAGAGGTTGCTGACAGCACACAGGTGTGCTCAGGGTGCAAGGCAGTGGAGTGACCTATGACCTCCATATAATAGTAAATCTGAACTCAGGACATAAATTGGAAGTGAGAAAGCTATTCTACACAGCAAATAAAACACATTAAAATATGTTTTTGCAGTATGTTTCTGAAAAATATCCAAAAGGGAGACACTATTGACTGTGGTTAACCTCAAAGTGGGGCAGATATTGACAAGAATTTTTAAGCCTGCGCACACAGAGAAGTGTTGTCCTAGAGAAAATTCTTAGTGATGGGATTAAGGTAGTGTCAGTGCCTAGTCTGTGGTGTTATGTTTCAACTCTGTTTTTTTTTTTTTTCTAATGCAAGCCATTACTATTCCAGGTAGTCTGGTCCAGGACCACTAAAACGATCTTAAAGACTTATAAAGAATCCTTTTATCTTGTCTTATTTTAAAGAAGCCTTCTGTTCTCTGGAACACAAACTCAAATTTAGACTTACCTGCATATAATCCACTGAGTTCCCCAGTGCTTTGAAAGCTGTATACATCACCTCCCTCTTCCCACCCCACTCTTGCATTATGCAGGAGTACTGGCAGCTGCGCACCATCCTGGCCACCCGTGCAGCCTCTTCCGCATTCACTGAGCCCGTCCCCACACCCCTGGCCCCGTCGCTGTGGTAGTTGCCCTTCCACACCATGCAGCCAGCATGCTCTGCTCCCCCCATCACCTCCCGGAAGATGTCCATCATGTAAGCGTCCTCTGGCCGGTTCCCATCCACCACCAGCACGACCTTGAGTCCAGGGAAGGAGAGGCGACGCACGCTGCGCAGACACTTGCGCAGGTAGTCTGGGTCCTCTTGGTAGGCAGCGATACAGAGGGCCACAGTGCGACGCAGGTGACATGGCCGCGAGGGCCCTCGCATGCGCCGGTGCTCTAGGAAGGCGAAGAGGCTTTGCAGCAGCAGATGCAGTGACAGGATGGCACCGTACAGGCCGAAGGAGAGGTGGTGCTGCTCAGTGTGGATGAATTGGTAGCCGGTCACATATGCAAGCAGGATGGCAAAGAGCACCACGGCTGCAAATAGAGTGGTGATGAAGATCCGCACCGCTGTGCCACAGCGAGAGGGCATCTGTGAAGTGGTAACAATGAAAAAAGACAGAAAGAGACAGACAAAGTGAGTGAAATAGAAGGAGATGAGAAATTAAAGGGGAGGAGGTTCAGGAGTTGTGGAATTAATTTGCTTCGGTTTTAACCCATAGACTTTGTACATTGCACTGCCCCAAAAGTGGATGCTCATTTCTCTGGCACAGATCCTTTCCATTTTTTTATATAGATGTGGTGACCATGTCCTTGCTTGGATTTATATTATAAAAAAAATGCAGAACATATATTGAAAAAGCCACATCATCTATGGAGAGAAGGAGAGAGAGAACAAATTGAAAAAGAAATGAAAATAGAAGAAGGGGAGTCAGGAATTCATTTGCTTCAGGTTTGACTGATAGCAGTTCAGTGCTCAAGTTTCATGGAGATGTTTTCTGGGACTGAGTGTCTATATTGAATGAGGATAGAGAAGATGTTAATAGAGCCTTTGTAAGTCCTTGGATGTACTAGATTTCAGTGGGAGAGGGCTCAGTGATGACTGAGGCATTTCCTATTCCTGCTTTTACTACACTAGCATCTCCATAATCTCATTTGTTTTCCATGCCCTGTCTGTTACAGACAGAATAGTTCTTGTACATCAGATTTCTGAATACAGAATGAATGACTGTGATATAATAGATCAAACTGATCTCTTTCTCTCCCTTGCTCAGGTTAATGACTTTTAATTAAAGGCTGGGAAGGGCTTGGCCACCACTCTGTGGCATCCTGAGCTGAGAACAATCTCCCCATTTATTTCTCCCTGCGCCCCCTGACCACTGGAAGAAAGAGCTTCTTCACTCACTGCCCTCATATCATAACAGCCAGTGCCATTGATCAGTCAGAAATTAAACCCACTGCTCATAAAGTGGACGTTACTTTTACAACTTATCCCCAGGTTCTCTCAGAGATATTTACACAGTTGTTCTACCACAACCATCTTTGGACTATATCATATAAACTCAAATGCAGATAATCTTTTTCTTTTTGATGAATGGATGGAAAATGCACATTAGTGTACTCAGTTGTCACAAGTGCTGGGACAGTGCACTATAATTGGAATTCGTAATATCAAGACATCAGAATTCTTGATTTATCTGCCTCTTTTCCCATTTTTACAGTACTGAAAAGATGAGCAATGATGGATTCAAAGAAGCTCAGAGTCTCAGAGTGACAAACAGCAGGCACTCACTCAGGAGTGTGTTTGACCCTAATTAGAGGGCCTGCTCCCCTAGGGGCTTTTTAGTTTCGGGGACTGTGAAAGAAGAAAGAGCTCATGTCAAACTCAAGATCACCCCAGATGTCATTCTGTCACCAAAGGCCGTGCACACAGACAACCTGAGTGATGACATGTAAAGAGTACCCTACACAAACTGATACAAGTAGAGAAATGAGAGTTAACTCTTTGTTTAAGGTCCATCCTATATGTCTGAAAAACAGCATTTCCATTTTACCCATTGTTTCCCCCTTTATGACCTCCATCAAGCAAGGTGCCTGGCAGTTCCCAGCAGTCCACACAGAAACTAAATAATCTCAAAGAGATCATTAATTACTCACATTGGCCATGATGGGCTATCAGACCATTCACTTTCAGGAGATAGTTGTGCCCTAGCTTTCTAAAAGCTGCTGGTGGTCTGAGAAGAGACAGCCCTGTGCTGTCTGCAGTGTATGGGTCCTTTGGAGGCTCCAGAAATAATGCAGATAGATGTCAGGGATCCTCAATAAGATCCTGGTCGAGGAGCAGGGAAAATGTTCTCAGATCAAATGATGAAAGTCAGGTAGCTTGTATCCAGTAAAAGTCAAGTCTGAGCAGAGGGAGAAAAGTTCCAGGTGCAACACCTTCTTCTGGACCCTGCACTGACTGCCTCACAGGTGAAGGCAGAATCAATGAGAATTTTTGTTGGTGGGACGAGACACCTCACCCAGGAGAAAGAGGGAGGGCTGAGCACAAGAAGATGAGGAAAAGGAGGGGGCAGCTGAGAGGAGGAAGAAAGAACAGTTGAGATAGTTTAGAGAATAGTGTGTTGGGTGGTCAGCATGATTTGGTATTCAGCAGCTCCCTTTGTAGATTCCAGAGTATGCTGATGCTTTCTGTCAGCAACCTGTCCAGAAATAATTATGAGCCCTTGAGGTAGTCACTGAGTTACTAGTGTGAGACTTCCACTAGGGAATTTACAGCTTCACTCTATCTCATGAAGTTAGAATAACTGAATATATATCCTCAACTCAGGAATAATGAGACATGACAACTCAGGAAAGAAGAAAATAGCATTAAATTAATCAAAATAATATAGACAGTGACAGTGATTAAAGAATGCCAACTCCTGCTGATGAAAAGGCTCTCGGTAATGTCTTCATCCAGACCAGACGGATTGAGAATGCAACTTTTTTCGCCACTAGGAGGCACTCGCAGAAACATCTAATTACAGCACAATAAAAATTGTCACCCTCCATGGAACCATTTGAATTGGTTCACTTAACAAATCAGTATGTACATAGTCTGGGGACACCTTGCTTTTTTGTTTTTAAGAATGTTTTATTTTCACTGTTTTTATCAGTTAAGAAAGATACTTGCAAAAGCTTAATAAACATAAAACAGCTATTATTTCTGCTATTTTTATTGAGAGTTTTATTGGGAGTTTATTAAATTTTAGATATCAAAAATTGTATGTATTTTCCTCAAACTAAACCTGTTATTTCAAACCAGTTCATTTATTAAAAACAAATTGAACAGCTGTGTATCCCAAGAACTTTTGATGAACACATTATAGGTATAAAGACTATGCCAATATGATGCAAATAGTAAGTTACCAATGGAAACAAGTGCATCCAACCCAGTGGCTAATCCAAAGATTCCATGTAACAATACATTCGTTGAAACATCCACAACTATGACAAGATCAAAGCTGCCCATAGTCCTTTGAAAAGCCAAGCCCCCACTGGGCTAGATTGCTAATGAACTGATATGTCTCTGGCCTGCCTAGGTGTTATAATCTAATCTAGTGACTTGTAAATCCCAGGAGGGTCTTTTCTTAGGGCCACCAGACCCCTGTGTGAAGTCAGTGTCTGATGACATGGAAACTACTGTGGGCGGCATTTTCCTTGGAGAGGTCCTACATCTTCAAACAGAATTCATAGAAGTTCCTGTCTACTCCTGCCGTTAGCCAGCCAGCCTGGAGGCACAGACAAGAGTGCCAGGAAACGTTCCACAGAAACTGTTAATGTAGTTACTCTGGAGACTCACACCCTAACAAGTACACAAATACATAAATTAATTCTTAGACACTCTTTAAAACACAAAACTAGCCATTCTAAAAGAGCAATTGCAGCGTCCCAGGTTTTTTTCCTGTTAACTCTCTGTAAACAAATGATTACAGTGGCCTATTTGTGTGAGCTTGAGACTCAGACCTCTCAAAATCCATCCTGACTCCCTTTTGCCACTTTAAGTATTTCACATATTGACTTAAATAAATGCTGGCAAACTTTTTTAAAGGCAACTCATTAAAAATAAATATATTGTCACATCCTGTCTATGAAAATCCAGACACAATACATGATCAGTCTAGCAGAAGATTTCCATACCTTCTCAGCCCTGTGGCGGTGACGGTGGGCTCCCTCTGCCCTGGCGGAGTCAGCCTTGCAGGGTGTGTGCGTGTTGTCCGGATCCACTCCTCTCTGCTGCAGGACTACAGCGAGATCCTTGTTCTGCCTCTTGCTCACACTACATCTTTATTCCACCAGTCCTTAATTCACGAGATCCCTCATCCAAAAATATAGCACCCTCGCCCTCCTCCTCCTCTCTTCTTCCCTGGTTCCTCCTCCTCCTTCTCCTCTCTTTTCCTTCTTTCCTCCTGTCTCACAGCACAGTCCTCAAGCATGAAGGCCTCTCAGTTCAGCAACAAGCCTTTCAGAAGACAGTATCATGGAGAAGTCTGTTTTTGCCTCCTCTTGTCCTTGAGAAATAAAATAAGATTGTAAGTTTGTAGCTTCCAAATACTTGAATCTCATCACTTGTGAGTGGTATTTAAAGTTAACTGCTCTTTAATAGACTTACCTAGTCTGGGGCCCTGCATGCCTGTGGATAGAACGTCCTGCCTAGAGCGGGCGCAGGTGCTCAGGGCGCTCTCTCGCCCTTTCTTTCTTTCTTTTATCTTCTCCCTCCATGCCTTAGCGGGAGCTGTGCTGCAGTGGCAGCTGCTCTCTGCTCTGCACCTCTCTGCAGCACAGCCCAAATCCCAGTAAACTCCTTTCTGCTGTCACACCGTCCTGCCTTTCTCTCTCTCTCCCTCTCCTCCTGTCCCTCACTTCTTTACGCTCTCTCTCCTCCGCTGCTCCGTTCTGCAGTGCAGCCGGCTACCACAAGACTCAGGACTGTTTGAACGGACCCCCCCCTCTCCCCTCAGCTACACACACACCATCTCAATGCATCCTTTATGGGCTTATTTATTTATCCATTCCTCCTCCCTGCACCCCTGCTGCTGACAGCCTGCAGGTCCAACACAGGCTGATGAGGAGGTGGGGAAATAGTCAGGGAGAGAAAGAATATTAGAGTATTAAAAAGGAAAGAAAAAAGGGAGGATGTGAGAGAGACCGGTGCATGGTCTGCTATGACATACCATTCAGTACCTAAAACATTCCTATTTGGGTGCTAACCTCCTTCCATAGCCCAACAAAAACTTACTGTGTTATTGAATTGATCCCTCAAAAAATCATCACTCTCTCCTTCTCTCTGCCTGTGCAGCATGGCTAGCAGGTAATTAGTGTAATAGCTCTTTCATGGCTGGGCAGCAGTGGAAAGTAGAGAAGGGTCTCTGGGGGGGATGGGGGAGAGTCCTGCCTGGCTTCTGAAGTTTAATAGCATCACAGCAGCCCCCTTGCTGGGGGAATGTCCTTGGCTCTGAACCACTGCAGGGACAATTCACAGTGTCTATTCCTGCACACAGCAATATTAATATGAAAAGTATAGCCTGTCTCTGTTGATTTCCATGATGCACAGTATATTAGCATGACAGTATCAGAGACAAATATTGTAAGAGATTTAGGGATGCAAATCTCTGACCTCACAATGATTCAAATACAATTCTTTAGAAAATGTTTCAACGCATCAGAAAATCTCAAGAACCACCACAATGTCAAAATGAGCCAATGCTCACCAACCACTTCAGTAGGAACAGCATTCTAATAGTGTTGGACCCCCCTTCAGACCGCTCTCACAACAGCCTGAATTTCTCATGGCATGGATTCAGCAAGGTGCTGGACACATTCCTCAGAGATTCTGGTCTATTTTCACATGATTGCATCACATAACTGCTGCAGATTTGTCAGTTGCACATTCATATTGCAGATCTTGTGTTCTACCACATCCTAAATGTGCTCTATTGGATTCAAATCTGGTTACTGGGGAGGATACTTAAGTACCTAACTGAAGCAACTCGTCATGTTCTTGAATCCAGTTTGAGGCGACTTTACTTTGTGGTAAGATGCAATATCATGCTGGAGGTGGCTGTTAAAAGATGGGTAAATTGTGGCCATAAGGAGATGCAGATGGTCAGCGACAAGATGATACTTCAAATGATAATTGATTGACCGTAGTATTTGCATGTTGTAGCAGAATTTGAGATTCATCAGACCAGGTGATGTTTTTCCAATACGTAACTGTCCAGTGTCTGAGAACACGTGCCCAGTCTAGCCACAGACTGATCTTCCTGGCTGACAGCTGTGGAACCTGGTATGGTCTTCTGCTGTTGTAGCCCATCCACCTCAAGATTTGACATATTGTGTCAAGATGCCTTTGTGATCACCAGTGTTGTAATGAGTGGTTATTCTTGTTACTGTGGCCTTCCTATCAGCTCAAACAAGGCCATTCTCTTCTGACCTCTCTCATCAACAAGCCATTCCTGCCTACAGAAATTAATGCTCATTGGATGATTTTTATTTTTCACATTTAAGTTTACACATTTGAGTTTAAAGACTGTCATGTGTGAAAATCCCAGATCAGCAGTTTCTGACATACTTGTTGGCACCAACAATCATGCCGCAGTCAAAGTCAGCTAGATCAGTTAGATCAGTTGTCATGTATGAATTGAACATTAAATGAAGCTCTTGACCTGTGTCTGCATGACACAATCTATGTACTGCACTGCTGCCACATGATTGGCGGATTGGATAACTGCATAACTGAGCAGGCATACAGATTTTCTTATTAAAATGGACGGTCAGTGTATATGTTAAACTACAGAAAGCCAACATCTGAAAGAGAGCTGTACATTTTACGTCTACACTAGCTCCTATGCTTGTGTGTGAGACAGCGAGTTATTTCCAACTTTCAAACTCCCAGAAATTACAAGGCTTACATAAATGCATGACAAAACACCTGTACTTGTGGCCTAGATGTGAATAGCTCTTTTTCTAACATGTACTTGATCTCACAGTGGAGTAATCTGAAATGAGAAAACATTTATGTTTTGTATGTATTAGTGTGTGCCAAGATATGTACAGATCTGTGCAAAAGTCAGAGACCACCCTTCATTTATTTAATTTCCAACACAGTAAATAAGCATAAGTTATTTATTTTCCAGTAACATTTTTTAAACTGCAGTTTTGGAAACTCCTGTTTTATCCAGTTCCTTCATCTTTCCCCTTCCTTATGCAAGTGGATTATTTTATATCTAATCTCCTCAGAAAGATCTCCTGAAAAATGAATAACTTGTACTTAACAGCCATTTTGACTGCAAATTAAATCAATTAAGGGTGGTCTCTGACTTCTGCACAGTACTGTATATGGAAAAACAAGACCAGGAAAAAAATGTGTGGAAAAACTAATATTTATTTTAGTATAACTCTCACACATCTCAAATGCAACATTTATGAGATTGCATAAATTCTGTCTTCATAGATAAATCCTTCATTAGCTCACAAAACCAAAAAAAGGACATGTGGAGTGCAGCCATGGAAAATTTCAGGGGCATACAGACCCCACGACTCCTTTACAAGGAGTGACAAATTGCCCTGCCTTGTCTTACAATGCTTCCAGCGATGTCACAACCCTGCTTTTTCTATATGTAGTACAAACAGTGAGGGGAAAAACGGCAAACAGGCACTATTTTACTGGTGCTGAGGAGAATGCTGACTTGCGGTGTGTGCAAAGGGAAACAAATCTTACATTTGCCGCACTCTGCTTTGCTCAGGCTGCCCTGTGACCCCTATATGTTAATTGACAAAAGGCTGACTGCAGGTTTCTCAAGTTGTAGCATGGTCTTCTGTGTGACAAACTGACTGTGTGGGCAATACCTTTATTATTTTTTTTATAGATTTATTTAAAGAACAATTTGGAGAAGGAGATCCAAGCAGTAGCCAAAATTAAAGGTTGTCCAGTAGCGATATTCCCACACTTTCCTCTAACTGGACAGTCCTAAGAAATCTTCCTTTGTGAAACACTTCTCATGAAGATTTCTTACAAGAAATAATTCTCTACATGAAGTTAATAACTAAAGAGAGAGCTCATGTCTGTGAGAAGTGTTATGCAATAGTGATAGGCTAAACAGGTGTCCAGCTTTAAGGCAGAACCACTATCTTCTTTTCCAGTTTCTGCTGAGGGAAGATGAACGTTCTCATAACATCATCTAGCTCTTCCAGGGCCAGCTGAGCATGGAGTACAGCCACCTCATCAGAGTCTGAGCGCACCACCCACTTTAGAGCCCGATAGAGCTCCAAGAGAACATCTCCCAGGACCTGCAGGGAGAGGGAAAATTAACAACAGGCATTCACATGCTCCCTGAGGCAGGTGTTCTACTGATTCTGCCCCACAGCTGGAAGAAAGAGAAAAGACAAAGAGAGAATATAGAGCCACTTTGAGCATTCAGCTGTTTCTGCTGCTCTAAACTAAAGGCCATCAGCACTCTCACCCCGCCTTCTTTACCTACCTTTGCCGTATTATTACTGCTTGCAACAGCTGCACCAAGTCACAAAGCCACCACTACAATTACTCACAGCAGAAGGACCACCATCATTGTTCCGATATTGATCAGACAATGCCTACAAAGCAGTGCCTTTCTCAAACTAGCTCTTGGCACTGTTTACAATGTAAATATGTCAGTGGATCCAAAAAGTCAAGTATGGCTTAACATTCTCTTATATATACAGAATACACAGAACTGCCACAGCAAGGGTCCAGGCAGTAACTAAAGGGATGAGGGGTGTCGTAAAGCAGAAGGTCAGAAGGGGGAAAGGTCTTATCATAAGTGGTTTGTGCTGACCGGCAAAGAGACAGGGCTTTGGAAGGGTCAGAGGGTCAGTGTGGTTCTGTATGAAGAGCAAGTGTTTCAGGTGCAAACCGGTATCCTAAGGAAACCGCAGAACTGCAACTGTCATGAATCGAATTTTGGCGGAAACTCTATGGCCCTTTAGAAACTCACTCTGTACAACACATTTACTTTATTAAAGAGATTTTGCTACTTTGCAGTTCTGTCAAAAACTGTAATAGAGAAGCCTTCTGGAACAGTAAAGCTCTATGGAAATTTAATAAAACTGGGTTCTTGAGGTTCCATATCTTGGACTGTATGACTCAAGAAGAGCTAACTCTCATTATACAAGGCTAGCAGGAGCAGTGAACAGTTTGCTGGTAGATGGTGTGCTGCATTTGAAGGAATCTAAATGCCAAGGCTTTGATCTTTTCGCTTTGAAGTGCTTTATTTTGACTGTGGGAGTATGCTTAACTACTATCTCATGATGAGAGGTCTGAATGAATCTAAGACACCAGTGACATCAAAGCTAAAAGACAGCAAACCCTCCTCTAAACATTGCTACAAATTACAGCCCTGTTTCCAAAAAACTCTACAAAATATAAATAATAACAGAGTGCAGTGATGTGCAAACCAGTTAAACCCTATAATTAATTGAAAATAGTACAAAGACAATATATCTAATTTTTTTGGGGGTTTTTTTGCTGATTTTGAATTTGATGTCAGCAACACGTTTCAAAAAAGCTGGGACAGGGCAAGACTAGCAAAGTTATGTAATGCTAAAAAAAGGAGGAACATCTCACAACTAATTAGTTTGATTGGCAACAGGTCAGTAACATGACTCTGTATAAAAAGAGCGTCTTTCAGAAGTAAAGGAGGGGTTCACCACTCTGTGAAAGACAAGCAAGCAAATAGTGCAACAATTCAAGAATAACGTCTTTCAGTGTAAAATAGCAAAGAACTTGGGGATTTCATTATCTACGGTACATAGTATCAATAAACGATTCAGAGAATTTGAAGAATTCTCTATATGCAAGGGACAAGGCATGTACTGGAATGTAGTGGAAATCACTGCATGGGCTCAGGAACACTTATGAAAACCATTATCTGTGAACAGTTTGCTGCATCCACAAATGTAAGTTAAAACTCTCCCATATAAGAAACTATAAATAAACAGGATCCAGAAAAGCTACCACCTTCCCTGGGCCCAAGCTCATTTAAGAAGGATTGAGGCTAAGAGGAAAAATGTCCTGTGGTCCAATGAATCAAAATTTGAAGTTCTTTTTGGACGTTGTGTCCTCTGGGTTAAAGAGGAGAGGGACCATCCAGCTTATTATCAGCGCACAGTTCAACAGCCAGCATCATTGATGGTATGGGGTGCACTAGTGCACATGACATGGGTGACTTGCAAATCTGTGCAGGTCGCATTAATGCTGAAGGATATATGCAGATTTTGGAGCAACATATGCTGCCATCCAGATGACGTCTTTTACAGGGAAGGCCTTGCTTATTTCAGCAAGAAAAAGAAACAACACATTCTGCACATGTCACAACAGCAGGGCTCTGTAATAAATTAGTACAGGTGCTAAAATGGCCTGCCTGCAGTTCAGATCTGTCACCCATTGAAAACATTTGGCATATTATGAAATGAAAAATACAACAAAGGAGACCCCGAACTGTTGAGCAGCATCCTGTATCAAGATAGAATGGAAAAACATTTCATTCTCATAACTACAGCAATTAGTCCATCAGTTCCCACATGCTTACAGTGTGTTGCTAAAAGAAGAGGTGATGGAACAAAGTGAACAGTAAACATGCCCCTGTCACAACTTTTTTTAAATGTGTTGCTGGCATCAAATTCAAAATGAACATATATTTTTCAAAAAAATAAAAATTGATATGTTGTCTTTATTTTCAATTAAATATTGGGTTTAAATGATTTGTACATTATTGCTGTTTTTAATTACATTTTGCACAGTGTCCCAACTTTTTGGAAAATGGGGTTGTACATGCCACGTTCAACAACAGCAACAACAGATACGCTGAAAGCTCAATGGGAGTACTTCTGATTCCAGAGGTAATACCCAACTGGCGATTTTTAGGTAATTTTTGGTACATCTGGATTCACTTTCCCCAGACACAGAATAAGCCTCAGGCATAATAATAATAATAATAAGAAGAAGAAGAAGAAGAAGAAGAAATTAACTCATATATCACAATAATCTAAACATTTTGGAATTTTAAATAAATATATTGTAATATGGCCAATTTACAGATCTCTGCTTATACTTCGACAATTTGGTCTTTGACACTTGGTTTTGCACTGCCCCTCTCAATTTAAACAGCCTTTTTGGTCATTAGTTTTTTTTGCCATTCAGTCATTTGATCATTCCCAGATAACATAAATACACGTAGTAGAAGTGAATCTATTGTCAAAGTCTATACTAGTGTTCTCCAGGTTTTCTAAAAAGTGTGGAGAGATCTGTATATTGTAGAAGTTGGTCTAAAACATCTCATAATGTAATAAGGATTTTGAAAATAATATTACACCATACCTTTTATAGGTAGCACATACGTTATATATAATAGAATTACTTGAATGTAATAGAGTAAGTCTAGTGTGTCAGACAGGAATGCCAGGTAAATACCCACAAGCAAACCACTTCAATCACTTTCACAGTAATGACTCCATGACTGCCAGTGCTGGTTTAAGCCATGTCTCAGGATCTCTGGATAACTGTTTTCTTAAGCTCCACAACAGGCTATTACAGGCCAGTACAGACCCTCCTTCCAAATTTGTCCCATTTATATTGTTTGAATTTTTTTGCCCCTTACTGGAAGTATACTTTTCCTTAACAGTAGTCGTAAAATGGTTTGAGCTTAGTTAGTTTTAGATTATGTATTAATCTATTGTGTGCTGTAATGAAAAACAAAATGATTCAGCCATTGCAATACTAATAGAACAGAAAGCTACAATGAGCAAATTATTATTGTGTGCTTTGAGCATCCTGAACAGTCTCAGATCTATGAGTTTATGGGAGTTTTTAATCAAACCATTCACATCAACAGATAAATTAAACAGCAAATATATTTGGACTAAATATTGCAGGCCCATCTTGCAGTATCTTAAAAACACACTTGTAAACCCAAGACATCAGGGGTTCCCCAGTGTGTTTTAATATACTGCAAGACATACTTAAATTGCAATATGATATTTGCAGCCTATTGTGATTTGCTGTAGTCCAGGAGTGATGTTGTAGTGGGTGTGGCACTATTTTGGCTTAAAGAGTGAACCAGGCCATGGGAACCACAGTAAACATAAATGAGGATGACTGGAGAAAATACATGTTGCTTGACTGAGGGCTAGACTAAATAAGAGAGTAGTAAATGATAGCCCCTGCAACAGGCCTGCTTCATCTGCACAGTTCCAGCTGCCTGCAGAATTCCTCCATCTCTACAAACCATATGTGCTGGTCACAGGGGTCAAAGAAACCAGTACACCAAGCCACAACACTTACATATTTATTTAAACACGTTTAATGAATGATCACATTCATTCTCATATACACAGTTACACCTACCTGAGTGGTTTTATCGCTGAGGCCCCTCAGTAAAAGAGCAATGACGTGAACTGCTGCTCTCCGCACCTCTGCCTCTTTCTCAGTTTTTATCAGGGCTGTGAGACATGAGCTCAACTGCAGGAGAAATACAAAGAGAGGTCAGAGATCAGACATGGTTCTGTGGATTCGTACAGACTGCAGTGGTCCGCAGTGCTGCGGCCCATAGTGATGCATGTTGGGTCAATTCATGATCGAACATTCCAACACACAAGCAAAAACACATACACACACACAGTGAGTGAGAGCAGCCTGTTGCAGGGCTGTTCTCATGAATAAGCAGGTCTGTTAGTCACAGTGACAGAGCTGCTTATTCATGAACAGCTCTGAGCTGCCCCACCCGTCCAACTATACCTCAGCTACGTTTACTTAGAGACCCAGCACACATACACATTAAATGAACAAATATGTAGAAATTCACATCCAATACATCTAAATGTAAACCTACAAATATACACATACAGCACATATCCATACCTTACTACGCTCACATTTCACTAGCTCAGCTATTGATCGAATCAGATCTGGGACAAAAATAGATCTCAGCACTGAGGGATGGGGGAAGGGGCTCAGCAGATGTGAATTATTGCTGGTGGTCTCGGTTTTATCATAAAAATGAGTTTCTCTTCAGGAGGCACCCCCTACCCTTCAAAGTCAAATGACGAAGTAAGGTATGCTGAAACGTCTGATGTGACATTAACTGGGACATCAGTGCTATTTTCATCATGATGAGACAACAAGTGAACAGTCCATTAGAAGAAAGTAATATGAAAAAATAACACTATACAAATAGCAAATTAATGTTAATGGTAATTTTAGAAATAAACAGTTAACCCACATTATTTTCTTCTACACATGTTCAAAGGCACCCATAAAAGAGGCCAAAAACCAGGGATGCATTATGCCATTATAACACAATAGCCAGACATTTTGGCACAGGAATCTAGCATCGCTTAAACATTCTGCTCATCCATTTGAGGAAAAAAAAAGCAGTTTGAAATCTTGTTTAAATCTAAACATCTGCTCAATGCAGATCATTTTTTAAAGCAACTATCTTCCGATACAGATATGATTCCGATATCATTGTGAATTCCTACAGAAACAGTATGTCAGCCGATTCCTAGCTAACAAATATTTGACTGCCTTCATGTTTTAGTTTATGTCCAACATGAACAGTGAGCAAGTTTCCTCTCTGAGAAAACTACTGCCTGATCTACACCTGACAGCAGCAAAACTATGTATGCACAGCTTTTTGCACACACACACATTGAGATCTTGCATTTTAGTGAGAGCTGAGATATCACTTTATCCCTTCATTATAAAGGCCTGCCTGCTGTTCTCATGCACACCTGCTGACAATTTGACCTCACCTTTACCCTCAATCACAGTCTAGACCGCAGCCTCAAATAAGCATTGTCAATTGCAACCAAAGATCTAATTATGGATTAGTAATTACAGACAGTCTGACAGTGATGGCAGAGTGAGTGACAATGTAATAAATCAGTCACTGAATGATTGGATGGCCTTCTTGAGCACATACTCCAAGACTTACAATCAATGACACTTGCAGCTCCAACAGAAAAGGCACCGCATATCATTTCATACACCACCAGTCAAAAGTTTGGACACCTGACTAAATATGTTTATCAGAGTCTTAAACACATTACAAACATACATTGTTCAAGTTCAAGGCTACATATGAGTTTATTTCTAATACATTAATATAATATATTATTTTTTTAAATGCCACACCAAAGAAATAGATCTTATTTATAACTATATTGCAAGTTCTTGCTGGAAAATGTTGGAAATCAGTCAAATCACCCTAATTACTATGCTTCATGTCTGTTCTTGTTGATTGCTTAAGTCAATCAACTCTTGGAATGAGGCACACTGTGTTTAGATATAACGCCAATATTTCATTCTGTATGTGTTGTTTCACAGCTTTGTCATCAATATTATATGAAAATGTGTAAAATAATAGAAAGTCATCTACGAATATGTTTGTCCACATTTTTGACTTGTATTGTACAATACCAGTAAGTGGCCAGCTGACTGATTGGACATCTTAACAAATCCACATCTCAAAAATAATTGTTCATGGCTAGTCTACTGGTGGACAATGCGACTGCTAAATTTTTGAGCAGTTGGTCATTACCTCCTGTGCCAGCGGGCCGAGGGAGAACTGGAGGCGCTGGCAGAGCTCACCCAGATTAGAGAGACAGCTGGCACGCACGCTGCTGTCTTCATCCCGCGTACCGCTCAGGAATGCACCAATCAGAGGACGGCCATAGTGTGGTGCCAGGTCACCTGACAAAGGAGACAGAGCTCAGCATCAAAGCACAGGTACATATACACTCATTAATTTTCATACATTCATGACAATTACAACAGATACGTCTTTGTCAGTTACGGGTGGACAATATGATGATGTTTTAGCGTTATCATGCTATTGTGCTATTCAAATACTGTGGATATCGTCAGTAACTAAACAACACTGACCAACTGCACTGACCAGCTCTCATTGTTAACAAAACATGAACTCACTCTTGAATCAACTGCAGAAATTCTATTAAAAGTGCAACTTTCGAGCTAATACAACACACACAAAAATAAAACATTTATTATGATTTGAAAATGATTATGTTGTATGCACAGTCTTGTTTTGAAATAAAAATACAGGAAAAGTAAAAATATACAGACTTAAATCTGATGTACTGTGTGTTGTTTATTTTTAACTGGTGAAACCAAAGATGATTTTCCTGCCTTGGCAAGACAATAAAGTTACTCTAATTTAAATTCTAATCACACAGTGGATTACATTTGCTGTAGACAAACCTAGTAATCAGCTGTTTTTTTTATTCATATCGTTCGACCTTATTTTTCCATGACTCACTGCTTATCAGTTTAGTTTTTTATTACTTGTGTATTTGGGTCTAATTAACTATAACCATTAGTAACAATTTTGAATATAATACATTTTTAAAATACTTAAAATAGCTGATGTATCACGGAAAACACATTTTATATCTCTAATAAAAGATGGCACTAATCAGAATATAGCACTTATATTTCTTGGATGTGTAAAGCCCACTCCCAATAATGTATATCATGAAACAGAACACTTTGATTGTTCAATTGATGCAGCATCTGGGACAAATTGGGGATTAAATGGGTTAATTAAATGGATCCTTCAGGATTTTTGCTAATTGGTTTAATGGGACACATCCTACTGCAGCAGTTCATCTCAATGACTAAACCCTCCTACACGGACAGTTGCTGCAAATGAGAGATTTAAACTGGTGTCTCTCAACTCATTTCATTTAACCTTATATCCCTCAACTCATCATTTCAGAGAAAAGTATCTTTTCTATTATCTCAGACTCAGAGCTGTTCCACTGCATCAGCCCTAATGCGCACACTTCTTTTAGAGAGTCGCGATTCAAGTTCTGTCACATCTCACCAAGTCTAGGTGCTGTGAGCTGTCCAGCCTAAACACACACACACATACACAGAGCTCTGAGGTCACCATTCCTGTTTCAATCTCTCCATCTTTGTGTGAAAGTCTGAGAAAGACTCAGGCACATTCCTAAAGCATGAGCTAAGAGCTGAACTGGTACTTCTTCATCTGTTCAGTGTAATTTGGCCAAATAGCAAGCAGTACATTTACCTCTATGATGAGCATGTAGTCCCCAAAACCACATTTTAACCACTATAGATTATTTTTTTTAAAAGAGATTAGTGCTTCTTTCTTTGCAAAGAGACAGCAGGTGTTGCATCAACTACCTGCAAGTCTATGTGATATTGTATGCCTATTAGTCTGAGCCAGCCTTAATTCAGTATTAGATGTCTGGCATTTGGCCAGCCTGAATGAGTGGACTGAGATGGGTCCAACTGGACTGAATCCCTACAGCTGGCCAAGCCACAGAGAGCCCTGTATTAGACACGTTTAGACCTGGCAGAACTTCCCAGGACCCCTGCGGTTAGACCCTTTTTGGGAGAAGAATGTCACCTTCAAAAGCAGTCATGTCAAAAGAGTGTCTTAGCCATTACAGGTTAAATGGATTGGAAAAGCAGGTGGATCTGTATGTTATTTAAAAAATAAAAGGCGTCAGCAAAAGTGTAATAGGCTCCCCTTTGATCCTGTACCTTTTGACTGCTGCCATCTGTCTGTGCTTTTTAATTAGCCAAACATTAACATAAAATCTTAATTAGGCCAAAATATGTGCATTGAAGTCAATTTTATAAGAGACAAACAGCATCTTGTGAGTATATAAATATCCAGCTACAAGAACTGTATTAGTAGAGGTAAGAATAGAAACCTCCAACTTGTTAGATAATGCTTATGAGTTGAAGATACTGTGCCAGGAGCAACAGCTCGAGTGCAGTGATGGAGAGGGAGGCCAGGCACAGAGGGCTGTGGGTTGCTGGTGCAGTGTAAGAGAGCTGATGAGGGACTGACTGTGTGTGTTTTTGGAAGTGAGCGAAGCAGCTGTTGGACTTTTTGAGAGCATGTTCTGTTAGCTGTGAAGAGCAGGGCCAAACTGAGACACCCCGGGGCCAGAATGAATAACCCACAGACACAAAGAATAACCCCACACTTGTGTCGGGGACACGGCACTACCCTGATCTCGCACAAAGGAACAGAAGGGAGAAAAAATAAAAGAAGCTCCAGCTCTGAATGGAAAATATAGTGTTAGATCAACTATGAGCAGAAAATGGAAAAACAATGAAGAATAAGGAGACATTTTAAGAAAGTGCTAGAGAACAGACAGCCCAGACAGCCAGACAAACTCACAGACTACGTGTCAGAGACAATACTCACTGGGATGTAAAACCTCTGAGCTCCCAGCTATTCAATTAGCATTCCTTAGGAAACAACTGATTACTAAATTGCACCACAATTGACACCAAAAGATTCAAATCTTTTGGTGTGATACAGAATAATTTAAAATAATAATACGCAAATGTGATATTGGCATAAAATTTGGCATCACTTTTCACAAATGAAACAATGCAAATTTACATGTTTTGGCCAGTATTTCAAGTGTTTTAGTAACAACAGCAATATATACTCATGGATAAAAGATGTAAAATAATTATCTATTTATATAAAGTTTTGTCAATTTACCTGCTTTGATATGTGTATCATTATGGATATTCATTTTATAGAAGTTCAGTCATTTTAGAATCATCTACAGCCCTGTTTTTCATTCTAGATACATCTAAAATGTCAATTTTTTATTTCAACTGTATTATTTATACTAATTATTATTCTACTAAGTGATGACAATCTTAAAGTTAGACAGGAGTAGTATATAAGAACAATTTTGTACATTTTCTGCCATCATACTGCTTTTATATTACTGAAAACATTGAATATTGATTCCAAACTTTTCACACTGTAAAAAATGGTAACCTAACAAAATTACTTAATGTGGTAACAAGCAATGGGACTGGTTTTATTCAACTCAAATAAATACTTGGAATGAAACACTTTCATCCAAAGTATTTATCTGAATCGAATAAAACTAGTTAAATTACTTGTTACCACATGAAGCGATTTTTTACACTGTAGTGTAGACAATCATCGATACCACAAGCTTTTGGATTTTTATGTTTAAAAAGAACCTTTGTGTTGTGTATGGTTAAAGAAATGAGTGCATACTCCATTAAACATTATTATATTCAACAATGGTCTAACACCATGTTCAGACGGATGCATCAATGCATTTTTACTCACCCATGGCCCTGCTGGCTCTCATCAGAGCCTCCCCCACTTTGAGGCGTGTCTCCAGAGATCGCCCCCTGCTGGTAGAAGCTGCACTTGGCCCTGCCTGGTACTCAGCCAACAGTCTCTGCAGGATCTGCTCAGGGAACGAATCCGCCAGCACCACCAGCCCTGTGGACACACAGGAGAAAAATAGGCCACAACTTCATTTAAAGTCAAAGAGACTGAACTCAAATAGGTGTACAGAGCAAAAGGCCTGTCGTCTTTGTTTAGAGAGAAGCCACATATATAAAGTCTCAAGAATTTGCAAATATGCTGAAAAGCATAAAACAGACCTCTCGGCACAAGTGTACCTCTCGACACAAGCGTACAAAATACAAAAGGTTTTTCTTTATGAGAAAGCGATGCCAGCTGGCCCCCACTGGCCTCTCAAGGACACTGGGGGTATGTATCTACATCAGTATTGCACAAAAGCAGCAGGAGAGCAAGTTTAGCTATGACCTTAAAAATGCATTCTACCTCCATCATCAAAAAACAGTGATCTTGTAGGGCAGGAATGTCTAGTGTTATCCACAAAGGACCAGTGTGGCTCCAGGTTTTCATTCAGTTCAATTAGTCTTAGTCTTCAAACAACTGATCACTTGAGCAGTAATGAAAAACTGCAGCTACACCGGCCCTTTCCGGATAACACTGTATGGTTTAAGAATATGCTTAAAGGGCCCATGTCATGGAAAAATGAATTGTCCTTGCTTGAAGAAAAAAAAATTGGTGTACTATGTAAACACTGTTACATAGTTGTTACAAGTTTCAAGGGTTACCTCTCACTCCACCGTCTAAACAGTCCATACAAGGAACGGTTTTAAATACATCATGGCTGTGATGCCACAATCACAAAACCACTGACATATGACCACTCTCTTGTTAAAACCGTAAGGAGTACTATTGCAGACAGTCTGTAGAAGTGGTATTGGAAAAGATGTGGATGAAGGATGAGTTTATTTTTTCCCCATCATCCCTAAGGATTTCAGTATAGACATTCCAATTTAATCTGTACATTTCAGTCCAGATTGATGTTTGAATGGAGGTGCAACACAGGGCAGCCACATGGAACAGAAGCAATTTAGCAGTGTTAAAATCACAGTAAAAAAACAGGCTGTTTAATAATAAGAGATAAAGAGTGGCTGAAAATAGTCTTGACAAATAAATTTAAATAAACATTACAAATGGATTTCAGGTGATAAAATATAAATATGAGAAAATCTAAAATACACTATATGGCCAAAAGTATGTGGACAAATGAACATCACACCTATATGAGCTTGCTGGACATCTTATTTCAAAACCATGGGCATTTTTATAGAGTTGCCCTCCTTAGTGGCTATAACAGCCTCCACTTATCTGGGAAGGCTTTTCCTTTTTTTTTATTTTTTTTTTCTTTTGGATTTTAACCCAATTATCTCCCCAATTTAGTCGTCGCCAATTCCACCCGCTAGTTAGGACTCCCCCAATCACACAATACTATCAACACTAGGAGGGAGAAGGCTAACACAGGCTTCCTCCGAGACCTGTGAAGCCAGCTACCGCTTCTTTTCGAACTGCTGCTCACGCAACGTCACTGGACAGTTGAACGCGCTCGGAGGAAAGTGCCAACTGCCATATCTGTTACGTCAGCTAACAGACGCCTGCGCTGGCTAACATTGGGTTAGGTGGTGGGGGGAGGTGGGGGGCATCCTACCCATCCAGAGAGCGAGGCCAACTGTGCTCTCTTGGACTCCAGGCTACGGATGGCTGTAGCATCACCAGGGATTGAACTTGCGATCTCCTGATGATAGGGCCAACGCTTAGACGAGCCCATAGGGAAGGCTTTTCAAAAGATTTTGGAGTATGTATGTGGGAATTTGTGCCCATTCAGTCAAAAGAGCATTTGTGGGGTCAGGCACTGATGGTAGATGTGAAGTCCTGGATCGCAATCTGCATTTCAATTCATCCCAAAGGTTTCAATGGGGCTGAGGTCAGGGCTCTGTGCCATCTGAACTCAATAATAAGGAGGGGTGTCCACATACTTTTGGCCAATCTTGAGAAAATGAATGGGTCCTTCAAAATCACATTTCTTCTATTGTTTGTCTGAGACTGGTCTCTATGCTTGTACAGCACACAGGTTATGGGTGTATCAACTGGCAAGTGACAGGAATTATGGTATTCACTGCGCTGTCAAATTACCTTGATTTATTACTTATAGCTGGGGTCTGGTCAAATTTAGAAGGCCTTTACCGAAGGGTTTCATGAGATCAGTGATTATTCATTAAGATTCTGGGATTAGATTGCTCTGGTTCTAATTTTGGTTCCAAGACCACACAGAGGTGGGGTTTAGTGAGCCAGCAGAGAAGAGAAGAAAGGATGATATGTGCAAATATGGACTGATTTTTGTTCAAACTGAGTAAGCGTTAAAGACCTGTAAATGTGGTGCTGCCAATTTGTCCTACATTATCTCTGTGAGAATGAAGGAAAAAGCTTGACGTCACTGCTATTTAAAAAGCTGGGTGGACATCGAACAGTGAGCCAAAATCCAGCCAGGCATGATAAGAGACAAACACAGTCCAAGATAGTCTGTGGAATAAAGATACCAGCTTTATCGTTTTAAAGCTCACTTCCTAAAGCCTCTATATCTCAGGAACTAAAAGATACAATCCAAAAAACTTGCACACAATCTATTGTGAAAATTACATTAATGAAAGCATTAAGCAAATCTGAAATGTCAAGAACTTATTCTGAAATCTGACAATTTCAGGCAAATTTACCAAGTAAGATTATCTGCTTTGCATTCTCATTAAGCTAAGGACAAGCTAAGTGAAAGCTGGTGAATAAATCCCAGATATTTAGATATTAACAATGCAAGTGAATCAGATCTCATAAACTTTAACGTCTTAGCTGACACAAAGTTATAACTCAGGAGACAGTTCATAATGGAACATCCTGACTGGTTCAAATCTTTCAAAACACTTGTGTTGGAAGCAGAGGTTTCAAAAAAGCTCGAAACACGTGGAGGGTTTTGTTCTCAAATACATTATAGACCACTTTCAATATATTTTTTTTTTCATGAAATACGTCGTTCAGGGTGGGTTCCACATATACAAGAAATATCAATGCAGTATTATGATTAATATCACCTTAATACTGCATCTAAAAACATCTCTTGATCACATGAGCAATGTGGTGTCAGGTCATGTGTGAAACTCAGGTTTCAAAATGTCCTGAATTAAGACAGAAGCAGCTCAGTTTGAAATACTCTCAAATTAACTATATGGCAGCAGTACAGGCTGAATTGGTGAATCTGAAATTAAAACACGGCAGGCGTGGGCCACTGGCCGATGTAACTAGATATTGTTTAGGATCAGCACATAACCTTATAACGATTATTAAAAGGCAATGATTGTGTCAGAAAAAATGGACCTTTAAACAGCTTGCTAAATAATATTAAATAACGTACACATAATGTTTTATTCACTTTTACTGTTAAACCATTGGGTTGTTATTGGGTCACCATAGGCACCGGTTGAGTAAATCCCCCTCTGTCTTTGCTGCAGTTTACCCCAGAGTGTGACATACATCCTGAGAAAAATTTTCAGTATTTTCCATACAGCTCTCAGGATGCAGTAAAGCTAAATTATGAAAAATATAAAACAACATTGTTTTCCAAAGCCATCTTTAACTGAATTCTTGAGTGACTCCATTATAACATTATTTTTATTATAATGTTAAAAAAATACACATACACTAAAATTAGAAATATAATAGAAATTATGTCTAAGCTGCAGCGTGTAATGGTTGAGCGGGTGGTGGGGTGATACGATCGATGATCGTGATTTTTTTAAAAAAAAACATATCTTGTTAATTATTTTTAGACATATTTAGCATGAGAACAATGCTATTTGTATATTTTCTGTTATAAAAATTGCTATAAAGAGAACTAACAAATAATGAGAAAAATGAGAGCTGATAAACAGAAACCAAAACTGCAAAGAATTCTGGGTTGCTCCACCTTTTTGTTGAGTTTCCGTTCTTTAATTGAGTTTAAGAAGTGGGATAATAGATAATATAATATTAATAATAGATAATATAATATTAATTCACATCAGCCAATATACCAGAATTTGGCCCCCTAAATTCTTTATCGGCCACAGAATTTTCATATCGAAAATTAAATGAAGCCATTTTAAATAAGCAGTGTGGAAATACACGCGTCTTTGACATCATACCTTGAATGGCAGAAAGATACACAAACGAGTCTTCATGCTCCAGGTTCTCCAAAAAGAGCTGCAAGACACAAAAAAAAGCATCAGTAAAGACTGCGACAAAATTAAGAGAGAGCTGACTAATTCCTTTGTCTGATTACTACTGAAAGAATTCAAGAGGACATTCGTTTATTTCTAAGCACATCTTCGAAGTAACTCAATAATGAATGCAAATTAAAGCCACTGAATTGGCTACACTTGTTCTTGTCTGTGGCCTGAGGCTATAGAGTTCATGTGAGGTCAGAGCTGTGATTCACATATCATGCATGCAGAGAACCAATAACAATTTCAAATGAATCATGCAGAGACAACTATGGAGGCAAACATCCACACAGACAAACATCACAACAATGTTTGAAGAGGCAGCAAAAAAGAAAAGCTTTCCATTGTAACTGCCCCTGCCAGTGTCTGAGTGGGGATACCCAGGGGGAAACCTATTACAAAGAATATTAGATGAGTAACAGAATCCCCAAAGGACCTGTGTGAGGCTTAGGGGCCTTACACACACCAAACATCTCTACTCATTCATAAAACATGGGCCACACCCATCTAACCAGGGGATGATAGGGGTATAGGGGGAGAGAGATGTCACTAGAGTGTATGACCCTATAAAAAGCCCAGACCTAATGCTTATTCATGATCAGTCAAAAACACATAGCACAAGAAGACTTTCACATACCAACTGTGTATTCATAATCTTAATGTAATGAAGACACAATAAATAGGTTCTTGTGTATTACTGCAGCATTTAAAACTGCATCTACTAAAAATGGTGACTGTAGTGAACAATATTTTGACTCTTTATGATACACATACTAGGCTATAATTAATGGAAAAAATATAACGTTCTGCAATAACTGGAACCAAACAGTCTTTGTGATTCAAGACTTGCCATATGCTTACAGACAAAAAAGTGAAGGCTGTACTATATAAACAAAATACCAAACTGCAATTATATTACTGCATATTGCCATTGTTAAGGATGCACCGATATGGAAGTTGTGGGCCGAAGTTGATAGCCAATATTTATTCTGTGCATGTCTGCAGATGCCAATACACACATTTCTCAAATGTAGAATTGGGACAGAACCTTCTTGGAGTAGCACTTACAGATTTAGAGAATTTAAAGAAATTAGAGCTTTGATATGGCCTGAAATTTCTGTCCATGTTTGAGTCCAAAACTGACCTAAACCAGCCCATCATCACTCAAAGCTCAGAATAAACAGCCATCAAACAATCACAGACAAATAAGAGACAAAATAAAATAATAAATAAATCTGTCTGATGTTGTTTTTTTTAAGCAATAATCAGCCAATACCATTATGTTTTTGATATCATACATATTTAGTGATTGTGATGGGTTTGTATTTTATAAGACCTAATTTAATAAAAAAAGTAGGGACAGTATATGAAATGCTAATAAAAACAGAAAACAGTGATTAGTAAATTTTCTAGTAAGTTGATAATGGTACAAAACCAAAACATTTGATGTATTATCTTATGAACTTTATTGTATTTGTAAGTATATGCTCATTCCAGATTTGATGCCCACAACATGTTCCAAAAAAGTTGGGACAGGAGCATGTTTACCTCTGTGCTACCTCACCCTTTCCTTTTAACAACCCTTAGTGAACCTCTGGAGACTGAAGACACCAAATAATCCATTTTTGAAAGCATTTTTTCCCCCATTCTTTAGTTCTACAAGTCTTTAGCTGTGCAACCGTATGGGACCTTCACTGTCCTATTCTGAGCTTTATAATGTGACCCACATTTTAATGGGAGACAGGTCTAGCACCTGCACTCTCTGGCTGCAGCCATGCTGTTGTAACATGCAGAAATTAATTTGATGTTGTCATGTTAAAATAAGCATGGACATCACTGAAAAAGATGGTGTCTAAAAGGCAGCACATGTTGCTCCAAAAGGTGTTCAGTGTCAAAGGTACCTTCACAGACATGCAGGCTACCCACTAATACCCCCTGTATCTGACAGACTCTGGCTTTTTAACTTTACACTGGTAACAATCTGGATGGTCCTCTTCTTGGCCCAGAGAACATGATTTCCAGTATTTCCAAATACAATCTGAAAGATTGACTCATCATATCACAATACACGTTTCTACTACACATCATCAATGTCAGATGAGCTTTAGCCCAGAGAAGTAAGCAGCGTTTCTGGATGTTGTTGACATATGACTTCCACCGTGCATAGTTTAGTCTTAACTTGCATTTTTGGATGCAGCAACAGAAAGTGTTTGTTGACAATGGTTTGTCAAAGTATTCCTGAGCCCATGTGGTGATACATGTTGGTTCTTAATGCAGTGCTGTCTGAGGGGTTGAATGTCGTGGGCATTAATTTGTGGTTTTCTGTGTTTTATTTGATGCAGAGATTTCTGCAGATTCTCTGAAATTTTTGATAATAATATGCAATGTAGAGGATGAAATACCTAAAACCCTTGCACTCACTCACAGAAGAACCTTATTTGTAAACTGTTGTAAATCTTAATGATGCATTTTGGCAGAGTGGCAAGTCTTGACCCATCCTTGCTAATAAAGGACTAGGCCTTTCCTGGAAGTTCCTTTTATACCCCAGCATGGTTGCATAATCTGTTTAATCTGTTTGTTTTACATTTTACAGCATTCTAGTTTTAAACTGCCCCTGTCCTAACTTTTTTTAAAAAGTGTTGCAGGAATCAATTTTAGAATGAGCGCAGATTTTCAAAAATACTGAAGCTGAAAGGTAAAACATATGGTGTCGTTGTACTGTTTTCATTCAAATACAGGTCAAAGTAGATTTATAAATCACTGCTTTCTGCTTTTAATAGCATTTTACCTACTGTCTCAACTTTTATGGAATTGGGTTTGTACTAAAAAGACACTTCATCCAAACACCCACAGAAACAGGCTGATATTGTGATAAAGGTTAACAAACAATATGTTATGCAGCCTTAACCACACCATCAACAGTCAGACTCACCACTAACAGCTTGTCCCGGGTCTCTATTGCTTCCTTGTCTCCCTCTCTCAGAGCGTGGGTGAGGGCCCGCAGTGCCATGGCCCGAGTGGGCACGTCTGGGTCACAGGCTTCCAAAAGCCACTCAGAGAAGATTTTTTGTGGAGTAGGACCAAGGGCAGATGAGACGGAGCTGCGTGTGCTCATGCCACTGAGCTTGTGTACGGACAGTTCTCCATCTTTGTGGGGAGGGCTGCATGCAGAACCTTGTGCTTGCTCCTTCATATCAGCACATGACTCAGCTACACCATGACCTGCATTCTGCTGTAGTGTTGAAGGCCCAGAGGCAGCAGAGCCTGAGCTAGAGTGTGGACTGAATGAGTTGGAGGTGGATGAGAGTCCGAGTGAAGGTTGACTTGGTTGAAGTGGGTCAACACGCATAGAATGAGTTCTTGCTGAGGAGGCACTGGCTGAGGCAGCACTTGTGTTTTGACCCTTCGGCTGACTTGCTGCTTGAGTGGAAGCGCCAGCACCATACCGTCCAGCAGCATTAATCACAGAGCCTGGGCGATAAGCCCCATGTGTAGTGATGGTGGCCTGCAGGTCTGAGGCCAGCTCCTGGATGACAGGATCCGGGTGCTGCTGGGAAACCCGCTCTAGAGGACCCAGCAGCCTAGACATGGAGGAGTAGTCCTCTGCAGAAAGCTGAGAGGAAGCATCAACCATTAACTAGGCAGTCAACTCCAATCATAAATACAATCGCATTTCCAAAAAAGTTGGGACGCTGTGCAGAATGTAATTAAAAATAGGATGCAATGATATGGAAATCATGAAAACCATTTTTTTAAAGGAAAATACTACAAAGACAACAAATCAAATGTTGAAACTGAGAAATTTTATTGTTTTTTGGAAAATATTCCAAAAAAGTTGGGACAGGGGCATGTTTACCACTGTGTTTCATAACCTCTTCTTTTAACAGCACTCTGTAAGTGTTTGAGAACTGAGGAGACCAACTGCTGTAGTTTTGAAAGTGAAATGCTTTCTCATTCTTGTTTGATACAGGATTTCAGCTGCTCCACAGTTCGGGTCTCCTTTGTCGTATTTTTCATTACATAACGCGGCAAATGCTTTCAGTGTTCTGGACTGCAGGCAGGCCAGTTTAGCACCCGGACTCTTTTAATACGGAGCAATGCTGTTGTAATATGTGCAGAATGTGGTTTGGCACTGTCTTGCTGAAATAAGCAAGACCTTTCCTGAAAAAGACGTCATCTGGATGGCAGCATACATTGCCAAAATATGTATATATTGTTCAGCATTAATGGCGCCTTCACAGATGTGCTCGTCATCCATGCCATGTACACTAATGCACCCCTATACCATCATGAATACTGGCTTTTGAACTGTGCACTAATAACAAGCTGCGTGGTCTTTAGCCCAGAGGACACAGTGTTCATAAATTCCAAAAAGAATTTCAAATGTTGATTAGTCTGACCACAGAACACTTTTCCACTTCCCCTCAGTCCATTTTAAATTAGCTCGGGCCCAGAGAAGGTGGCAGCATTCCTGGAACCTGTTTATATATGGTTTCTTCTTTGCATTTTACAGTTTTAACTTGCATTTGTAGATGCAGTGACAAACTGTTTTTACAGACAGTGGTTTTCTGAGTGTTTCTGAGTCCATGCAGTGATTTCCACTACAAAATCATGTCTGTTTTTAATGCAGTGCCAACTGAGGGCCCAAAGATCATGGCCAGCAAATACTGGTTTTTGGTCAAAAAACAATAAAATTTCTCAGTTTCAACATTTCATTTGTTGTCTTTGTACTACTGTCAATGAAATATAGGGTTTAAATGATTTGCACATCACTGCATTTTGTGTTTATTTACATTTTGCACAGCGTCCCAACTTTTTTGGAAATGGGGTTGTGATATCCTGCCCTGTCTCAAGTTTGGGGGGCCCTTGATGATAATTTGTTCACTCTTGTTCATGTTCACACATGCTTTGTGTACATCAAAGTGGCTTACTTGGTATGAAAGTAGACTTTGACACACATTGAAAATCTTTTGGCTCAAAGGCAAACTTATAAAAGGTTTGAGTATTGATAAGTGCTGACATCAAAACAAGGAGACTACATGGGTGATGTCATTATTCCCAAAATAGTACTTTTGTCCACTATAAGTTTTGACATTTTTGCAAAAAAAAAAAGATAAAAAAAGTAAAAATTCTGCATAATTAAACCATTAAGATGTAAACAAAGACATTCAGAGTGGTCTGATATAAAATGTTCTGTTCTAGAGAAACCAGTACAACCAGAATTGTTCATCGTGGTGGTGATAGGAGCCAGACATCTGAAGTATCTAATTCCCTCTAAAGGTTCCGTCACAGAAAGGTATTACAGGAAATGGTTACAAATATGCTGCCTGATAGCTGATACATTGTTTTCTGATCATTATAAGATAAGGCTGTGGCCTGAAACTTATTTGTTTAAATTCATTCACAACAGAGGAGTAAATGTAGGGAGTGGTAAGGCAAAATAGTCCCCAAAGAAACCTTTTTTTCCAGATTTAAAATTACTTAACTTTTAGCAACATTATCTTTAAAAACTCAAAAGACATGTTTAGGCTCACTGGTTGTTTTTAATAGTACATAGAATGGCAATGTTTGCATTATAGACATGCTGACCCCTGGATCCTATCACCACCACTGTGAAGAATCTGAGTCTGTCAGTTTCACATCACATCCACTCTGAATGTCTTTGCTTGCATCTCAATGATTTAACTATGCAGAAATCAGCAGAAAAACAGTGGAATTATCTTTTAAGTTAGAACATTTTTTAAATGAAAAGCTAAGAGCCCCAAACTACAAATACTGAATGTCCCAGAATAAGGTGTTGATGACTAATAGACATGAGTTGTACCTGTGCAGCTCCAGACAGCAAGGTAGCAATCAGGCCCATCCCCATACTGAGAGTCTGACCCTCCACTGCATTCTCTGAACCACGCTCCACACCTACACATGCCCTGTGCAGCATGGACTCTATAAAGCCCACCACCTAGAGCAACAGTGCAAGACAAGAAATGAGAAAGTAAGTTCTTTGTGAGTAAAGCCTCTAAAATGGCACAGTGACAACAAGGTAAAAATAGGCTATGAGGTGTTTGTATGTTTGTCCTCTGGACAGAGTGTATGAGCTGCTTTGTTCCAGGAAAAATATCACAGATTTTGCCAAGAGTTATAGATTGAGTGTGCTATTCTTAGGGAGCTTAAAGTATGACACATCATGCCCTAAATTCTCTTAATAAGAACTCCCAACAGAACCAGGCTGCAAAGATGGAGACAGACATTCAGAGTTAGATAAGAAGTCTCCAGCAAGGAGCTTAAAAGTCCAACAAACTTAACTGTTAGGAACAGTGCAAATAAAAGCCACTAACCCCTAATAAGGTAAGGGCTTACCAAAAGTTTTTCTATGGATGTGCTGATCTGAAAAAGTTCCCCTTACCTTAAATGTACTCAAAGAATCAACACATTTGGTGGCCTAAATATACTCTTTTAAAGAGGCTAACGCATCTAACAAGCAATGAAATCTTAAAGTCAAAATGTACATTGTGTGAACTGCATGTGTAAATCAACACATGCCACATTTGTAGGTAACAATCTGTCATACAGTTACCAAAACTATTATCTTTACACAGAGGAAAACTGTGCACAAAACTGTATCTCGTCCCATGCAGAGAAATAAAACAAAAAAATAATCACACACCTGGGTGGGCTTGCGCAGCAGTAGTGTGTGTGGCAGCCTCTCACACATGACAGCCAGGGTCTGCAGGAGAGCCAGTCTCTGGCCATGGCCATGCACACACCCCACCAGGTGCTGCTCCAACTCAAGCAGCGTCATGGCCGACGTGTCCACTTGCTGCTCAGCCTCCTGCTGCTCTGCTGCCAAATCTGTCAGATCCTATACAGAGACACAATAGTTCAGGAGAGGCTGTAATTGAGATATTAGGTTGACGGCAGACATCATTACCTCAGTGTGTGTGTGTGTGTGCATGTGTGTGTGTGTGTGTGTGTGTGTGTTATGGAGTAAGAACACTGTGCGCATTTTGGCTTTTCAGGTTTTCATTTGTGGTATGTTTGTCATTTGTTTTGAACTTTCCCTGCTGGCCAGGGAGTTTCACATTGTTGTCCAAAAACCGACTGAAAGATGTTGCACCATAGCAAGGGAGTTTTGCTGGGCCAGGAACCTTTTTACTGCAGCGGTGGAGTTTGAGTGTGCCACATGCCAGGAGACTTTTCACTGGAGCGGGGACATGGGCTGTGGTAGGGGACTTTCACCGGGTTGCTGGCTGAGAGAATTTACATCATGATGGAGGGGTATGACCAGTCTGTGGGCTAGGAGACTTTGCACCGCAACAGCAAAGTCTGACAGGGCCGTGAGCTAGGAGCCTCTGCACCACAACAGCGGAGTTTCGAGCTGGGGCACTTTGCACGGGAGCATAGGGGTTTAGCTGGTTGTGAGCCTGAACACTTTGCACCCCAGCAACAGACTCTCAGTGGGCCCGGAAGACTTTGCACTGTGGCAGCAGAGTCTGTCTGGGCTGTGAGCTGGGACACTTTGCATTATGGCAATGGAGCTTGACTAGGCTGTGAGCCTGGACAATTTGCACCATGGCAGCAGAGTGTGATGGGCCCCTGGCCAAGAGATTTTACACCACGGTAGGGAGAGTTTTCTCTCTGCCAGCTGGGAACTGTGTGTGCATGTGATTTGTAATTTTGTTGTAACTGTAAAAATGGCTGTGTAAATTAAACTAAGTATTATTATTATTATTATTATTATTATTATTATCATTAAATAACCTGGCAGATTACATTTCTATTCTTAAATACTCATGCATTTCTATTATAACTACATAATTCAAAGTAAGATTAACAGAGAAAAAAGAAGATTAAACCTACAATTTTACCTGACTGGGTTTCATGGTTTCAAATCAAATTATAACCAAATAGGTAACATTCACATTATAAGCCTTACTTGAGCGTCAATTAAAATTTTTTGCTAAAAACTCTGATCTTTCTGCTTTGACTGCTCACATTCATGTTTAAGTCATGTAACTGACTCTGTCCTGTCATTAACGAGTCATGGTTTAAAAAAAAAAAAATTCAAACCTTACATATGTATTTTGTGTTTGCACAGCTTTGAGAAAATCAGACGGCATCTTGTTTCAGGAATTTGTTCCACTTCAGCCCTGTACTGTGTATAGCCACGAACGCTGCACAGCAGAAAGAGGACACGTACCTGCAGGAGCAAGAGGAAGAAGTCACCAGGCAGGTCACTGTCCTTCATCTCGGTCAACAGCTGCACAAGACACTCCACTCTCCACTGCTCTCCAGACACCTTCTCATACAGAGCATCATCTTCATCACTAAGGAGAGAAACACAGAAAATCATTTTTAATCTACTTTAATAACATGATGCCACATGATAAGGTTGCATGTCAGTTACCTGATTGGCTCTCGTCGGGTGAGTCTGGCCCCACCTTCACTGCCAGGTGCAAACTGGAAGCCAGGTGCGACTCCGCCTCCATCTCCCTGCAGGACGCACAGGCCTTTGAGCTGGGAGAGTGCTGAAGCAGTCTCAGTATGAGACAGGTACCACAGCAGGATTTCCTGGCAGGGGGCTCTGTGGAGCATATTTCACATCAGCGCAATGTTTTACAGATAAATCAGATTTGCATCATTTTCCCATTACCCCAAACATGGCCAGTTGGCCAAGACATGCCAGTTGTCTGAAGTTTGCTTCTTTAGGTTTACCTTAGAGCTACAAGGTTAATATAATAGAAGTCTATGTCACTCAAACAGATTCTGGGTGACAGAGACTTTAATTACTGGTAAGCGACATTAGCCACTCAACTCCAGTGCAAAACTAAGGAAGCACACTCTGGACATCAAACATTTCTTGGTTGATCGACTAGGTCTGGGGTAATGAGAAAATCGCGTAAATTGGATTTACGGGTCAAACATACCTTTAATGTTACCAACATTTTACAGTATTATAATTTTATCATTTTTGTACTAACCGTAAGTGAGACACATTTTGTTTGGTGAAACATAACAGGCAGAAGATGGTTGGAACTACATCCCCCAGAGCAACCAGCAGTGTTCCTGATGGCCTGTTACCCACCACATAAATCTATGAGAAGTAAAACAATTTAATAAAAAGGACAAAGCTACAGTTCCACAGTTAATTTTCTTTAAACTAAGTTTATGGGTACAATTTTTTGTACTATAAATCAAAAAATATTATAGAAAAGCAGGCACTTGAAATGTCAGCATTACCACAATGTTTCAAAACAGTTTTAAAAATGTAACATATTTTAATACACTTTATAATCTCAACAAAGGAAAAATCATAGCATTTCCATGTCTCAGCAACTGTTCTGAATTTAATATACATGATGACTATTTTCCAGTTGTTGGGTATTGTCTTGTAATATGTACTACCTCTAATACCTCTAGTCAAAAAAATACTTTAAATACTTGAATTTAATTCACTATGAAATAATACGTAGGTAGGTTTCAAAACATATCACTGACTACTCAGACCATATGGTACATATATAGAAAATAAGCTGAAAAAACAGCACAGTTCATTGTTTCACTGTTTCAGTGATTTCTTGAGTAGTAACTTATATATACAACTATTCAGCCTACAGAAGTTTAGCTCATTCACACTAAAGTTATAAGGAATGTTTCAGACCTGACTGTTTTCTGAATGAGGCACAATACAGGACAGCCAATCAGAACAGAGCTAATGTATCTTATATCAGTCTTAAAGGCACAATAAAAAAAAACACCCTGTTTAATTCTAAGGTATAAAGAGAGGTTGGTAAATAGTAATGTAAAAATAAATTATGACCATTTTGGTACCTAAAACCACACAAGAGTTATAAATGGACTTGAGTGAAAAAATGAAATACAGTAAAAATGTATGAGCCCTTTAAGACTTAACAAGATGTTTTAGGTATCTGTGAGAATGCTGTACCATAAGTACAATGGTAATTCATAGAAAACATTTCTCAAATTAACATTTGAGCAGGTCTTTTATAGAACTACATTAGAAGTCATTAGATGTCCTGTCACAAATGTTGGGAACAAGATGAATACAATCTTTAAAATATTAAAATAAACATGTAGGCAAACTATTACAGGAAACATCTGACAGTTCACTGAAACTTTTAAATGGTATGTCATCACTTTAACAGGCTTTAGGATGGAGTATTTTCTCACTTTATAGATATCCTCCACACAGCGGGTCAGCTCCCACTCAGGCACTGCATCCTGAGATATGTCCTCTGCAACAAGGGCCGCTTCTAAATGGGAAATGTGAGTAAAAAAAACAGAGCCAACAAGAGAAACATTTTCACTCAGGACTGAGGAGAGGAGTCCACTCCAGTGTAGGTAACATGATGACACAGCTCCATCAGTCAAGCCACTGCAGGCCTTGCTGGACACTTTAACAGTGGAGAGATCTATAGTCAATCAGTCACTCTACTAAGAGCTGGTCAAGCAAAACTGCATACACGCACACACAGACCTGGGACTGCTACACAATGTTGCAGCGGTGAGAGAAGAGGAGACAGCAGGAAGCGATGGGCGAACTCAGGCTGGTCCTGCACCATTGTTAGTGCCACTGTGGTGGCCACTCGCTGGAACTGTTCTGCAGTTACCTTATCCTTGAAATGAAGAAGCTCTAACACCTACAGACAGTAATGTAGAAATGTAATCTACAAAGAAACATTTTATAAAAGAAAAGTTAAAACATTCTAATGTATCTATTAACTATAAACACAATGTTTCTCTGTTTCTGAAGCAAAGACCCCAAAAAATCCAGGAACGTTTACCCTGAACTGAAACCAGCATTCCTCCTGTGCATGTTCTGTGGCCAAACCAGCCATATTTACTGCTGCAGTTAAAGGAGAATTCCACTGTTTTTTCATAATGTCTACATAATTCAATTGTTGAGATATAAACAAAGGCATTTAGAGTGGTTTGATTTGAAATGGTGTTTTGCCAAGAAATTACTCAAATTTCTTTATAGTGGCAGTAACAGGAACCAGGGATTGTGATGTCAGATATAGAAAATATAATATTTTACTTTTAGCCATTCACAGATTGTCACACGTCATCTGAGCTTTCTATGTCATGTTAATAATGGTAAAACAGCAGTATATCTGAAAGGACTATTTGCCATATAACAACCTGCATATTCATCTCCACCATAATCATTTTAAAAATATTATTTTGGCCAAAATCAGACATATCATAAAACAATGCCTCAAGCTAAATATTTGTAACCATGTGATAACTCTGTGAAGTAGCTTTTAGAGGCATTAAACACTTCAGTTAGTTTCATATTACCACCACTGTGAACGACTCAGTAAGTTTCTCAACAATGGAGCATTTCAGACTGTTCTGAATGACTCTGTTAACATCTTATCCATTTAATTATGCACAAATTTTTGAAAAAATTGCGGAATACCCCTTTAAGCTCCTCAATTCCAACAGAGCTGATGCCTATAAGCTCTGCCACATCACAAAAATTTAGCCTTGGTCACTAGTTTACTGACTTCGTCTTTACCTGTGGACACACTTGACTGTAATAGCTCTCAGCAGAGAGCGACTGCTGTGGGCAGGTTGCCAGTATTTTAGCCACAGCATCACATTTTCTCCAGTCTGAGTCTCCACCTAGTGGTCAAAATATTGAAAGACAAGCAAAGCCAAATTTTAAATAAACAGAAAATCATGCAAAGATGCACAGCTTGGCTGACACTAGGGCCACACTGTGTACTGTGCTGGATGCAAATTTCATTACTGCACTTCAATTGCCAGAAAAAAAATCAAACAAAAATACTAAAATAAGTCTGAAAATGAGTATTTAAAATAAATAACACCCATAGTGAATTACAAGCATGAATGAACTCTAAACCCTTCTGTGAGTGCCCTTGATTTTGCCTGCGGCAACTTCTTTGTTCGACCAAACCAAGATTATAGTACGCTCTTACCTCCAGCTCCCTCTAGAATGGCCCTGACCACAGCTTGGACCCCATGCGGCTGCATCAGTCTCTCAGAGAGCAGCTGCCCACATAGACGCCTCAGCCATTGGGGAGTTTGAGTGAGGGTCTTGCCTCCCTTTCCACCAGAGCCTGCAGCCACCTGGAAAGATATACTAGTGTAAGGTTGGGCAATACGGAAAAAAGGGAAAACACCGTGATAGATTAAGATCTTTTCACAGTATGTCATATTTATCACAATATTTTTTTTTTTTTAGGTTTTCAGAAGTTGGAACAGACAAAATATGCCAGCTACTTTTAAGTGGGTTATGAAAAACTATGAGTACAAAGACTTGTTTATTCCATGTTTTCAAAAATGTCTTCCAAGGATGTGAATGAATAATCTGCTATTGTCATCATTTCTTTTCATCGTCAGCACACTGTTAATTTTGCATTTGAGACCTAAACAATGGAGCTGGACATTCTTTTTTTGAGTCTCTGCATCTGCATGTTGTATGATGTGATCCGAAAACCCCCTGCGAAATCTGACTTGACACTACTGACTTTTAAATTATTATATTCAGATTTTAGTGCACAGACACTATATTTTAGCATTTAGCATCTTACCTCAACATTTGGGAGGAATAAATTAATAAAATAAGAAGCATAACAAGCTGACATCCAGTCAGCTACTTACTATGCCATTTATGCAATTAGTATACACTGGCTGTTGTTTACAAGCTCTCTATATTCCATCTAAATCTTACTTGTTTTGTGATATATGCCCAAATACCCACAGCATATTCTAGAAGTGCTGAAGATACCCATGATATACTCAGACAAGCACATTGTGATATAATTTATCAGAATAACATATCCTTACATTGCCCACCTCTACACCACAGTGACAGACAAACAGCAGAGATGGTGATGTTAAGAGGAAAAGTGCACACCTTAGGCCCCCCTTGCAGAACTAGCAGCTCCTTTATGACAATTGGTTGATAAACTCTTCCTAGAAGACCTCGGAGAGCTTGTTTGCAATTCTTCCGCTCTTCTACAGTCAGTCCCTGTGTTAGAAACATCATCAGACAAAAGTATCCACTCAATAGATCAGGGTCTTTATTTTAGTTATGAATACTTAGGCAATCAATTCTTGCTTAACTGTGACTGACACCGCTCTTAAAGTAACAGCTTGCGAAAAATCTAAATTTAAACAACTTTTCCCATATTCTAAATACACTTGATTAGATAAAACATGTTTCATGCCCAAGTTTGCATCTTTAGTTTTGCACTAGAGCTATAAGGCTAATCTACCTAACAAAAAATTAAAGAATATACCCCACCAACTAACACTGCAAACTGCAGGCCTTTATTTTTACTGTTAAGCAATCTTAAACAGACTTGCTCATGTGGTTCAAAATTCTTAATGTAAGATGCTCATACTTGTTGCTCATGCAACGTGATTTTGTCCATTTTTTAAAGCACTAATGCACTATTAACTGTTCACTCCATGGATTTTGGCATGCAGTATGCATAGTGCTAACTGATGAGGTATAAGCTTGATAAACTTGATAAATTAACTTGTTAGCTATGTTAGCCTAGTAGCTGTTGGGCAAAGCAAAATAGGTTAACTTGTCTTGGCTGATTTACTACATTTGGGAAAAGAAGAAATCTGTGGAAATTAAATTTTTTCCCAAATCACAGCTTTAAAATGCGACTTCCATACCTTACTGCTCTCAGCTCCATCTCCTTCAGGGCGATGGGGCCGATAGCCTAACTGGCACAGGGCTGCCATGAGATCACCTAGGTGGCGGGTAAAGACCAGAGTAGCTAGAGATGACACTGCAGCCACTTCCATTAGAACAGTAGTGGTGACCAGTAGCCGGTGTTCACATGGGGGAGCCACCTCACGACGCACTGCGCCCTCCACTGCAGCTCCAAATGCAGACCGCCGCTCCAGACCTACCCCTACGCCAGGGGCCAGATATGGGCAAAGGCCCAGCGTGACAAGGAACTGCAGCACAGTGCTCAGGGTCTTCTGCTGAGCCACACTGAGGACATCTGGAGGTAACGGAGGGGCTGCCTCTGGTGTGCGGGGGTTTGGAGCTGCATGGCATGGATCCTGATTAAAAGCTTCCAGGAGACTTGTGAGGTGGCGTGCCAAGCAGAGCAGCAGCAGGAGGCATTCCTGCACAAAGCTCCACGTAAGGTCCTCAGTGTCTGAGCAGAACCATGACACCTCCTTCCTGACCTCCTCCAGTAACTGACGGGCTTCATCCAGCTCTCCACCAGCCAACAGGTGCTCTGTCAATTTAGTCTGATTCTTCTGGAGGGCACAAAGAAGTGCTTCATGTTGCGTCGTTTGTGCACCACTTAAGTGGGCTTCTGAGGAAAATAAGGCAGTAATAGTAAGGGTTCATAAAATCTGACACTTAACAGTCTAAAAAATTAAACTGAATTGTGAACCCAGTATCGTGACACAAATCGTGGGCTGAGTGCCGTTACATCCTATAATGTTAACTGAGCAAACGTGACTGTGTACATTTGTTACGTTTTTTCTTTTCATGCTACACAGGAAGATCAGTCTTGGAATAACCTATTCCAAAATATATATGCATTAAAAAAGAGGGGTTATTTCCGATTGTAGTGATTATTTTCAGTAATGTCAGGCTAGCCTCTCTGCCAGCTCATGATTAGAATGGACTATTCAACTGTGAAAAGGCAGATTGGGATGAACAAATGCAGCAATGAAGCAATAATCTATATTATTGTTCTGTGTGATTTTCTTCAAGTTAAGAGGGAAAGTCTAATAAGGTTATACAAGGGCATTAAAGAAATGCAAAAAGAATGAAGAAAGCAAAAAGTTTGTGACACTTCTGAAGCCAACTTTTTCAGTTAGAACACAGCGCTGCACAGGCTCAGCAGAAAGAAAATCATGCCATCATTAATGATAACAGGTAACTCCAGTGCTGGAGTACTTATTCAATAAAAGTCATCCATTCAAGTTACTTTTTACTTCTCTCAAAATGTAATAGATTATGCTACTTATTTTTATTTAGAAAATGAATCTCATTACTAATTACTTTATTTCTACCTTTCTCTACATCACATTATCTCACTATATTGGCAGATATGTTTGCTTGTTTCAGCAATATTTCTAAAAAAAAACAAAACAATTAAGATAATCTGCTAATCACTTAAGTAAAAATGTCTAGAAATAAGTAAAATGATCTCATAACACACTTACAGTAATCGCGACATGAGAAATATTAGATATAACAACAGATTTAAGATTCACTTGCCAATATATCGTTTTTTGTAGTGTAGACAGTCACTATTTTTTTTAAATGTGCGTTCAGGTCTGCCTAAAGCCCCAGAATAACTAAATCAGCCCCTGCTGAACAGCGAACTGATTTAAGGTAGTTCAGATGTTGTAGTTCTTCAGCTACTACAAATACACAAGGGGCAGTGCGTCTCTAGCTTGGGCAACTCATTCCTTCTCAAGTGAAGCTCTTAAACTGCACCTAGGAGAACCGCACCTGTCAGCTCAGCTAAACGGCTTTGTCAAAGTCCTGACAGTTTCATGACAACTTCAGTCCTCGGGACGTTACTGTGGATTTGTGCTGCAGAACACCGCAGAGAACCCAGAGCTATGATTTACACTGAGACACGGTGTCTAGTTATTATATAAGTCCATCTCGTACCTCTGGCAGGTTTTGTGAGGAGACTCAGAGCGCGGACCAGCGCGGCGCTCATTTCTCTCAACAGCTCAGCGCTCCGCCACTCTTGAACGAGGTCGCACGGATTCAGCATCACAAGTACGTAAGAGAGCAGTCCCGCTATAATGTGCAAAATAAAAGTCCTACTTTTATTTTATTCTTGTGGTTGCTCTTTTCATTATTATTTTATTTGTTTTTAAATCAATCAATACAATACCAATATGAAGAGAATACACTATGTAATCATCATCAATCACTGCATTAGGCATAAGAAAAAAAAAAACATCAATATGAAGTATCTGATGAAAAACTCCAAATGTTTGCTTAAAAGTACAAAAGCACAAAAGAAAAACAGATATACACACTTTCCACTGTGATGTTACATTTCTGAGGATAAACACTATACGGGTAATTTTTAAGTCTCTTGGGTTTGGTTTCTTTTACCCTAGTTGATACAAAATTATTGATAACTTGCCAGATTTTATCCATTGCTAACCGAGGAAAATCTAATTTCTAAGAACCCCATTTGGAAAACAGCTCTGATTGGTATGATTGATCGCGCTAAGGGGGAGTGAAAGTGTCCCTACGCCATCTGCTGGTTGTGTCAAAAACATTTTGAATTTTCCGCCGATAAATTTAATTAATACAAAACAAAATCTGTACAGCTGGGATATATAAACACAGTATGTAGCAATAGCAAAGGAGTTGAACGTATCGGTAAGCCCTATCAAACTGTGACGGTGAAAATACAATTGAACTACAAACCCCATGGCTTGCTGTCGGTGCGCTTCGTAGGGTGTGACACTGACGTCATCCGCGCGACAGATTTTGTAGTCCATCTGGAGACACTCTCCTAAACTGTGTTTCTTGCTTTATCTGTCGGTTTGGCATTGAGATCATTGACATGTCAAAGGTAAATAAATGTGGGAGTGATGGGGGACGTTATGTTGCGTAACCTGTAACGTGCACGGATTCATTGTTTTGTGTTTTCCTGCTCTAACACACCCACTTCAGCCTTCAGCTCAGGAAGGGAGCGCTTGTCAATTAGCTGATGAGTTGCATGAGGTGTGTTGGGAGCCGCAGGGGGTGGGAACAACTGGCTTGCGTTATGAACGGAAACAGCAGGGGGCGATACGAACACCTCCTTCCCTTGGGCAAAAGTTAAAATACTTGCAGCTTGCTAGAAATGTTAACTATTGCCACTAAAGAATAATTGTTCATAACATTTGAATTAAATTATTCCCTGTGTACCTCATATCTCAAAATGCAAAGTTTTCAATACTTATGCTAATAATGCTCAATTATGCAGGGCTAATTATCATCATTATCATCATGCATACATGAAGAGATTCCCTGAATCATTGCTAGAAACAATACGGAGAGATGTGTGTCAGAAATATCACTTTATTAGACCATAAATACAGTATTTGGACAATACACATCAAGCGAACAGCAGCTTTTACTGTCCTCATATTCACAAATTTCACAGTCACACCACCCAGAGTTCTAAATCATACTTTCTCTGGTAATACTATAAATTAATATATAATTATATATTTGAAATTATTTAATAAAATGTTTAAAAAAAACAAAAATATCCAATATCCAAACAAAATATCCAAAACACAAGTCAACAAAAGAAATAATTTAAATAAATAGTCAATAAATTACCAATAAATAAACAGTAGTGTATGCACAACTACAGACACAGACCCATATCTTACATGGAAGACTTACTGCAGTTTGCTTGCCCTCAAAAATCATGTAGAACATGTATTTTTTCAGCTTATGAAACATAAGCATATTAAACAGTGTTATTTAAAAAATCTTGCATTTTAAAACAAACACAACCAATATATGAGACACGTCTCTACTACGTTTGTCTTGGTAAATGTTAGCCTCTACGAGAGGTCACTGTTTGGGCACCACACAGATACACGCAACAGGTATATTTCTGCGCTCAATGACTAAAGAATATTTCTGTGGGTCAGCTTCACATGGGACCTTCTTCAGAAACATCATGGATCTCTCCACCTCAACGGAGTTGTAGTCGGTGCTTTCCTTGCCGTTAATGATGCATCCTGAGCACAGGCACTCAGCCACCTCGTATGTTTGAGGGTACATGTTAGGGTCAGAGTGGGTTCTGCAAAGAAAGAATAGACAGTGATGAGGCCATGAATATACAGACCCTCAATCTACAGTCAAGTTCAGCACCACTCATTGCTCTAAGCCAGTATTTCTTTATCCTCTTTATCCCCCTACCCTGCACAGTGTCATGGAATCACTTCCTCTACACACCTCATGCAGCTCATCACCTCATCATTACACTCTTCATCAGGTGAGCTGGGACACACAAACACACACACACACACACACACACATACATATATATATATATATATATATATATATATGTGTGTGTGTGTGTGTGTGTGTGTGTGTGTGTGTGTGTGTGTGTCCCAGCTCACCTGATGAAGAGTGTAATGATGAGGTGATGAGCTGCATGAGGTGTGTAGATATATATATATATATATATATATATATATATATATATATATATATAATATGTGTGTGTGTGTGTGTGTGTGTGTGTGTGTGTGTGTGTGTTTTATTTCAATGTACAGTATTGTGTATTTATGTTTCTATAAATTAGATTTTCAACAGAACTATTATAAAAAAGATATCTAGCGTAAAAATATATCTATTTTATTTTGTATTTTACACAGTAAAATAAAAAAAAATTCCAAAAGTTGTACTCTTAACGTGATCGTGAGAAGTCTTGTATTTTTAAATGAACTAAACAGAAACTGTCAGTGTTTAGAGCCACTGCTGTTCGTATTTCTGCTGATAAATATTCAAAAGCTAAATAATTTGTATTTGTATACAAAAAGGTGGGCGTGGCTTAAACGTCCGCGATGCATTTGACATTAACGCTGGCATTAATAAGACAGTAAACAGATATAATTTAGACAGCCAATCAGCAGTCTGGATTCTGGAACAACCATGTTTATTGACTCAGCGGTGCTGCTGAGACAAACTGCTCAGTGAATTTTTTATTGAATGAGACGGTTAAATCTGGCATTTGTACAGTGAACAGAATAATAACTCTGTCGGCACCATGAAAGGACTGAACTTTGACACCCAGCCATAAACAGTGTTCAGGTGGCTATAACGGGCCGTCAGATAAAGGAGGACAGTTTTAAGAACTCTTCTTTATTACAGTTTCAGCTCACGCCTAGGCCACTATAGTGTTTTTTCTGGACGAGCTGAAGGATGGAGTTAAAATAGCTGCTTTTAAAAGTCACTTTAGTGCAAAATTTAATAAAAGAATGAATTTGCCTTCCTATGACGTGCATGTCATGTTATTCCTCGATCACCACCAAACGCGACAGACTGACTGTGCTGAGAAAGTGACTTACATTAAGCGCCACGGCGACAGAGAGCGATTCGTGAGATCTGATGAGAACTGCGTGCGGCTGAACTCAGAGCAGGACAACTCAGCATCAGCAGCAGGTTGTCCTCGCATCCTCTCAGTCTTCCAGGCCGAGCGGTGCAGCAGCTTCTCCACCCGTCTGGACAGCGCTCGCTCAGGCAGGCAGAATGACAGCCTGGCTTTGTGCTCCGCCACGACGTCCGTGAAGAGAACGAACAAAAGTCCGGCAAACAGAGGAGACTGGAAAGCAGAGAAAACACAATTAGCGTAAAAGTTTGAACACAAGCATTGTGTTTCGCTATTCTAAACACAGCCATCCTGGGTTACGTTACAGTATTCAAAACAGAAAGAATGAAAAAAATAAATAAATAAATAAAATAAAAAAAAACTAAGTGGGCTTGAGAGCGATATCCAGTCCTAAAACTCACTGCAGGCTACTTACCCTCATGACCATATGTGACTGTTAAAGTTAAAAGCTGAATTCAAGCGTTGAGTGCTTCTCACCTGAGCAGACAAGCAGCAGGCATTATATAGCAGGTGCTCGGGAAAATCCGCTTGATGTAAGAGGAGGAAATGGAAGTCTGTATTAATTCCTTTACTGCTTCCTCTTCCCTCGAGCGAGCCAAAAGCCGTGAAGCCGTAAAGCCAAGAAAAGCAAAGGCTGTGTTTATGAGAAAGGTGGCTCTACCTGAACGCATACACATACAAAAAGCCATCTTTATTTACTTTCATGATGGAAGCTCCCTAGAGCCAAACAGTGGCATCAGGGCACGAATCAGAATGAATATCTGGAATTTGGCAGGTGTTCAGGTCTCATGGGGACAAATAGATACTTGTTTTTTTCCTCAAAAACCCATTACCATCTCCACTGTTACAATCATGCAAGAGCTTTTATGTGGTATCATAAATAATTTAAATGAATAGTTTGGCCAAAAATTAAACAAACACAAATTTCTCCCAACCACAAATGTAGTCGATGAGCCAAGACAGCTTGGCACATCGGTTGCTCATTATCATTGCTGTTCATTTGAAGGTGGCCGCACCATCATCCCTGGCTACTCTGGTCCACACTCGCCACCTGTGTTTGGTAGACTCTCGGCCCCATCACCCAGTCTGTATAACAGGTGCATTTTAATACTCTTGTGTATTTTCTGTTTACAGTAACTAATTTTATTATTTTAGACCTTTGGGCCTATTTTGATGCTGGTAGTAGCCTATATTTAAGTGTGAGAGACTGATAGCTAGTTATTTATTCAGATCACTTAGGTGCCTCCTCCACTTCTCTCTGCCCCTCTTGACCCCTCTCAGCCCCCTTCGGCTCCACCCTCACACTTGTACAGCACATCTCAGATGTGTCCACTCCACACTATGCCTCCAACACATTTCCCCATTACACAACATAACACATTCATAACCTTCTTAACAAAAGCCTTTAAAGACCCTACAAACTTTTATCTTTATGTAAATATTTCATAAACAGCCCTGTGCTTTCCCTCAAGGAAATGCTGAAGAAAAGCCTTCTGTCCATGAAAAGGCAAATGTGGATTCTGGCACGGCATGGCTAACTCTTTGAAAGCAATAAATCCTTTTATAGAGCCATTATTTATCTCAAAAATATTGATTAACATTACAGTCAATTATGAAAAAATAGCCAAACGGCTTATTGACTGGTGCCAATCTGATTGATCACTGATTTCATTGTCCATCAGTCATTTTAAATTTCTGTAAGCCTCTGGATCTTTCCAACACTGTAAATGATTGGTTGCCTTAAAATTTTGAGTTCATTGAGCTTCTAATAGTAAGTTAATAGAACAATAATAAGTATTTGACATTAAGTCAAAGTTCAATGAGCTTTTTCACAGTAAGTGCAACATGAGTCATCCCTGACTAACATGTATCCACTAATTTGGCCAAATGTAAAAAGAAAAAAATTAGTTTTCCACTACATCAGACATGTTACACAAACAAAACTTCCAGAGAATCGCCCAAGCATGAATTGTCAATGTAATGTCTTACCAATTATCACATATCTATGATATATAATAGCACATGCTCCACCACACAATTCATCATCACTTTAATCATCATTCTTGAAAATCTTAAAAAAAAAAAACAGTTTAGAATTTGAAGTGACTAACGGCACTACCGACAGACAAATCTTTTTCCGGTCTTCATCTGATCTTTTTGTGTGACAGCAATAAGTAATATACTTTTTTTATGTATATTTTTATGTAATAAAATTCATCTGTATGGCCATTTTATTGATAATGTGACAACAGTAGTGAACCTGGACTATTAGAGCTTGGCCTTCAATTTGGGATTAAATCTCAAAACTTGTGGAAAAACCCACCTCTACAATTAAGATAATTTCTGCTAGCACCCCTACTGGATTCTAGGAGTTTGTTAGAGCTAAGCTAAAGGCGATTTGCATGAACACTTTTTGGCCATTTTAAATTAAACACAGACATTTGAAGCTTCTGAAAAGACATTCCAAGTTTTGCTTAACGCTTGTGATGGACATGTTAGCATGTAATTTGCCTTTTAGCAGTTTCACAGTGACTCTTTCAGTAGAGAGGTCGGGTAAAGAGCTGCCCCCTTTCTAACGTCTCATCAGTTAGGCAGCCACACATATTTATGGTCAGTGATGTATCTAGGACTTCCAGAAGCCTGGACTGATGTTTTTTTTCTCACAGAATTGGTCCCACATATTGGAAATTAGTTGATTCCACTGTCACTTTATAATTATGATTATGATTAATCAAACAGGTTTGGACTTTTCTTCAGCTCCTGAAGTCCTAATCAATAGGAGAGATCACCTAGCTGTATCTAGTCACCATGGAGAAAAACAATTCCTGATTGTCATTTATGTCAGTTGTCTTAAAGACCCTTGCATTTCTTTTTACAGAGTGACATGGGCAGAGGAGAAAGCATATCAGTATTCTCTTTATCAAAATAGATTAGGGTAGATCTGCCAGTGACTCAGTGAAATTAGTGCATAACTGAGCTAAATCTGCCAGTGGCTGAGTGAAATATCCATTTCTAATGGGTAACCAAAAATTCTAAATTACTTTAAAAAGTCAAAAGGCACTTAAACACACTAGCTAGGAAAAACGTCTTGTAAGAAGTTGCGACGTTAGCATATCCAGATCATTGCTAATTTTATCAATATATTGTTGTTTGGCATCCCTCTGGAGTCGGTCAAGGTAAACGCCCTTCTCATTTAATTCACTTTTAATTATGTCAAATCTGAAAAACTACAATAAAACAGCATACCCTGAGCTCTCTCGCACTGGCTGTGAGTATTTTTATCATTTAAACAAAGAACTAACCCTGTCAATATGGCAGAAAGATCCTGTAACGCAGCATAACATGACAGTGGTTCCCAAGCCCTTTTGCAAAGTACGTAGTATGAAATGAACTGAACCTTTTAGCCAACTGTGTCTGAACACATCGGAATTAGACCTCCGCATTTAACCCATCCGTGCAGTGAAACACCACAAACACACTAGTGAACACACACACTAGGGGGCAGTGAGCACACTTGCCTGGAGCGGTGGGCAGCCCTATCCATGGTGCCCGGGGAGCAGTTGGGGTTAGATGCCTTGCTCAGGCACTTCAGTCACATGCTGTCAGCTGAGGGAATCAAACCGGCAACCTTCCGGTCACAAGGCTGGTTCCCTAACCTCCAGCCCATGACTGCCCTTCTAAATACTGCACAAAACTCAGAGGCCACCCTCATTTATTTTCATTTCCAGTCCAAATAGTTATTAAACACAAGATATTCATTTTTCAAGAGATTTCAGAGTTCTAAAGACATTAGATATATGATAATCCACTTGCATAAAGGAGCTAAAGGTCAAAGGAGAATAAGTAGGAAAAAACAGGGGGTTCCAGAACGAAAAGATGTAGAGAAAATGGAATTCCTAACAACCATGCAAGACCTGGTAGACCACCAAAACGGTCAAGAAGACAACTCAACATTATGAGCCTGAAAGGATGTGCAGCTGTCACAAAACTGTTACTGAGAAAAGGAAACAGGCAAAAAAGAAAAAAATTGCATTAGAACACAAATACTGGACATCTGAGTTGTGGAGTTGTTTTATAGAATGATGAGTATAAATTTGTATTTGGGATTATTTTGGTTATTGCAAATGCAGAAAATGCAAACTTCTAAGATTAGACTTAAGTGTGGAAAAATATTCCTGCAGATTTTTTTTGAAAAATTTAAAGCAAATTGCCTAAAAAGTAAAGAACAAAAAGGATGGACACATTATATACACAATAATGTTTAGTTTTCGAGGCTTCTGTGTAATTGTTAATGTTTTCTTCTTTTTTGATGCTGAAACATGAGTAACCATTTTGACTGGAAATTAAAATTAATGGTGGTCTCTGACTATTTCACGGTACTGTACTTTACATCAAGGCCATTTGTTCTCTAGATTCATACAGGTAAAAGACAGTGCTGTACTTGGGAAAAAGCCAGGAGCTGGGATGCAGTTGTCTAGAATAGCCATCTTTAGTTATTGTGCAAACTATGTATTCATTATTCATGGTTATAAAAAATCAAAATTCATATGTTGGCTTGATAGTTTCTGGCCGTGGTTACCTGTATACCTATAACTGTAGTGGAAAACAATGACATCACTACCCATAGAGCAGTATAATAGTTTCAGATGAGTTATAAGATTAAATGCATTCCATTCATTTTCTGATCATTTGCCAAAAGATGGCAAATGATAGCATTGCTGCTGGAAAATATGTGTCATTATATTTGCACCATGTTTGAGAGTAATAACAATCTCGCGGTCTTGTTTCATGCACTGTGAGAGCTGATTTTTGCTTACTTTAAAAGCACACACTTAAAAAAATGTAAACACTGTGAAACAAACCAGCTCAGTAACATCATCTCTCAAAACACCTGTAAAAATAGATTTTGCTTCCTGAGAAAATACAGGGTGTCCGAAAAAATTGACATCATTTCGTAGTCTAATAACATAGCCAATTCTCCTTCAAATTATCTCACATTTTAATAAAATGTGTAAAAACTAACCAAGTTTAATTTTTAATGATTTTTTTTCAGGCTGAAGAAGGGTGTTCACTAGAAATGAAAAGGCATTTTGTGTGTTAGAATATGCTCAAACAGTCAAAAAAGTGTGCAGCATGCATTTTTGAGAAAATTCTATAAAAATGCACCAACTGGAACTGTGCTGGAGACTGTTACGCAAGGCATGCTACAGCGTGTTTGGCAGGAGCTGGACTACCGACTTGACGTGTGTCGTGTCACAGGCGGTGCGCATATTGAACATTTGTGAAGCTTTGTAAAATCGGTTAGAAAATCTACATCCTTCTGAATTTCTTGTTCGAATTTTGATAAATAAATCTTGTATTGTTCAACATGAAGCCTATTT